ATAAAACGAATAGGTATAAAATGCTTCTATTATATATTATCGATATATTACTGTCGAATTTAACATTTAGTATTGCCTTATATTTTTTACAGAATGAGCAAGAAAAAAGCTATATAAACGTTAAAACCCTTTTTTTTTTTTTTTTTTCCTTTTTAATCTCGTGTTCTGTACTGATCGAGATCTTACTTTATTAGATACAATTGATATTATTTATTTTTAATATCTATATTTAAATAATTTGATTATATCCCGAGTTGAAGGCTTATATGCTTTCTTAAAAAAATATATAAGAGTTTTAACTAGGCTGCAGCATAACTGCAACTGCAGCTATGATATTGATAACCATAACCGCACCTGCAGTAATGGTCATAAGATTTGATAACTATTACCATTACTGCAAATTCGAGATTAATTGCAATTAAACTGTAGTTAACCTTACTATAACTGCACTAATATAATTTTTGTTTAATTATCAGTTTTAAGCTTTCTGCATAATAGTTATAAAGTTTATAAATATTTATTATCTTTCGTTTTAAATACATGTTCGAGTTTTTCTAATACAAATATCTTATTTCGTAATAACTATATGGTAAACAATAGAAATCTAATTATAAATATTAAATAGAGACTCTATTTAAATAAATATATATTTTATTTGAAGTTAACTGTACTCTATATATCTGTATTTTTGAAATCTAGAATTGTAAACAGAGTAATTTTTAAAATTATATATTTTGTATACGAACTTTGTATTTATTTTTAGATAATATACTTTAAATAAAAATTTAATTACTTAAACTTAAGATAAGTTAAAGTAAATAGTATAATATAATAAAATAAAATTAGATTATTTATAAGATTTTATAATTTTAAAAATATTACATATAATTATATTAAATAATTTGCATTCAAAAATACTAAAATTATTTAAAGAAAATACGGGTTACTCTGTAACTTTATAATTATAACAAGATTAATTGTAGTTAACTTTCAGTTAATCTTGCTATTTCTGCGTTAGTTTATTTATTTAGCTAATTAACATTTAATATTTTTTTTAATATATTAATTCGTATTATTTACTATCGTAAAAGTTATAATTAAAAAAAATATCTGTAAATCTCTTTATTCTTTTTCTTTTTTACTCTATTGATTTTAATATTTTAATTATATATTTCTTTTTACTTTAATTTACTCTTTAAGGCTGAAAACCTATTATCAGATTATCTTCTAGAATTTTAAAACTTTTAAGCAACCAATTAAATCTTTATAAAGCAAATTTAAACTTTTTTTTTTCTGTTATGTTTACTTCTACCAGCTTACACCCTAAAAGATCTAGTACGCATTAGATTACTATTCTAGTAAATGTAAATTTTATATAATATATATCTAGATATAGGACTTTCAGAAGTAATTTATCGAGTGATAATTTATAACTAAATATAATAAACAATGTAAAGAACAGTTAAATATACATTAAAATAGTAAAAAAATAATTGCAGTCTGATAAAGGTTTAAACAAGTAATATATAAATAAAATAGATAATTAAAAGTTATATATAAAGAGTGTAAAATAACACTTATATATTTAATTATAAAATATGCTAGAATATTCTCTCTTTAATATTATTTTGCTAAAGAAGGTTATCGGGTACAGAAAATAACCAAAAAAGGAATAAATTAAATATTCCAAAAACAGTATATTTTTAATAATAAAAAATACCTTAACTTTATTAATATATTTTATTTTTAGTTCTAACAGTCTTTAATATATTTTAATAAGTATCTTTTTAATTAGAAATTTTTTAATTTAATAATAACTGCCTGTCTCTTATTTTAAATTGTTAAATATTTAGATTTTTATAACCTTTTTTAAATTATCTAATATATTAAATTAGAGTTTAAAATCCTTTCTATATACAGTATTCAACAGTTTTTTAATAAAAATGTTACTGTAAATCAATTAAATGTACTAAATAGATTTCCAGCTAGAAGCAGTTTATCAATTGCATTAAATTGTTAGATATCTTTTTTTTTTAGCATTTATAGCAGTTACCAGCTACTTTTTAAATCAAGATTAGAATTACTGCAAAATATTTTTTAGATTTAAATTATTAAATAGCTTACATTCTGATACTTATTTCAGTGAAACTGTAATTAAGATCTTTTAACAATATAATATCTTAAAAAGAGTTCTTTCAGTTACTACTGATAATATATTAAATAACAATATAATGCTTGTAAATATTTAGGAAATTAGTCAATTATTTAAATTTAGTAAAGATCAACTTTTTCGCATCTTTTGTATCATTTATGTTATACAATTGAGCCTTAAGGAATTACTTAAAAAGATAAAGATAAATCCGGTTAATGATAAAATTAAATTAACATAAACTAATACACTACAATAATTACAGCATTTAAGGAATTAGCGATATCTGAATATTATAAAGACTCTAAAGAAGGTAAGTAGTATTAGCTATTTATCCTTTTTTTCTAGCTAAAAAGCTGTTATACTTTCTTTATCTTTAACTCAGTTACTAACAGTTATCTATTTTTCTCTTGTATAGATCCGAGATTTAGCTGTCTTTATTAACGCTAGTCTATAGCGCCGGAAAGCATTTCTTAAGCTACAAACTACAGAGCCAAGGCTGGTACCAATCCAAGATATTCGTATATGATGGAACTTTACCTTCTTGATGCTTGATCGGGCTCGAAAGATTCAGTTAAATATTGATCAATACTGTAATACTTATTACTATATTCGATTCAAACTCAATCCAGAGGAGTGGCGTTAGGTTAAGTATCTTTTACTACTTATAAAGCCTTTCTTTGACTTTACCAGCGTACTATCGAAGATAAGAGATGTAACTATCTAGCATATTTTCAGTATCTACAATAAGCTATTTAACTATATTAATCAGGCTGAAGAGAGACTTAAACGCAAGTCTATTTCTACAAAAAGAATATGTTTACAGCAATTCAGGCTGCCAATACAAAACTCCGAAAGTATTACACTAAAACTGATAATCAGCCTTATAGTTCAGTTAATACTATTGTAACTATTCTAATACTATCAAAGAAGCTTCATTACTTTGATAATACAGACTGGAAAGATCATAATAATAACAGAAAAACAGTTAACTTCATGAAACGCTATCGAAATATCCTTCAAGCGAAATTCAATCTCTATTAATAGCTAAATTCGAGGGATGCTAAGCCACTTAATGCACAGATTATATTTTAATTAGCAGGAGATAAGTTTAAAAAAATGTATAATTTACAAACTGCTTTTTATGCTGAAATCAATCAGCCAGAAAATAAGATTTCCTAATATCTTGCGAAAGGTTAGTACCTACCCTAGATTATATTATATCTTTACTAACCATTGGATAGGGCTTACTAAGGGTAATCCCTGGACCTTCTGGAAGGAGCATAAGCAGAAGTATCCAGTTCTTACTCAGCTCACGCGCGATATTTTTTCAGTACTAACAAGCGGAACTAATATTGAATATCTTTTTAATTGTATTTGTAATATATATTACTATCGCTAAGAGCAATTAAAAGAGAATACGATCTGAGATTTAATGATTTATCTTTTCTTAACCACATTTGAGTTTAAATACAGTGAGCTTGATTTGATAAAAGAATAGCTCTTTGTTAGTGAAACTGCATTATCTGATTAAATAAGTAAATCTGTTCTTACACTTGCTGAACTTGATCCGATTAGTGAAGATAAGAAAGAAAAGGATAAAACAGATAATATTGTTCATTTTGATTTAGCTTTAGATTCAGATACTGAGGTAGCCTTAGAGGCAGTGTTATCTTCAATTCAGCCTTACAGTACGTCTTAAACAGTTACAGGTACAGAATAAATGGGCTCATAGTCAGATTGAAACTTCAAATAGTAGGAATTCCCAATCGCCTCATGTATCGCTAGATGAAGAAGAGCGATCGAAAAGGCATCAGAAACAGTCTAAACTACCAGCTGGATTTAAGATTGATAGATCTTGATGTTTATAACTAGGACAACTAGAAATCAAAGGAGAATACAATAGATTTAGCATGATACAGTATAAAGTAAAGAGTCACTTATTTGATACTCTAAATCACTTGTCTGTGGTATTGTATATACATCAGTATACACCAAAATTATAAGAAAAACAGCATAATTTATGCATTCTTCTAATCTTGGCAGGGTTGCATTATTTATACTGGTAAGGTTAACTGCGGTGACCGGCTGTAGGTTATAGAGGAAGGTTAGGTGGAGGAGGTGCCCGAAGTTAGCGGGGCGGAGGTTTTACTGAAGGAGGATTATGAGGGACGTGAAAGCATAATAGGGATTAAGTTATTATTGAGTGGAGCGGAAGACTAAAATTAGGACCCTGATATAAGGGCAGTAATAGTTAGGGCCCCGGGCTGTAGTAATCCCGGGTAATAATTAAAAGGGCACGCTCTAAGAGAGTAGCTGATACCTAAATCTTCCAATCTTCCCCCTTGACTACCTGTATCCCTATTACTGTACTCGGCCGTTTAAATGGGCTATCTTTATGATTTCGCGGTAAGCTGACAGTATGCTTAGGGACTCTTTACACGATGTTGGGCTGCAGGGGGTTACTACTGGCTTGATCAGGCCTGTGGTGGTCAACTGGGATCTCGACAAATCTATAGGATAACTTAATATACTATGCTGTCACCGTAGACTCCAGCGTGGCCCCGTACGGGTGCCGAAATGGAGGATAATGGAATGAATCAATCAATTAATCAATCAGACTATTATATTAGTTAGGACCTTCGGGTTAAAAAACCGAACATAATTCAATCATTCAGTGCCCCTAGCCGTAGGGTGGCTACCACTTACAGTGGACAACCATTAGAATAAAAACTCCATATGGATTTCTGATAAACCTACCGCCTCATATACCTAGTAATCCTACAACAATGTTTACTAAATAATATTAGATATGACCGAACGTGCCATAGATCGTACACTCTGATTTCTGCTAAGATACGGTATGGCCAACGGTGCCAGATTCTAGTTCGTCCGGCGTGTGATCCTCTCTTGAGCCATTTCTTCGATTAGTTGAAAAGGTGGGGAATTGAAATGAACGAGGGAAAAACAGCCTCGGTCTCCAGCCTCGCTGCCCCTGATGGTTTGCCTGTGTTTCGAGCGGCACCGCGGCACCCCGAGTATGTGAATCTTGCCAACGCCGAAAGGGCCATACTGCCGAGCGAGATTGATTAGTCCTCCCAGGTGATTGATGCCGATTCGCCAATGGGCCCCTAGCCCGGCTAGCACCCACGCGCCCCCCTATAAACACAGCCTCCGGTGGGTTGAGAGCCGGTACCCGACCAGCAGTACGGCGATCTACACGCTCTGTATTTGTTGTCGGAGTAGAAGGATCAGAGCGGGATTTGGGGATATAGTAATCAGCCTTGCACAAAGGGCAGCAAGCCTTGCGACAAGTCAACCACGGATCAACACAGGAGGCGTGAAAAGCATGCCCGCACGTCAGCCCACGTATGTCATCGTCATCCTCAATCACGTCAAGGCAAATCGCACATGAGTCGCCGGGGTCATGTAATAGCTCGATGGGCGCTGAAGTGCAAATTTGGTTCTCTATGTCATGGCCATGGCATTCTGAACCATTTTCATACCCTGGTGCCTCTGCATTGATGATATTCGGTCCTGTACTGGGATCGGAAATTTCCTGCCTCGTAGGTTGCAGGTCTCTTTCTGTTTTGTCTTCTAGGCGAGGCTGTTTGAACTCCGTGAACTTTGCAAGGGCAGACTGCGAAGCGGACAAATCGTGGCGACTCTCTTCCGGGTTAAGCTCCGAGCATGGCACACCCGCAGTGACTGATAATTTAACATCACCTTCCTTCAAACTCTGAGATGTGTTACTCCATGCCGATATACCACCTGCTGTTGGAAGGCCATCATCGGCGCGCGAGGACCTCCATGCTTTGTACTTGATTAATGGGAACCGTTCATTAACTTCATCCATTGTCATTAACTTTTTCTCCCTTCTTCGCCTGTGCGGCCTAGGTATGGCCACCAAATCTATAGGTTCGCCGGTCTCTTCATTGCGTAGCTGGCGATTGCGTTGATTGTAGCGAAAACAATATTTCACTCCAACAATGATCCTTCGGCAGCAAAGGTTTAGAACCCAAACTATTCATGAAAGAGTTGTCAGGGCACATACCAGAGATTAGTGAACACAACTCCGAATCCAAGCGCCACGAAGAATAACAGAGGTGAACTTGTAGGGCCGGAGCCACTGTCACTTCCACTGTGGTCTGAGTTGGTCGGATTTGGAGAAGATGTCGTAGATGAGGGGGACGTCATCTTGAACTAGAGGAATGTTATGGGTGGGGTTGTTTATCGTGAGATCAAGATAGAAATCGTGGCTATAAGATTGAAGCAGCGACCAGGAGCTTCCTCGTAGGGCTGATGAAAGTCAAGTAACGATGTATAGGTCGATTCTTTGGTACATGCTCAAAAGACGCGTCGAGGAGTGGAGTGGAAGGATCAATGGGCCTTAGATCAAGGGAGAACAAGCATGCACCTGGCGGCCTGGTGTCCTCACAGAATTTAAAGATGGACAGGAACCCAGTTGGTAATTTGGCTCAAGCTGGCTCCATGCGTCCCTCAAGACATGTGTCGTGTATATCATCACCGGTCGCAGCCACAATCAAATTTGCCAGTTATCGTTGATTGCATCTAGCAAGACCACATGGTTGGTTGGAGGTGGCATTGGGGGTGCGAAGGACCGAGGATGTGATGTTGCATAAGATAAAAGCGGGTGTTTGAAGGTCACGGGGCATTTATGATACAATCTCAGCAGTTCCGAGTAGCAATAGAAAGCTTGGCGTAGTTACTTACTACTCCGTATCTTCGACTCATAAACATGAAGGAAAACATAGCCTAACTACTAACTACAGTCATTTAACTCGGAATTTTGTAAAGTATAGTCACCATTCAGTAAGGTCGGACTCCTGTAATTGGTAAGTTACCAAGGATTGCTGCTGCTAGGTACTGCTCCTGCTCCTACTCCTGCTACTTACTGCTCCTCCTACTGTCCTATTACCACTGCCACAAGAACTTGCCGCAGATTAAGCTAATGCACTAATCATTAGTAACCAGATAATATGACTCGAACGTCAACGCAATCCACAGAGACGAGAACAGGCCTCCTCACTTTCACATCGTCATTATCCAAGACATATTATTTCTCCCCCCACCCGGGCATTCGACCTGAAATCAAACAGCCCACATATCGGAAAGGGAGAGTGGATATTGGACAAATCTACATTATTCAGCACGCTCATGGTTTGAGGACCAAAATGCTCAACGAGATGGATTCGCCCAAAAAACCAAGAAGGTTTTTACCAGAACCCATCGAGATATCCTCACGCAGCTCAACAGACCGCCCACTAGAACGTCCTAGGGGCCCAAAATATCACTCAGCTAGCAAGTTGGTCGCAAATCACAACGTACCCACAACGGAACAAGAGCATAATACTTCACCTTCTATGACCGGCACGAACGAAAGAGAGAATATAGTACATGGCACACAAAACCAGATTGTACCGGGGCAAAATGCCACGGCGATGCATACTTCCCAGGCAGTAGAACAGGCATGGAAGAGCCATGCGTGTTTTCAGCTAGCCACATTGACCCGAGAAGAGTCCCAAACGCGGCAACGAAGAAAGTTCACGCCCATGCTTATGGAAACTGCTAGCCGGTCAGTTCGGGGTGGATCACGCTCACATAGTACTTCAAATTGCCTATCACAAGCTCGATCGGAAAGCTTACAGCGCCTCGACATGAAGAACAATCTTTCACGGAAAACTGACTTCTGTACGACACCTGAGTCTTCCTTTTCATATCACAATCTTCAGCGGCGTTATGGGACGAGAAGACATTCATTTCGAGTCCCGGACCTACCCGCAATTCCATCAAGTTGCAGTGGATCCTCTGACGAGTCGGAACTGGGTAGCTCATATCCTCCGTCGTCGAGAAAGCTAGCCAAAGAAGATCCCAATAATAATCGAGCTCGTCGAGAAAGTTGCGATGAAGAAATTTCAAGTTACTTGCTGTCACTCGCAGCACAAGCAGCAGAACGGCAGTTGAAAGAGCAGGCCCTGGCAGCCTTCCCAAATGAACAAGTCTACCAGCCCGTAGACCACTTTGCTATTGATAATGAAGATGAGGACTGTTCACCTGATGATGGCGTAACTATTCCTGGGCAGCTGCATCACTTGGATAGCCGTCGGAATTCAGCCGCAGATCTATCCTCGGAGCTTGAATGCCTGCGGGTTTACAAACAGAGGGCGGGGATAAGAGCATTGTCCAAGATTGGAACCGATGGGAACTGTCTTCCGCGGTCGGAATCCTTGAGTCGACACCCCGCTAGCCATGGTCGATCAATGAATGCTGAAATATCTGGGAACCTAGTGGAGAATGGATGCCATGAAAGCCCACCCATGCTTGGAACAGACCTCATATTTCCCCAAAGTTTATCGCCGGAGACCACAATATATGAAGGTGGTAGTTCAGTTAAACCGACTGACATAACTCACAACAACCCCGGTCTTTGGCATGCGTTGCCGCATCAGAATGATCGTACAAATGAAGGTCTTTGGATGGGGACCTGCCAGAATGACAGACGCGCTGAAGTAAAGCACGTTCCAATCAATACTATGCCAGAGACCATATCGGTGCCCACCAACAAGATTCCAACATTCATACCTGCGGATCTCAGGACCGAAAATTCGCTAGCTGTGGCAAACGAGGCTGAATTGCGAGATACTGTCATGGATGAGGAGGATGCTGAACCTTACCCCTCTGATGATTTTGTGACCCAGATATATAATTACTTATCGCTAGGATATCCGTGCGTTGCCCGCTATTATGATCATGAACTCAGCAAGATCTCTGGCATTTCTGTAGCGGATCTCAGGCAAGATGACATAGACACAGATGCCAAAGGGTTTGTTTTCACTGAAGAACGGGGAATAAAGAGAGACAAGAAAAGCAATGGTTGTCGACGATGGCGTGCATTGCGCTTGTACATACACGAATGGGATACCGAACGTCCACGTGTTCCAGAAGAGGATGGCAACCATGAGAAATGGGGCGTACGCGAGAGGAGGGGAAGTTGGGCAGTCTAGGTTAACTCGGGTGAGATGTCTACGGATGCTGGCTTCGAGGGATGACACAGGGTATATATAGTCACAAGTGTCAGGCTGATTCACTTTGTCCCATTCGAGTATACTCCTCTCCCGCTTGATAGCTACTAATGAATGGCTGCTGGGCAGCACACTGCCAGATTCCAATATCTCCCGGACATCATGGCCCTCTATATAGCTCTCTTCACATTGCAAGGTTCATAGGGTATTATCATATCGAGATTACCCCGGTACCAGCATGCTATGTATCATACGCCTAGGGCTAATCCGAGCAATTGTGTGATCAGTCATCGCTGTGGGGCTGAACGCTTTCTTCGTACAGCTGACTTGAAGCATTTCCTCTGTTGGCCCTCTCATGTACAAGACCCGGGAAGATCTTCTGTTCCGAAAAGGCATCTGGCCGGGTTGTAGTCACCGTTATGGGCTGAGTACCAGTGCCTGACATATCGGGTTGGCCACTCCCATCCTGGGGGCGTGTAGAACCGGAAGTCTCAGCTAGGACATGTTCAGTCGGATGAGAAGCTTTGAGAGAGGGTTTGCACGGGCTAAAAGACAACGGAGATTTAGACGTACACGGCGAAGCCGCAACCTCTGGCATCCTATCCTTTGAATGAGTTTTAGTTTCCGGGGGAAAAGACGTAGCCGAAGGCGAAAGGGAATATTTCCCAATGCTAATGTTGCGTCAGCAAATGGATTTTCTTTCATTCTAACCTTCAAGGGGTTGCTCACAGCTGTAGTTCTCCAACAAGCGTTTCATGTCGGAATTCCTCGCGGATATCTGGGACATTGCTCTTGGCGACATTATTCCCAGAAACGCCGGGTAAAGAGCAGTTGGAACCAAGCCATCTTTGCTTTAATGATAACTCAAAACCACTCTGCTCTACCGAATGCTTCGCAAGTTCACACATGTCCACAGCGCTAAACTTGTAGATTTGCGCGGCCACTGAATACTCTTCTATCAATGGTTCCTTCGTAAAAGCGAATTGCAACGGGTCATCTGTAGACAATGATACATTCAGGCCCCGTCTGAAAAAATTAGCACATGGATTTTTGTCATACGTCAAAAACAAGGCGTTATTGCTGAGTGGTGACATGGCGATTCCGATTCGATCCAAATAAAAGAGATACTGGAGCAAAGGGACCTTCCTAAGCAGAATGCCATGACTGATGCTATGGCAGCAAAGAAATCCAACAGCAAGATGATCGGGATCGCCAGCTTCACCACAATGTGGTCTCAACACGAACGTGTTAAACCCGCGCTGCTTTCTCCATGTGTTCAAAGATGCAATGTTTGCAAACATGAAGTAGACCCAATAACTATACGGCGGATTCTGCTTTGTATTCCATTCCTTTGGAATTGGGTACTTCCTGTACAGTCGACGCTCCGCTTTGCTCTCATCGTCAACACTGTCAAATCCGACAACACGCTGCAGAAATATGTGGAGTTTTGGATGACTGCTGGGGTCTTTCGTCACTTCAAACAGTGGCTGGAAGACATTCGTAATTACTTGCTCGAAGTTTTCCATCATACCGCTCGATTTGTAAACGTCATAGAGTCGAGGAACTTGGATAAGCCAGCGGACATTGGGGGAAAACAATTTATTGTCAACCACCCAGGCAGCAAGTTTGTCCCATTCCTGAATGGATCGCCCGTAAATTGAGATGCGCCATTCCACCATTTGATACTTGCTTGATTCTAAGTCGGCTATAACTTCTTTGGTTATCTCCGCCAAGTATCTCCCTTTGATATAGTTGTCTGTTTTAAGAAAGATTTCCCTTAATCTCGATTCGCCCACCGGGTTATACTTCAGGTTGAATTTATCGAACCGATGGAAGGAATCGGTGTGTGCCTGCAAAGCTTTTAGTTACAGAGTGACTGGTCAAGAGATAGGCAACTTACGTGCATATCAAGGGTATCGATACTCAAATCGTATGCAGTGAGGTTGATACTTTCGAAGACTTCTTTTAAGGTTAGGTGTTTCCCATCTCTGAACAAGACAACTTCATCAGGGGACTTTTTCATCTTGCTTTTGATGAATCGAAGAAGGTGCTTTTGATTCATACAGGCCGAGTGATGGACATGCGTGTCCACCTTACGGACATTGTAAAAATCTCTGTGAGGAACCTTCTTGCTATCGGCTATTTCCTGGTACTCATTCAATAGCGTATACAGTTGAAATTTTCCTTCCAGATAAGAGAGTCGTTTAAACGCAAAGCTCTTTGCCGGCCCGTCAGAGGATACATCTATGATCGCATCAAGGTCCATGTAGAAATCCCGCAACGAAGGAATTCGAACAATCGGTTGGGCTGAATCAACGGCAACATCGGTTTCGTAAACTTGATACACGCTGTTTTCATCCAACTTGAAGACCCACGATGATTCCCCGGGTAGAGGCAGGCAGTCGGCTATATCGAAATCTTCACCAATATCCTGACCCATCTTTCTTCTCTTCTGTTCAGTTTGAGTATGATCATTGAATTTGCCAGTGTCTTTGTCATTTTCCCAGGCCGGCTCTGGGGGAGGTGGGTAAACGCCCCACCCAGGGCGGTCTCTGGGGTTATCCTGAGAACTTTGCATGGACAGTTGGATATATTGGGACCGTCGCTCCAACAAGCCCTTAATTTTGCGGCAAATGACATTCAATTCCGATGCGACAGTGTTGCTGTTCGATGTAATATTCACCATGCTTTCCATAGTTCCCAGTCCATCGTATATAGGCCGAGTCGCATCTGTTCCAGGAGCTTTGGCTGCGGGATCACCCGAGCCTTCATGAGACATTGTATGAGGTCTGGGAACTTGTTCCGTACTGGAAATGATGTTCTCTGAATGCTCTTCATGCGAATCGACACCCTGCGTATCAGAATAGGTGCTCCACTGATCACCAGTCGAATGCTGCCCGGCCCAATCAGTAGTATCGGTAGTAACCAAGTGACTTGAACTGTCCTTATGCTTGAGAGCTGGAATGTCACATTCTGGATCATCTGCTAGTGAAGCTGAGGTAAAAGAACTTGGAGGAACCGCGGTCTGGGAAACTTCACCATCAGTACTCCGAGAGGCAAACTGGTGTTGTTGGTAGAAAAGCTTTGCTTCAGCGTGACTCATTGATTTTTCATATGCGTAATCGTAGGTGGGAGTTTTCAGTTGCCTATCCCTTGGGAGGATCTCTCCGGAAGGTGAGTCTCCCACTTCGGGGGTATTAGAGGTACTAGGCGCATTTTCGAGTTCATCATTCTCGAGCGTCATCGCGGGGGGCACCGGTATTCGCTGTAGAAGATTGTAACAAGGCCTAAGGTTGCGTTGGCACCGAGCTGGGAGCAGTGTCTTGCCAAGGCCCTCGGGGTTATTGTTACTATCAGGACTGCGCCTTGTGTACGCCGGTGTAGCTGAAAACCCATAGAGAGCGGTCAAAATTTTTGTCAGTTGACCGCCTACCTAGCTGATACGTGCTACATCATACCTCCTGTCTTTCTGTTCTGTGCATTTGGGGAGCTTGTCCGTTTAAGTATGTACGGAGTACTCTGTAAATTATTGACCTTCGTTCTAGATAGACCTGGCATTTATTGACCTACGTAGTAGAGTTAGACTTTTCTTATCCTGAGGTAGAATTTCGCTCCAGCCTGATGATTGTTGGGGTCATTATCTGTGCGTCTGCAAAGAAAAAGTAAGCAGAGGTCAACTCCATACGCATGGAACTAACGGTGCTCGGAGAACTCTGTAACGCCTTGTACTTCGTACAGCACGTACACAAGGCCTGAGTGCTGCCTGCGCCCCCCATGAGGAAGTTCCTGACACACAGACAAAATATCCTTTTCTAGAACCTGACCTTTTATTCTATTAGTTACTATTATTAGGACTTTATTAAATTTACTATAAATAGTTATCTGTTGAGTTACTTTCTTAGATCTTATTGTTCCTTCTGTGATTCTGTGAAGGCGAGCTAGTTACCTAAGTAGATATAGTTAGTTGCACAACTCCATTCTTTTGGAAGATATCTTGATTGCGCGCGTAGATGCCTCTACTCCGTATGCCTCTACTCCGTACTACCTGCTAACTAGAAGGCCTTTATACGGAGCGAGTACTCTTCAGCAGATGATAATAATACGTATGTACCCAGTACTACCTACCTAGTAGGTACCATTGGTACAGTACATCTGATGTACGGACCGGGTACGGTACCATTTGAGTAAGATTTGTACTGTATGTACTGTACAATACTTTCATGCTAGGTACTGTACCTGTCCATTGTACATACAGAACCTAACTACCTTACCAGATGGTAACTAACTAAAGAGGAACTCGTGCATTCATTCTTCCCTTCACCCCCGACAAACTGGCTTATCCAACCTTGTTAAAATGTCGAGTCCATCCCCTCCCTTTTGATCCTCTCTTTCCTCGGGGTCATGACAAAAACAATCAAAACCCAAACCAAGCTCGGCTCGGGTACGGAGTAAGTTAGATACGCGCGGTAATATTAGATAAGACATACTAGCCAATCAACTAGCTGCTATGTAACTAACTAGTTCACTTTACTAGTTAGGTGTTCCATTAGGCAGACTGAAACCATAGCACAAGCAACAGGCCATTGCAACACTGTGCTTTAACCTTTGCCCAACAGTGAGAACCATCCGACTGTTCGCAGCCCTGAAACCCATAGCCAATCCACAGGTTGCTCTAGGCGCCCATACATTTATACCATCAACTCCTACGCTCCAAGTTGACAACATGACAACACTCAACTTGTCCTCGAATGGGCCCTCCATATCCAAAAGCTACCAAACCGTGGTCAACTCGGCTCTTCCAGCAAGTTCTCCGACATATAGCCAATGGGCCGTATTTTCCGTCTCTACCCCCCTTGTCAACGCTTTCCAGCCAGATGCGGGCAATAAAGAGAGTGTCCTAAAAGTTCAGAACTCTGGAGGTGCGTGCCGAATTCCCCCTAACTCTAAGCAGCCCAATGATGGAAATAAACAACTAATGGAATTATCTCAAGAGGGCGAATTGGCGGACCTTATCGATGAGTTTTCTGAGGGCAAGATCCAGTTCGCCTTTGCTAAGGTGACAGATCCCAATACGGGCCTACCCAAGAACGTGCTTATTGCATGGTGTGGGGAGGGTGTCCCCGAGAGAACTAAAGGATATTTCACTAGTCACCTCTCTGCAGTCTCAAAGTTCCTACATGTAAGCTGTTTTAGTGTCGAAATTTCGATTGTACCACGTTACTAACATCGCGTTCCTCAGGGCTATCATGTCCAGATAACGGCGCGCTCGGATGATGATTTGACCGTCGAGGGAATTATTAAGAAAGTTAGCGATGCGTCGGGTGCCAAATACACCTCGGGAAGTGATCAATCCGTCTCTACCACTCCGAAGCCGCCTGTCTCCACCAAACCCGTCTTTACGCCGTCTCGATCAGGTGGCACTGTCCTGAACAAGACACCAGCTGTCCCACTGCGTGGCCTGACAGACAGGACAAACTCAGATGACGGATGGGGCCCCGATGCCCCTCCGGTCACAAGAACGCAACTCGAAAAGGTTCAACCAGCCTATAAGCCCACCAAAGTGAATATGAATGAGCTCAAATCAGAGAAAGGATCTACTAGCGGAGGTGCCGGTAACGCAAGTGACAACTCTAGCAACGTTGTTAAGGGCGGCTATCAGCCTGTGGGGAAAGTAGACATTGCGGCTATAAGGAGACAAGCACGCGAGACCGGCAATCTCCAGGATGACCGTCCAGCGCCGGTCAAAGGCGCCTATGAACCTGTTGGAAAGGTTGACATCGCTGCAATTCGCTCCAAGGCGCAAACCCCGAAGGAATACCCCGTGGCTTCTGATAATAAATCTACTACACCATCGAATCCCCCGATAGTTACTCCCCAAGCACTCCCTGAACAAAATTCCGAAAGGCTTACCAGCTTGCCGAAGCCCAAGGTTTCAAACAAATTTGGTGCCACCCCGGCATTTGCCGGGACGAGGCCACCTCTCCCCAGTGATTCTATGTCAAAACCAACCTCGTCACATTTGCATGGAGCAAGCAGAACATTTGCCGACCAAGGAGGGAAAACCCCCGCCCAACTCTGGGCAGAAAAGAAGGCCAGAGAGCGTGGAGAGGATTACGCTTACGAGACTCCTGTCCATGGAGAGACTGGTGGGAACGAGGAATGGAAAGGCTCCTCTAACATCAAGTCTTCTGGTCCTATCCAGGCAACGCATTCCGGACAGTCCGTCGGCAGTAGTACTTTTCACGATTCTGCGGTAAACAGAGGCGACAATTTTGAAACAGAACCTCGAACTTTCCTGCAACAAGAAGATACTACAACTGCTGCTGTTGCCGCTGCTGCTACTGCTACTGCTGCTACTTCTCACGATGACCCTGCTGTGGAATCCGCTGAACAAGATTCTAGTCCCATTCCAGAGGCAAAGCATTACATGCACGCGCCCGAAATGGTGTCAGAGCCTGTTCAGCAACAGGCTCATAATCCCGACAATGATCAACTTGTTTCAGAGACATCAGAGCAAGCTGGTCCCCGCAGCCCATCCCCTCCGCCTCGCGAAACCTCGCCCATCCGTGTTGCCATGCCAGTTAGCAGAGAAGCGACTGATCCGCAGACCGAACAAGGTGTCAATTCCTCCGTCAGTCAGTCAGACGAGATGCAGCATACCATCTCTAATCAATATGCCTCTGAGGATGATTTGCAAGATGTCGCCCAGGAAAGAAGCCAAGCAGCTCCGGAGAACCTTAATCAAAAAGGAGGCATCCAGGCCATTGCTCAGTACGATTATGACAAGGCAGAGGACAATGAGCTTGAACTTCGGGAGGGAGAACATGTTTTAGATGTCGACATGGTTGATAAGGATTGGTGGCTGGGGTCTAACGTCCGCGGCGAAAGAGGCCTTTTCCCAAGCAATTACGTCGAAATTGTCGAGCATGACCAGCAGAACGACAACCCATCGGATGTCCAAGACATACACGGTGCAGATAAGTCGGTCTCTAATACTGAGTCGACTGCGGCCGTGCCTCCCGTGGCCAGCTCAACTCTTGCACCGAGTGCAATGGCATTGTATGATTACGAGGCTGCAGAGGACAACGAACTTAGTTTCCCTGAAGGCGCTCAGATTACAAACATAGTAAGTGATATTCTGTTTCGCGTCCTGAGTCCATTATTATCCATTATCCCTTGTCGTTCCATTGTTGTTTCAATCAATTGTGATTAACCATGGCTTTAGGAGTTCCCGGATGATGATTGGTGGTTCGGTGAGTTCCATGGCAAAAAGGGACTCTTCCCTGCCAATTACGTTCAAATTGAGAAATGAGATTGTGGGCCTAGTCACATAGTAGTGTAGCTGTTGTCATTCACAAATACAGTTCACATCAATATCAAATGGTTGGCTTAGCTTTTTGGGCAGCAGGTCATGCCCACTAGAGTCAAACCGATTTCTGTAATTAGACCAATGTCGTATAGTTACAATGGGAGGAGACAGAAAATGAAGGGAAAGACAAGGAAAAACCGTATGGCATAGGGAAATAATCTCATACTATTCTTTTTTACGTATTTCGTTTCTTATAGTAGTTCATCGAAGTTCTCCGCGGCAGAATCACTCAACCAAAGCAAGATGCAGACCACAAATACGCGCGTTGTGATTACGTAAGCGAACTCCACGAGCCCATCATGTCACATGATCACTGGGATCCCATCTTTAACTCCAAACTGAAGACGCAAGGCACACTAATGCATGGAACAACATCATTCGTGCTACGTGCAGGATAACCAGGGGTGCTGTTCTACTTTAAACCGATTCTTTTTGTTCTCAATATTTTCCTTCTTTCTTTCGCCTTCTCATCGAACGCAACCCGGTCTAGAACTTCACTATATATCGTCATAAACCACATTGATCCTCGCCAGCTTTAAATCAACCCATTATTTACTGACCAATATGGCGTCATTGAGTGAGGATCTGCTCGTGACTGTCAACAAACTACAAGATCTTGTTTTCAATACAATTGGCAATGATTCTCTTGATTTACCTCAAATTGCAAGTCTTTCCCTATGGCATCTAATGGCTAGTTCGGTCAGCTTGTGCTAACTCACACTCTAGGTTGTGGTAGGCTCCCAATCATCTGGTAAATCGTCTGTGCTTGAGAACATTGTCGGAAGAGACTTTTTGCCGAGAGGGAGCGGTATTGTTACTAGACGGCCTTTGATCCTGCAACTCATAAATATCCCTAGCGAACGCCATGACAAACCCGGCAGCGATGAAATCCACGTGCCTCACACAGCTGCTAGTGTGGCTGGTCAGCATGAGTGGGGAGAGTTTCATCATATACCTGGTCGAAAGTTTGAAGACTTCGCTCTGGTGAAGCAAGAAATCGAAGCCGAGACAGCGCGGATAGCTGGAAGCAACAAAGGCATTAATAGGCAACCGATCAACCTGAAAATTTTCTCGCCTCATGTGCTCAATCTCACTATGGTTGACCTGCCGGGATTAACGAAGGTTCCTATCGGGGATCAGCCGTCAGATATCGAGAAGCAGACCCGAGCCTTAATATTGGAATACATCGCCAAGCCAAATAGTATAATTCTAGCGGTTTCCCCGGCAAATGTTGACCTTGTGAACTCCGAAGCACTCAAGCTCGCCCGCCAGGTGGACCCCATGGGCCGGAGAACCATCGGAGTATTGACGAAGTTGGACTTGATGGACCACGGCACCAACGCTATGGATATTTTGTCTGGCCGTGTCTACCCCCTGAAACTTGGGTTCATCGGAGTCGTCAATCGATCGCAGCAAGATATTCAATCCGGGAAGTCGCTGTCCGATGCCTTGCAAGCTGAAGTGGACTTCTTTCGACATCACCCTGCGTATCGGAATATGGCCAATCGGTGTGGGACACAGTACCTCGCGAAAACACTGAACACTACTCTGATGGCTCACATTCGTGATCGCTTGCCTGACATTAAAGCGCGTTTGAATACTCTTATGGGACAAACACAGCAGGAACTCGCCAGCTATGGCAATAAACAATTCAGTGGAAAGGAACATCGTGGGTCACTGATACTACAATTGATGACTCGTTTCGCCTCGTCCTTCATATCTTCTATTGACGGGACTTCCTCCGAGATTTCTACGAAGGAGCTATGCGGAGGGGCTAGAATTTACTACATCTTTAATTCGGTATTTGGAAACTCACTTGAAACGATCGACCCAATCCACAATCTATCTGTTCCCGATATCAGAACCGCAATTCGAAATTCAACTGGACCTCGGCCCAGTTTGTTTGTCCCAGAGCTTGCGTTCGATTTGCTCGTGAAGCCCCAAATCAAAATGCTGGAAGCACCTAGTCAGCGGTGCGTGGAGCTTGTCTACGAGGAGCTCATCAAGATTTGTCACACCTGTGGCTCACAAGAACTTCTAAGATTCCCTCGACTTCAAGGAAAACTCATCGAAGTTGTTTCTGATCTTCTCCGTGAACGCTTGGGGCCTTGTTCAGTATACGTGGAATCTCTGATATCCATTCAAAGGGCCTACATCAACACGAATCATCCGAACTTTCTTGGAGCCGCAGCAGCGATGTCTTCCATCATCCAAAACAAACAAGAAGAGGAACGTAGGGCTGCATTGGCCGAGGATAGAAAAAAACGGGAGAAACGACGATTGAAGGAGTTAGGAGGTCTCAATGGCGGCTCATCGGCATCACCGGAAGACGAGGAGCAACAACAGGTTGAAGGGAAGATGCAAAGTATTTCATCGAAAAACCAGTCCTCAAGAGCGACAAGAAGCCAATCTCCCCATCTGAATAAGCCACATGAAAGTGGTATTGCCGCAACACTGAATGGTGTACACTCGAGCCCTCATGCCGTTTTTGGAGCTACCAACTCGACCCGTGATTCCTTCCTCAATTACTTCTTTGGCAAGGATGGCACACAGTCCCCTAGTGCGATTTCTCAGCCTCCGACTCATACCAAGCAACCTCACCACCCAACGGACTCTAGCCACATTCAGAACATCCGGCGTACCGAAATACGCTCCCCAGTTATCTCCCCAGAAGATTTTGCACCTCTCCCGGAATACGGTAGTGAACCTCACTCAATGGTAAGATACTACTGTCGCCAACTGTCTTGTTTGTATTGATGGCTAATTAATTATTTCTTGGAAAGGAAAACTCTGAGCCGGCTCTTTCTGATCGTGAACTATTGGAGACCGAATTGATCCGCCGGCTGATATCTTCATATTTCAACATTGTAAGAGAGACGATCGCCGACCAGGTCCCAAAAGCTATTATGCATCTTCTTGTCAATCACAGCAAGGATGTAGTGCAAAATAGGCTAGTGAGTGAACTTTACAAGGAGGATTTGTTTGGAGAATTGCTTTACGAGGATGATGGCATCAAAGCGGAAAGGGAGAAGTGCGAAAAGCTCTTGGACACCTACAAGGAGGCAGCCAGAATAGTGGGCGAGGTCTTGTAATTCTGCAAGCCGCGCCAGGCCGGTAGGGGCCTCAATGACGGTATCACCATCTCTATATGGACACATGGGTACCCCTGTAACTATACTAGAACACCATCTATTTGCTAAGGATATGATCCAGATAAAAACTTTATGTATCAATATAAGCTCCCAGGCGAAATCTGATGATGGTTTCTAGCAAATGGATGGTGATTTGTTTGCAGCGTAGACAAAAATGACCCGGACAGCTCTTTGCTAAACAGGCTTGCAGTAAACACAATAAACGTTCACAATTGGCCCTTGTATATGACGAGCTCCAAAGGATAGCATGCCGCTTCCTTAAGAGCCGAACGCAAAGACTGGAAAGATTGTTGACCGGAGCCGAGATTCAGAAAGATGCTAATTATTCTTGGTACTTCTCAGCCGCGCACCCTCGAAGCCATACAATGCGCCCCCTGAGAAGACAAGTAGGCCACCGATGAGCACACCCAGCGCAAGATCATTGCCAAACAGATAGATTGACAATACAAGCGAGAGCAATTTTCGAATGTTCAGTACTATAGTAACAGTTAGGGAAGACGATTTTGCCGAGAGGTAATGAACCCCACGAATGCAAAGATATTGTGTCAAGGCATTCATCAGGAGGTAGACCATCCGCATTGGAATAAATGCCAAGAAAGGAGCTAGGTGAGAGTCTCTAAGAGCTCCTAGAAAGGTGCCTGCACTGGTTCCGAAAGGCAATTTTGTGGCAGCAAGATTTCCGACTTTGTGCAAGGTGGAATTTGAAGAGCCGCCCTCTGCCATCAATGTGGTCACTTTGGAAAGCAAGTGGGGCGATAAGAAGAGGGCTTGCCATTGACTCAGCAGATGCGAATATGTTGGTATGAAAAGTGGCAACGAAAGCGTATGTGAGTAAAAGAGAGCCTCTTTCCAATGGCTTCTCCCGTACCTTTCGTACAAACGATCTGCATAGATCCCCTGGAAAGCAGAGAGGATCATTGCAAGAGCAAGGATAGTGAAACCGATCAAGGTTCTAGTGAACCTGGCGTCGCTATCTTCGTTCCCGATCCCAATAGAGCCCTTAGCACGCGCATCTGCTAATGCTGCAGTGACAACGCCTAGGGTAAGCATCGCCACTGAAATGACCTGACCTTGTGAATATCTTTTGAAATTGAAGAGATAACCAACAATCATAGATGCAACCGGCCCCCCGGATCTGAGTATTATGTGCAACGGTACGGAGATCTTGTAAGCAAAGGCCCAATTATTGAGAAGATTCACGGTCACAAAGAAGGCCGTATATATGAACCACGACCTCAGGGGGATAGCCCTCGGACCAAGGAATAAGGATCGGGGACCAGCAGACAGCGACATGAAACTAGGCAAGGTAAACAGTGCAGTCAGTATAAACTGAGCAAAGGTTATTAAAGGACCTTCAAACAAAAGAAGTCAACCGTCAAGATAGAATCATATCGGAAGGGGTTGAGACTGTATATACCTGAGGAAGGCTGATCTCTAGAAACATATCAGTAAGCTAAAGACGTTGCTGCGCGTCGAGTCTGCATATATAACTCACTTGATAATGGCCTCCAGGGCAAATACCTGATTCATACCATTAGCATTCTACTACTATTTGACCACTTTGTGTACACAAACGGAACCCACGTTAGCACAGCAGCCGCCAAATATCAGTGAAACCATAAGAACTATATTCGTCCAGTCGGGGAAGTTCACAAGTGTTATAGCACTTATTATACCGCCCAAGCTTGCCCTGGCTTCTCTTCGCCCCTCGTTCTTATCTCTCGAATCTTCGATCACACCGGAAAGCTCTTCTGTTGCCCGGAGCTTGGCGGAGACAGCATCTCGATTGCCAGCCCTCCCTTTGGAATTGTCGACCCTGTGTCTCCGTGTGATGCGATCGCCCTCCGACATGGTTTTCGGGTGGTTGCCAAAGCTGGGAAAGAGAGGCGGGGTGTTGCAAATAGACGAGGACTGGCAACCCTGGGAGAAAATCGGAACCAGGAGACTCTCAGGAGCAGATGTATGTACAAAAGAGAGAAATTGGAAGAGTGGACAGAACTGGAGAGAGGTGGTAGGATCTTACGGATACGGAGCACGCGTGGCGTGGTGTCTATCCGCTGTAGTGAGTAAAGATACCACCTATGTATTACTGTATAGATAGGTACGGTATTGTGTATTTTGGATACCTCGATATAGTAAATAGACTGTATGTATGTATGTATGTATGTACAGTACATACCTAGCTATCATATCAATCATCAACTATGTCCTCGTCGCTCAATAGAAGGCCCCCTTCCTCAGCCCCGTCGGCATACTTCTCATGTGAGAGCATTATCAATGAAGCCCCATCCGACGCACGAGGACCAGTTCCGGGGTGATAATGATAAGGGAAATCATCTTGATCACCCAGAGTCTCATACTCTGAATCCAGTCCTCGCATTTCAACAAGTCTTTTAAGCTCTGGCAAGTATGGCCTGTTCCAAGGCATTCTGGCCATATATGGCAGCTGATAAAGTAGCATGTCACTACGTGACACCACGGTCACGATCGGTCGTTGCGCACCGTTGCAATCTCCCGTGGCTCTAGTCCGAGTATCTCCACCGTGCTTTCCCAAACCTGATGTTGACTGAGTGGCCTGATGAAGCGCTTTGTTCAGCCACAGGTTCAGAAGACTTTCCACTTCCTCTGTATCGTATGATAGGCGCAATGATGCCGGGAACGACAATTTATGCGCCTCGTTTACTCGTCCACCAGTTGTCGCTTGTCGCTTTACGGGGTAAGGAAGAGAAAATAAAAGACCCCGAGTAGCAACCTGGTAACTAATATCCTGCTGTCGAATCACATCGGTACCGGCGTTGGCACCACTAATACCAGCCCTAGCACCCGCCCATGATCTGCGAGCATTATCACGACTGAAGCACAAAGCATCACTATCGGACAATGCCTCTGTGCACCCACCAAGGTATTCTGTAAAAGAAGGACCGTTACAAGACGGAACATAGTTTTCATGAAGTGCATAAACAAAAGTTTGGATGTCGGTTCCCGTCGCATCAACAAGTTCATTGACGGAAACTTGAGGCACTTTTGGCCGGTCGTGGCGGATGAGATGATCGGGGGTTGCAGCAAGGCCGTCAACGTCTGCTGCGATGTTTTTGTCCTCTCGTTTATTGTATACAATCTTTCCAACGGCATGGAATATGCCTAGACTGGCCTCTCTATGGGTAACCAAATCTAAGGCTTCTTTTTCGGTGGACGTCAACTCTTCGGAGTCCTGAGTTTTCTTTGAAGTCCTCGAGGCTCTTTTGATCGGTTCTCCAATACCTTCAGTCCTCCGACAAAGAAATTCCAAGGAAGAAATAGCACTTCGAATGTCTCCAACTCTGGAAATATTGTGTAGCATGGTTGCCCTTGGAAACCGAAAGTTTTTGGAGTGGCGAGACTGTTTCAACAAAACATCCTTGAGAGCCTTTTGCATGATTGTGGGAGCAATACTGTTGAAATCGATAACAGTCGTGTGGTGATGGTTGCATACTTCAGGCCCGAGTAGGCGATTGACCGTGAGAGTTTCAGACGAAAAATTGAGAAGCGCCTCCGATACAATGATCACTATTGGAGGGACCTCGTTATAGTTTGGTCGGCAATGAGGTTTCAACGCTGATGGTACTGTCATAGCGAGGTAACGGTGGAGTGAAAGTCTAAAAGCAGCAAGAGAGGAAGACCATGTATTTGAAAAAGTAGGGAATTCCTCTATGAGAACAATGCGTCGTGAACGGAGACCGGGGTCAGCGCCCGTTCCAGCTTGAGGAACACTCCTATCTTCACTCAGATCGAGCCCTTTGAAGTCATGACAACGCCCAAGAAAATCATCAAATCGTGAGGATACTGTAACGGATCCCCTCGACGGAAATTGGGAGACCAGGGGATTCTTCCATTCTAAAATATCGAAATTCAACGTTTTTGACAGTAACGATATAGTCGTAGTTTTACCGCTGCCTGCAGGGCCTCGAAGAACAAGAAGCCTCTTCTTTCATTAATGAGGATCATATGGTTTGATTTGAGAAACATTATCGAAAGAAATCAAACAAAGAGACAAAAGGAGCAGCAAGACGTACACTTCTATCAGTCCCCATAAAAGAAGCTTCCAGCCAATGTCGCACATCGGACACTTTCTTCTTATGGACGGCCAGCTCCTCCAGATTAAGCGGCTGAAACCGCTGCGCCCAAGGTATACTACCATCGCCGCAGTTATCGAAAGGTGGAATATTACCGCTGTCGGTAGGCTCGGGTGGCAGAATGAAACGTTTCGAGGGGTTCGTAAATCTCTCCGAACGGCTTCTAGTTTTGATCGACGCGGCATTTGAGGTCTCACGGCGGCGGGATGACTTCGACTTAATCTTCTGGTCTGCGATATTCTGGCCGGAAAAATGTTTAGTGAATAATTCTTCGCAGGAGTCATAATCGTCGATTATGTCCTCATCAACACTTCTGCTAGCACTAGCAGAGGTTGACTCAGGCACCCGAGTAAGTCGCTCTGCACAAGGAGCTCCCACAGTCTCTTCGAGTCTGTGATCTAATTGATTAGCTGCAGAGAGCGCTTGCGTTCCCCTTTCATCCACCGAGGAATGAACAGAAGAGGCGGTGGCATCCTCGCTGGCTACTGCTGAGCAAGGGCCGTTTTGAAGTGATGAAGACATATTGGAATGCCATGGAGCACGGCCGTGTTTAATTTCCAAAGACGAGTTAGATTCTAATGGGCACTGATGGCCAGCCTCGTCATGTTCAGCTTGGGCTTTATCGACACCTTCTGAATAGCTTGTTAGTGTGCGCTGCCGTTTTGTCGCACGGGAGGTCATGGTCATTAAGATAATCCACCGGGGAAAACCGCTTGCATGGTCGAAAATAGCGACGCGTGTAGCATGACCTGGCGGTGTATTGTGACTCGTCTTCAAGGGGCTGCGATAGGTAAGGTAGTAAGTGGTACGGAGCAGTACCTAGGTAGGTATGCAGGTAAAACTATGAACGTAGGTAGTTGTTAGTAGGTAGGTAGTCGACGTAGGTCGGTGGGAGGTAACTACTCCGTACCGCTTACCACCTTAGTAAGGTAAAGTATGTAACTATATATTCGGTAACTACGGTAATACCCACCACGGTATACCAACCTACCTACCTAGATAGCGAATTAGGTATTACGGACTTAAATCGGTTCTACTTTCTACCTATACTACTGAGGTATGCACTGTACCCCTAAGATGCCTTAGGTAGAATCTTAGGTAGGGTGGAAAGCTGTACAGTACAGTGCGCAGGGGTCGATATCAAGTCTGATTCTAGAGTACCTATGTATGTATATACATACATACCTACCTATAGGCAAGGGCAACAGCCCAGGCCTTGTGTGTATACAAACGTACGCATACCTGTACCTACCTGGTACCTATATTGGTACGTTGCATTCGCTGCCAGGCACTGCACTTACTCCGCTTTCTTCTGCCCCGATTTCATGCTTCTTGGGTGGTCATATGAAATTAAGACGTCCTAACGATGCGATATTGAGAGAAGTCAATTGAGCAGGTTCAAGCCTGCCCGAGTATTATTCAGCCGCCTTGGTAGGAACGGAAATAAGAAAGATACGTTATATTACATAAATGGATAGACGAGTAAGTCCGTTTATGCGATTTGGACAGCAAGTGGATACGAATTAACTGCCCCCGAAAAGGTCATAGTAATAGTCGTCATCAAGACCTTCACGAGACGGAACGTGAGGAGCTTCGCCTGCAAAAACGGCGTCGTCGAACCTGATATTCAATAAACGAATTTTTAGCCCATAATCACTCACTGACTTCACCAATTTGCCCGTTTCTGAGGTGATGGGCTGTTGGCCGAGAAGCATGAGCAAGCCATCGAGCCACTCAGAGGCGATACTAGGGGACTGCGGACGAAGGCTCAGTAAGACAGTCTCGCCTTGTGTTGTTCTGCTGATTGAACGATCGTGGCTGCTTATTTTCTTAGATTCGCCCGGCATTGAATGCGGTTGCATATACCCATGAATGGTGATTTTCGTGGAAGGATGCTGCAACATGCTCTTTATAGTTGAAGATGACGAGTTGTTGGATGACGCTGAAACATTGGAGACCACCGAAGACACAACTGACAGATCGACTAATGGCAAGGACGAATTGTTCATTAGTAAGGTGAACGAGGCAGCTAGGGTATTCAGGGCGCCTTACTCTTCTCTGGTAGAGTATCAAGCTCTGGGTTGCAGTTTCCTCTCGAGTCGAAATCGCCGAAATGTATAAACCTCCGGTTATGTGAAAGTTGAACGAATTTCCACGAAGACTCTTTCGGCGCAATTATGTCTGACTTGGACGCTCCCTCGTTCGGAAACCAACAGCCTTGTAACAGACACCGAATCCTTTGTTCTTTGATAAATTGAAGAACCTCATTGTGCAGTTCCTCCCGCACCTGTCGTAGATGCTGACCCCAAACGTCTTCATAAGTGAGCTCCAATAACTCCATCTGCAGCTCACGGAGACGATTATACTCGAAATCGGCAAGCTCCTCTTCCACATCTTGCACGTCTTTAGTTCGAGACGCCCCACCGACAGCAGATTCGATGAGAATACGAACAAGCTCAACAATTTTGTCATAGTCTTCAACCTCCGCTCCAGTTGCCTTCCATAATCGGAAAAATGCATGTACTCCCGCAACATGAAGCCGGGTCCAATGCAGCAGTAGAGGGTTAAACAGCTTGTCAAGATTTGAGCGAGACTCCAAGATCAGATAGCTTTTGGCATCTTCTATATCGGACTTGTCCACCTCAAAATGCTCGTACAAGACGGAGGTGACAGATAAGGAAGCCCGAGCAATCGGACACCGTTCCTGAATTGGCTTGGTCGATTGCTCTAGGAGCATTTTCTGGAATTCATCCTGATGGCTTCTAACGTAATCGGCGAGATCCATCATTCCTAAGAAGCCCGTTTTTTCAAACTGCATGACTGGACTTTCTGACTCAAATCCAAGCCGCCTCCATTTGTCTGTGTTGTGCTTCTTGGACCGCCGCATCTCGGTCGCACCATCATTCCCTTTGTCCAGATTCCTCTCCGGTTGACTAGCCAGATGTATCCCCTTCAGCGCTCTCCTATGTTCCGCATTCTCCATATCCAGAGGAATATCTCGCCACTTTCTCAGAAGGACTTTGGTGAGAGATTGGAACTCTATTAGAGGGTGGGCGTGATCCTGCAAACTTGTCCCTTGCATCAGTGCATATACGGCCTTGATAACACCAAGATCTTGTAATTTTTGTATAAACTTCGGCCATTGAGATGCCGAGTCATTCGTAATGGAATCGCGCATGAGCGAGTTTATCAGTTGAAGCGCATTAGCGCACAGGGCATGGTCCGCTGACGATAACCGACTGACAAGCATTTCCAGAAACTGCGGATAGGCGGCGATGGCAGGGTTAAGAGCGTGAAAGCCAAAAGCGCCGCTTTGTGATATGCGACTTCCAGTCTGAGGGTGTGATACAATCGAAACGAGTATAGACATTGCGCCGCGCAGGATGTTAACAAGTGGGTGAGTTACGATGAGCTCAACAATCTAAAGGAAATCAGGAGAATTGTCAGTACATGCGTATGCATAGGGCAGATCGAATGAGTAGTGTTTATCTTATAACACTTACCCTCTCGACCACCTCCTGATTTATAAAATCCCACCCTTTATCCACCTCAAGCAGTCTAGCCAGGCTGGTTAGGCTATATGCTAGGGTATTTCCACTTGTATGTAAAGTGAGGAATCGTAGTTTGACCAGCCCACCTTCCATAATGAAGACATCTGCAAAGGAAGGATCCCCAATAAGGCTCTGCAATTTGAAGACGGCCATTTTCCGGACGGCATCTTCGTCACTGCCCAGTCTTTCGACAATTTCGGAAATGTTGTCCATGATGAGACACACTTGCTATGTTAGCACCAATGATTTCTCAGAGCCTCTCAGCCAGGCCAACACCAATAATGCGTTATGAATATGATGCAGCTGCTGCGGAAAAGTTAAAAGGAACAATTGATCTGGCCAATGATTTATTCAGCAAGAGATTGTGTGTGCATGCGGGCATATGCGTATTCCTGAGCGACATGTACATACAATCCACCCACGGCAGTAGGTATCAAGACATTGAGAAGTATGCAGCAATCTGGTAGGCACTTGGGTACGGAGCAGGTGGTGGCACTGGAGAGCGGCAGTTAGTGCGACTGTGCTTGCGACCCCAATATGAACGAACTCCGTCGTTGATTGCCAAGACCAAGATGTGGAGTTCACAGTTGAGCGGGACCAGGGGAATTAAACTCTCACTAGTACTGCCTACGATGTACTAGTACTGTGCATATCAGTGGACTGTACGGAGTAGTATACAAATATAATCTGGCTGCGCGAATCTGAGCTCTGTAGAGATGAGCTTTGGCATCGCTATGTATGTACATACCTAATCTAGGGTGCGAAGGTAGGTACGGATGTATGTAACTCCGGAGCAAGCTGTATACTTATAAATGTAGGTAACTAACTAATGCACTAACTAATAAGAATACGTAAGATGCATAGTAAGGTAACTTACTGTACATACTGTATGTACTAGGTACGGAGTACCACTCTGTAGGTACTGTATTTTCCCCTGCTTGGTGTACAGTCACTTACAGGAAGTGACGAGCCACCTGTAAGTGCCGCCTTCGCAAGGGGCGAAACTTGGTCAGGCACTTAGTTCCCTTAGGTAGAGGTACTGCTACTTCGGAGCGACCCCGGATATACCGCGGTCCGCACTAGGAGCGAGGTACAGGTACAACGAGATGAGGGAGAGGAGTGCGATTGACATAATGCACGACGGCAATCATCGCAATAAACCATGTTCCAGCCAACCCAGGAAGATCTGTTCTCGCTGTGCTGTCGAGAATGTGACCAAAACAGGAGTAGAGGTGGTGAAATGCCTTGATTGTGTAAGAGGCTATCTATCTCACTAGGCGGTCCACCTAAAACCGTCTAGTTTTGTCTATAGTGGAACGTTTGACCACTGGACTACTAAAAGACTAGAATACCAAGTCAACAGACTTGGTACGCGCATCGCTCTATATAGTGGTTCTTGGTCAGTTCGTCACAAATTGGTGGGGTGGCTCGTCACTTCCTGTAGGTGACTGTACTCCACAAGGCCGACGCCGTAGATAAAATGAAAACCTACCGCCTTCCTTAACCACCCTTCTATCTTCCTACATGATAAACATACACAAGCTACTACGTGATGATGCTGGCCATTCCATCATATGCTAATAACAATGTCAGAGAACCATGGTTCTTCCAGCTTTCACATCAGCTCAAGGAAGCGGAAAAGAAATTTATATCAACCTGATATGATAAACATGACTACTGCGTAAGACTGAGCTTTCTTGTGCTGCTTCTTCCTTCGATCTTTTTCTTTTTTCTTCCACCTTTCATTCGATGTACAGGACAAGTTCTCTAGACAATTATCCATACCACTGTCCACTAATTCACTTTCATTTTCTAACTTTCAACAGTGATCAATCCGTTCAACTTCCGGCGCACAGCTTAGATCCTACTTTCCCCTCAAGTCATGCAGAATCGCTGAAGGGGCTCTCAACCTATCATCCACGGTGTCTTCCACGAAAACGACGACTTCCCCAACAGCTCTACTGCTGCCCACAACAAACACAGCCGCTGCCAGGTATATGGAGTCAATCACTACCAGCACAGGTGGCGCAAACAGGTGCCTTAACACCACAAATTTACTTCTCGACGATCTCGAAATCCCCCTCTATCTCCCCAAAGAATGCTCTTGAGAATTCCAGTCTATTCCAGCAAAGCCCGTGCACACCTGCATCATCTTTACGCCCATGTCATATCTGCTACAGGAAACCTACAACCCGGGAATTAATTGAAGCATATACAGATTGTAGTATATGTGGCCAGCGAAGTTGCTATATCTGCCTTCGCCAATGTGAGGCGGTCGATTGCATTGGCATGGGTCACTTATTAGGGGAAACTTATTCATGTCATGATTCCCCTATCATAATGCACGACGGCAATCATCGCAATAAACCATGTTCCAGCCAACCCAGGAAGATCTGTTCTCGCTGTGCTGTCGAGAATGTGACCGAAACAGGAGTAGAGGTGGTGAAATGCCTTGGTTGTGTAAGAGGCTATCTATCTCACTAGGCGGTCGTTTGTTTTCAAAGGTCTGGGATGCCAATTTTGCATGGAAGTGTTTGTGTCAGCTTGTCTGGACATTGAGTCGGATATAATACATACATTCAACAGGTAAATGATTGCAGTTATTGACAGTGGGATGTAGCGAAAGGGGACCTGGAGCTCTAGTATCCAAATGTATATAGTTACGAACAATTTATCCCCTTTCCTCTCTCTCTTGGTGGATTGCGTAATGCTATTATGCAACCTCTGAATCACTTGTTAGTCGTCTCCTAACAATTCGCAGAATGAAAACTCATTTTCGATTGGATATGTTCATATCAATGGATAAACTGGTATACTGCACCGTGGAGTGATCGGATATCAAGCCAAATGAACAATTGTACTCTTCAAAACCATTCGTCGACATAAAACAATACAAGCAAAGACAATGGTTGATACTACTTCCTATAGGCTACCCTTGGTACTTTCCCTCTCACCTGATCTGATGGCGCCGTTTTACCCTGACATAATTGCCGTTAACTAGGATAGGTAATATATGATATTGATTTTGTACTAGGCGTCTCTTAGACGGCCATAAACTCTTATCGCCCAAATCTCATTTGAGCTCCTGCAAAATGCCATAGACCCCGGCAGAAACCTTGATACTCGACGGCCTCGCCAGAGCCGGTTATGGTGCTGCTCTTATCTCCGGTACAGAACATTTCCGTCAGACGGATATGCCAGGGTGGATAGCCGTCAAGTTTCAGGAAAGGGCCGAATACTAGAAGTAGGTCTGGCTCAGGCTTCACAGAAACAGGATTGGGAACTAATTTGTTCCCGCTCAGACCCGGCGCTGTAGCCTGGGAAGGTTGTGTAGTAATCTCACTAATTTCTGCGTCGACCAGATCTATGGTGATGTCTTCAGGTGATAGTTTGCCGTTCTGGGACATTTCAGCCAGAGTTTTGGTGAGATCCACAAAGGTTTCCCGGCCGTCGGTAGCAGAGAGAAGGAGTACCGTGAGAGTATCCGGGTTATACTTGGGGGTAGACGAATTATCTTGATGGATGGGGTGGTGGGGAGCAAAGAGCCGCAATGTCGGTTGTTGAGCAGGGGAGCCATAGTATGAGGATAGCATGGCCAGAATGACCTGGTTCAAGGTGGGAATGCATGATTTTAGAATTCCTGAAGAATCAGTTGTTAGATATGGGTTGCCTTAACAAAATGCTTTTGATCTTGGTATGTTCAAATTGCATTCGTTAACTAATCTGGGTTCAACGCACCGTTTTTCTCATAGACACTCAGCACGGGAATGCCAGCACTAACGCTCCAGGCGGCCAGTTCTGCTACTTCATTCATCAAAATTGCAAGAGCATCATCCCCAGCCCGAAGCGACAATATCACGCTTAGATGCTCTGGCAGGCGATCCAGATTTTTTACGTCTTTTCGGATCAACTCAGGTGTGCGGTGATGGTGGTATACCACCGCAAGAATGCGATCCGAAACCGCATGATAAACCTGGAACAGACGCACAGCGATTCCGAAGACAATATGAATGACGGAGTATATTAGATGGTGTAGTTGAGACTTGAGGAATGTGCGGATAGGGGTTTTCCGGATTGTTGCTTTCTTTCGCCGTTGTGGTTGACGTGGTAGATCCGACGGCTCTGGTAAATAGGGTTTGAGTAGGCTCTCACGCTCAGCAACACTGAGCCTTGTCCCCCTTTCACGATTATCATCTCTGAAAAGTTGCCTATCGCGTTGTGAAATCATAGTTGTTTAATCACGACAAGAAAACAATGGTTTGTAGGAGGCTTGAATGGGTGGGTGGGTGATGGTTGGTTATAATACGGAGTACATAGGTAGGCACCAATCGTACGTACAGTACCTATTACAGATTGTCAGTTAAGGTATTACCTGGATATGTAAAGTACCCGTATGCAACGGGGTCGGAAAACCACCTACCAGCCTGTTTGGGGGCGGAATCGGAACATTGATTCTGCATGACGTGGTATGTATGTATGTATGTATGTATGTATGTATCTATTTACATCAACGTACAGTAACTCGATCTCTGGTGTTCCCGCAAAAGTTCAATGAAACACTAGACAGACTATAGGACATCATAATTATATATTATATATGATCTATGGCGGACCGATGAGTTCGTCAGCAAGTCGACGGACGGATGATTAGAACGCGATTTCCCTTGGAATTCTGGCCCACTTATGTACTCCGTAACTACGGAGTATGCGTAACTGCCCGGCTTCCTTTCCGCCCATTCGAGTACCTACCACTCCGTAACTCCAACGCATGTGAACTCCTCATTGTGAAGTTGCTATAAGCTCGCTATCTACTTCTCATCTCAATGAAGGTGGAAGGCAGCCACCAGCTATTGCAAGGATGCCGGACACAGTGTCCATGACTTCTCAAGCGACTCCCGCATCTCGATCCGTCTTTCCCAAAGGCCCTAGCTTCACGTTGGAGGACTTCTCGAATCGCGACTTTATTGTCAAAGAATTCATTGAGACGCTTTCTGACACCGCCGCATCGAACCGTCGATCCATCATAGGGCCTAGCAGCGCAAACCAATTATTTGATCCCAAACCACTCATCCGTACCTTCGAGCACGCCCAGCAACGGCTTGGCGAATTATCTGGCGACCTCGAAATAAGAGAGAATGAGTTATCTGCTGCAGTACGCAGGGCGGAGGCGCAGCACTCGCAAAATCTTAATACACTAGGCAGGAAGCTAAAACAGACGATTGGGTCCTTCCAGCAGTTGGACACCTCGCTCAACGGAGCAGGGACACAGATCGCTGGTGCCGACAATGCTGAGGCTACAGGGAACATGGCCGTGGAAACGGGACGACGACTAGAAGAGCTTGATAGGCAAAGACGACGAGCACTGGATGCATACTTTTTACTCCAGTGCTGGGAAGGCGTTAGCAACAGGGGCGAAATAACACTACTGGAGAACCTACGGAGATCTGGGACTGGCGAGGCCAAGGTGCGCTCGGCACAAATTGCACGTCAGTTGCTGAGAATAAGCCAACGGCTTGATCCCGATAGCTGGAATGAATCTGGAGGGAAAAACAGCAAGCCGCATGGAAATGGAAGCGGGGAGCAGAGTCCAACCGAAGGAATTGACAGCGTTAGACGGAACACGAGGGAAGTCATTGAAAAGTTCTCGGAGACTTTGGAAAAAGACCTTTTGAAACAGTTCGATGATTTCTATCGCAAGGCAAATTTCGAAGGCATGCGAGATTGTGCGACTGTGCTGCAAGATTTCAGTGGCGGTGCCAGCGTCATCGCATTATTCGTCAACCAGCATCAGTTTTTTATTGATCGCAGCCAGCTTGTTACCGAAGAAGTGGCAGGTGATACCGAATCCTGGGAGAAATTAGCAGACCCTGACGCCGAACCTCTCAAAGTGGAACCCAGCCTCCAGTCATTAGTGGATGAGGTCAAAGTCGTAGTACAGGAAGAGTCTGCCATTATCAAGCGCGCTTTCCCTTACTACGAGCAGGTTCTTGGCAAGTTCCTGCAACGGGTGTTTCAACAGTCTATACAACAGAGGCTCGAGATGGTTTTGGAGCGGGCAAACGACATTTCGCCTCTTGCCTTCTTGAGGTCCCTTCAAAGCTCTCGCAGCTACATCAGTGCCCTTGTCGACGACTTGAAGTCCCATGGTCTAACAGAAAACCCGGATCCTATTTCTGCTCAGACGGCACTAGTTCTTGACCAACAACTAGAAGACTTGTTCGTGCCGTATTTTGTTGGGTCCTCCTACATCGAAAGGGAGAAAAAGACGCTGGAAGAGCTATATACATCTCTACTCTTCAGATTTACCACTTTCCACGCCCGTAGGAAAAAGGCAGCGACAACGTTCATGGCTTCACTCTCTAAGTCCGGTACAGAACTTCTGTCTTCTGCTCGGGACACTTATATTAACCGCCTTGAGACCTCCGAATTCTCGCCAACGCACAGGAAAATGCTCCTTCAGGTAGCAGGATTAAGAGAGTCCGGTGATGTCACGAAGCCAACCGATGTCAAACTTGTTGAGGATGACGGTCTTCCTAGCATAGCCTACGCTAAGCGCATGCTCAAATGGCTTGCTGAAGGAGTTGGCCGAGGGTTGGAGTTGAGTGTTACAAGTGAAACGCCCAAGGATATGCTTGCGCTGCTGAGTCTCCTGCTTTCCATGATGGGGGAAGGGTACATCGAAGTCTGTCTCGACGCCGCCTTGGAAACCGCAACGTCCCAAGAATCAGGAAAAGCAGAGCCCGATTTCGTCTATCTTTCTGCCGTTAGGAACGCCATCGGAATTGCAAATCTGGTGATTATGTGTGTCAACACATTACTTATTCCCCTTGCGGCCGGAAGCATCACCGTGCGTAGAGAAATGGAGAAGAAGACAAACCTGATAACGGTGCGCATCGAGGACAAAGTCAATTCAATCGAGCAAAAGACCGTCGATGCAACATTGACCTGGATAAACAAAATCTTGTCCGGCCAGAAGAAAAACGATTTTCGACCAAAGGAAGGGGATAATGCCGCATGGTTAGAAAAGCTGCAGACTCCGGTAAGTTCTTTGCAAGCCTGAACAGAATGATAGAAAAATAATTAATCGAACCCTAGACCTGCGCCTCGATCTGTAGCTTCTTAGCTCGTGTGCATAGTGTCATCGTGCAGTCACTGCCGTCCAGTGGCACCAACCTCCGCCAGTTGCTCACAGAGATAGCCCTGGGGGTTCGCAGCTTACTGCTCGAGCATTTCAAACGATTTTCCGTCAACGGGCCGGGAGGTCTTCTGGTGACCAAGGATATGACACAGTACAATGACCTACTGAAGTCTTGGGATATAGACGAGCAGCTCAAGGCTCCCAGCGGGGCACTAGATGTTTTGCTAGAGGTGGGCAGTCTTTTCGTCGTCGGATCTGAGGCCCTACGCGAGAAAGTGCGCGGTGGTGCTGCGAGCGGGACCAGCGGCAGGTCTGGAGTGACTGGAAGCAACAACGCTGGTCGAAGCCCCGGCGGAAGTCCCGAGGGTCTCGGGGTGCACGAACTCCGTGCGTACGTCTCGCGCCGGGAGGATTCCAACACGCCCGCCATGCAGAACGTGCTCAACACGCTGTAGAAAAGCGGTCTTCCACTCTCATATGGGTAGTCACTAGTTACCCCCTGAACAACCTACTCTACCTAGGTAGATATTTCTAGCATCCTTTTCTCTCTCTCTCACACACACTCTCTCTCTTCTATAATACGGATAGGGGTACACTGCGTACGGGCCTTGTTACACCTGTTGTTCGTTGATCACGTGACATCTTCTAACCCGGGACAGGCAGGCAGGCAGTACAGAGTAGGAGGCCAAGACGAATATCAATGGACTGGAACTATTGACATTCTGCATAGGTAGGGTATCCAGGAACCTACTGAGGGGGTGGCGGTAATAGTTAAGCCTCAACCAACGCCCTCTACGAGGCATCGGCGCGTGCCATTTGACTCGACACCAAATCCCTCACGAGAACCTCCAAGGAACATGCTTGCTACCTGGAAGTAGCTACTAGTAGCCGCTTGGCTTGGGCTGGCGGCTAAGTGATGAGCTGTCAGCGTCGTTGGCCGCCACCCATTGGCCAGGGATGAGACTAGTGCCGAGGCCCTGCATTTTTATATATTCCACTGAAGCGATGAGCAGCCCAACCATTTGTTCCTGCATCCAAGATCACACAAGGAGGGTCTGAGGTGGAGAGCGCCACATCTCCCCTCAATCTATTGACCAGCGAATAATGGCTCCTTGGGCATTGACTTGGGGGTTAGCGAGCAGGGAACGATTTTTATGGTGCAAGCTGCGCCCGCAGAGGCCATATTAAGACCCTTTGCTCTCCTGGTGCCTTTCAGGATCCTCTTACCTGGCTGTAGTTGATATGTGTTGAACAATCCATCCATTTTTTTTTCTCTTCTTTTCCTTCTCTCTCTCTTTCTCTCTGTCTCTCTGGTCTTGGCGATCACTGCTAGAGGTGCAGCAATAATCGTTTGCTTGCTTTGAGCTCGTCGGTAAACCATCCTGTTGCAACTTGACTGATCAAAAACCTAAGGTGAAAGGATGTCAACCATGGGGGTTTCCGCTCCAAGTGAGCGAGTTATGCTTAAGTCCTTGCCCCCAGCAGCACGTCGCAAAGTGAGTGTACCCGCCAAGTTTGGCTTCCCTTGTCAGTTTTCCCTTGTCCTGCCTGAAGTTGGAGCCATGAGTTGTATTGGGCTGTGGTAACGAGGAATCGAGCTCATTCCTTTGGCTATTGGCAAGAAGTTGGATACTCCATGTCGATCCGATTTGGGTGAGCACCCCGTACGTACTCATGTGGGCTGAAAAGTTCTTTGCGCAGTGTTCACTGTTCAGACTGCAAGTGGGATCCACTAAACATTCTAGTAGCGGAAGACTACTATTTAGTGGAACCCGCTATTGTCGGCACTACTGGAACCGGTCCATCAACTATCACTCATGGCGCAGGCTTGCTTTGTTTTTGGGAAATGACTCCCATGAGTCCATTGAAGTTTATGATGATTGCTAACTTTGTCTCCTTTCATTGGCTGTGGTTAGCTTTTCTCGAACGCTGAATACTTGCGTCTAGCTCAGGGTGGTTGCTGCCATGGCTTGGATCACCAGTCAAACCTCGCCAAGTTGCGTTACAGGGAATTCCAGTTTCTTTGGGACTGGTCCTACTTGCCAGCCAGCGATAAGTCCATCCATAAGAAGGAACCTTTGAAAAGAGTATTCTACCCGGGTACCTCACGGAACCTCCATCACGCGTCGATGCCCCAAGTGGCCTTTCTCGCGGCTTGTCCAGACTGGCAATGTTTTAACTCACTTCCCCCTAAGATCCAACAAAGCTGCTTCTCGGATGAAGAGCGGAATCGGCTTCGCCAGATCTGTTACGCGGACGAGGTCTTTGACGCCGCCGACGAAGCACTTTTCCGATTGGGAAAGAGGCGGCGAATGTCGGAGTCGGTTGAAACATCCTCGCTTTCACAATCATCTACCCTTTGTTTCGGTACGTCCGATGTTGATATTTATGACGATATGGACGACATGGACCGCACTCGCTCAGGTTGTACTGGGAGGCTTGATGAGGATGAACAACTTGATTTGGCGATAGACGAATACCACGCTCACGTTCTGGAATCGCCATCGAGAATTTCTACTAGAAGAAGCTTGTCGTTCAGCCGAATTCTACCAGTTTATCCATCCAAATCAGGATTCAGGCCATTGTCGACCGTGCACAGCTCTCCCAATCCCAGCCAGTCCTCTGCAGCGTCCGAGGCCGATATGACGACTCCAACCCTTGATTCCGGGTCCTATTTCTCCCAAAGTCAATTCCATCATACCTCTCGTTCTTCTACCTCGAGCATTGACCCGTCTGCGCAATATTACCAGGACCCAGAGGCTCGTCTCAAGTTGCGGGTCTACCTGGCATCCCCGCAAAAGTTCGACGAAGCTGTTGAGTTTGGGTTTCCAACATTGAAAAGAGAGGGGAGAGGGTTCACGCCACCAAAAATACAAAATCCAGACGATGGGACATTCTTCGAAGAGGGCACGGCATTCTCGAGTGTGGAGTCCAGGAAAGGACAAAACAGTCCTCGAGCATCTGGGAGTACACGGTATTCTCAAAGCCTACGAAAGTTTTCGTCCTTGAATAATAACCGACGACAATGGCTGCCAAGCTCAGATACCAATGATCGGAGAAGCCCTGGTAATCGTGAGATGACATTAAAAATGACACTGACGCGACCTGATCTGCGTACGGATTCACCTACTCCGGAATCAACTGAAATATCGCCCTACAGTTTTGAACCTCCGATATGGGAATCTGGTATGAGTGAACGAGGTTTAGTGAAGAAAGTCTGGCGAACATTGCGGCGACGAAAGTGCTAGATAGATATTTTAGATACCATGCTTGCGTTTTTCCCCCTGATTTCTAGCACGTGTCATGAAACTTGGACATGATTTGTACCCCAACAAATGAAATAATAATGACGAAACCAACCCAAATCAAGAATATGAGGAGCATCTACTTGCTGTTTACTTCGTACCAGGAGAACGAATTGAGTGGTTTCTTGTGTTGGGCACTGATAAGGGGGGTGTAGGGGCTCTGAGACCCGTTTTGCGCTGGTACGGTGTAACTACGGTGTATGTGAATGTAGATAGTACGGAGTATGACGATAAGCAGCCACAGTAGCACGTGACCGTGAGTTACCTATGAGGCCACGCAGCTGTCGACCCAGGGAAGTAGTTAGGCTTCTGCATAGTCACCCCCAAGCTTTCTAACCGCAATTCTGCCCTATCTTTCACACAAGCTTCACCATCGACAAGCTCGCCTGTCAACCTGGTCTTCTTTGAAATCATCTGCAACTTGTCTCGATCGTAATTGCTCCCCTCGGCCGACCGTTAATAGCTCCTTCCGCCCGTCGCTTCAAATGTTGCATAACTCGCGACCATGATCTTACGATGGCTATGGCTGAGCTGCCTTGGACTTGCAGTCCTAACGCAACCTGCCGCTACGAAAAAATCAAACAAACCCAAGATCACCGCGACCGAGCTTGACCATCAGCCTGCGTCCTTGTTCTATTTCGAAGATACCGAGACGGCTCTATTGAACACGCTAGATGGCAATTTGCTCCAGACTGTCGATGGTGGCGAGAAATGGGAAATAGTAAAGGGGGACAATGGCGAAATGGAACACAACGTTGTTCTCATTCGACAACACCCATTCGATAAGAATAAGGCCTACGCGATAAGTGCAAGTAAACGCCATTGGATCACAACCGATCAGGCCGAAAGTTGGACCTCATTTGAAGCCGAAGGGATCGCCGCCGTGAACCATTATCCTCTTGTATTCCATGGCCGAGACTCAAACAAAGTCATATTCCAAACTGAAGAGTGCGCTGGACGATACTGCATAGTGAAGTCCTATTATACCACGGATGATTTCGCCTCAGTTAAGCCTCTGCGGGAAAGTATCGGCGGGTGTGCCTGGGCGATAGGGCATCCCCAGTTCGCCGAAAACTTGGATATAGCACAGGAAATCTGGAATCGATTGCTTTGTGTCGTGCCAGGGTTGAAAGTGCCCTTCTCACACGCCAACAGACTTATATATTCGGACGATTACTTCAGCAGCGATATCGAAGGCACGGAGGTTAAACTGCAGGAAGGACGACCTGTCTCGGGCGTCATCAGCACCGCAGCCGTGAAAAAATTCATTGTCGCGGCCGTCAAATCCAAGGGAACCGAGGAACTCGCCTTGTACACAACTATTGATAGTAAAATTTGGCATCGTGCAGAGTTCGACGGTCATCGCATCGAAGAAGATGCCTACACGATGTTAGAAAGTACTAATTATAGCCTTCAGGTGGATGTTCTGACCAACCCCATGCAGGGTATGGGCGTACTGTTTACCTCCAATTCGGAAGGTACCTATTTTACCCGCAATATCGAGCATACGAACCGTGACTCGGGGGGTACGGTTGACTTTGAGAAAATCGCCAACATCCAAGGTATTGTGCTGGTGAACGTCGTGAAGAACCCGGAAGAGGTCGAATCTGTCTCCGACAAGAAACTTGCTAGTAAAATCAGTTTCGATGACGGAAGGACGTTTGGACCTCTGAAAGTTGGAGACAAGGATTTGCATCTCCATTCTGTGACCGCTTATGCGAACATTGGCCGTGTTTTCTCCAGCCCAGCCCCTGGCCTGGTTATGGGCATCGGCAATACTGGCTCTCACCTCGGCGAGTATACCAAAGGTGACCTTTACGTTTCGGATGATGCTGGTGTGACGTGGCGCTTTGCACTAGAAGGCCCACATAAGTACGAATTCGGAGATCAGGGTGCTGTTGTAATGGCCGTTGGTGAAGATAAATCAGCCAAGAAGATCCGATTCTCGATCGACCATGGGAAGGAGTGGGAGTCGGTCGAACTCGAACATGAAATCTACCCTGAAATGGTCACGACAACCCCGGATTCGACGAGCCTCAAGTTCATTCTTGTCGGCACCTCAAATGAGAAGGAGCAAAAGAAGGGGAAGCATGTCATCTATTCAATTGATTTCAGCGGATTGCATGAAAGAAAATGCGAAGAAGATGATCTTGAAGAGTGGACGGCTAGATTGGATGAGAACGGGGAGCCCGATTGTCTCATGGGTCAGAAGCAGTTTTTCAGGCGCCGAAAGGCCAATGCAGACTGCTTTGTGGATGAAAAGTTCAAAGACCCCAAGCCTATATTCAAGCCATGCAAGTGCACCGCCAGTGACTTCGAATGTGAGATTAAGCCGAGCAAGGATGGCCAGGGCTGTTTCCTTCCCAAGTCATCAAAGGTTCCAGAAGGCAAATGTCAAGAGCCAGGCGATACGTATCTAGGGCCATCAGGCTGGAGACTTATCCCTGGCAATTCTTGTGTTCGAGATGGCGGCGAGACCTTGGACAAGGATATTGAACGGCCTTGTAATGAAACGCACAGCGCTCCGACCGGCGGCATCTTGGCAACCAAGAAGGAGTTTGATACAGGAAAGTTTGCATATTATTATATGGAACGTCAGTCAAGCAGTTCTGGAGACGATGAAACCGTCCTCGTACTTACCAGTGATAACGAACTTTACGTCTCACATGACCATGGCAAGAACTGGAAGCGAGCCCTGGAGGGAAAGAAGATCACGAGAGTCATTCTTCATCCTTACAATAGCGATGCGGCCTTCTTTCTCAGCGAGGGTGCGGATGGCTTTTGGACTGTAGATCGCGGGCACTCCTTCAAGCCTTTCAAAGCGGCGGCTCCGCCGACTCAAGAGCGCTTCATCTCCCCACTTTCATTTCATCCTCGATACAAAGATTGGTTGATTTGGACTGGTGCAAGGGATTGCGGCTCTGGTGATTGCCATTCCGATGCTTGGTTCAGCGAAAATCGGGGCGGTGAATGGAAACTTCTTCTCCGTTATGTTCAGAAGTGCGAATTTGAATACAGAGAAGGCCGTCCGGAAAGCGAGAGTCTCATCTTTTGTGAACAGTACGAAAATGAGAACAAGAAGAACCGACTTCAGCTCTTGTCTACCACCAACCAATTTTCTGAGGAAAACATCCATATCGAGGATGTCATCAATTACGCCAGCATGTCTGAATTTATCGTGGTAGCATCGCGGAACTCGGAGAACGCAGAGTCTCTAGTGGCAAGCGTTAGTGTTGACGGGAAAACCTTTGCGGAAGCACAATTCCCTCCTAATGTCAAAGTGCCGGTTCAGACTGCCTATACTGTTCTCGAGAGCTCTACGCACGCCGTCTTTCTGCACGTCACGGCCAGCAATATGGAAGGGGCAGAGTACGGGCCCATCATCAAGAGCAATAGCAATGGCACATTCTATGTACTGAGCTTAAGTGCCGTGAATCGGAACCACGAAGGTTTCGTGGACTTCGAAAAGATGCAAGGCTTGGAAGGGGTCGCAGTCGTAAACGTGGTTAGCAACGTCGATGCGGTATCCAAGAATGCCGAAAAGAAGAAGCTCAAGACGATGATAACCCATAATGATGGAGCACAATGGATGCTGCTTCCTCCTCCGTCCAAAGATGCAGACGGCAAGAACTTTGGCTGTACTGTTTCAACTGGGAAAGGCACCAATGACTGTTCACTCCACCTTCATGGTTATACTGAGCGAAGGGATGAACGTGACACATTTTCTTCCGGTTCTGCAATAGGCCTTATGATGGGAGTAGGTAATGTGGGTGATCATTTGACTGGCGGTGACGAAGTCGATACTTTCATGACAAATGATGGGGGGATTTCCTGGAGGTCCGTGAAGAAAGGCAGATATATGTGGGAATATGGTGACTCTGGCTCGGTGATTGCAATTGTCCCGGAGTCCAGACCAACCAAGTCTCTTTTCTACAGCGTCGATGAAGGTGATAACTGGCAGGAATTCGTTTTTGCGGACGTGGACGTGCAGATTGACGATATATCAACTGTACCTTCGGACACGTCAAAAAATTTCCTTCTTTGGGGCAGAACCTTGCAAGACAAGTCACATAGCAAGCTGCTCACGATGAACATCGATTTCAGTGCCTTGCGCTCCAGAGCATGCAAATTGGACGAGAATCAGGATGAGAGCGAAGATTACTCTATCTGGGAACCCAAGCACCCTTTCCAGGAGAAAAATTGCATATTCGGCCACGTTGAGCAATACCATCGCAAGAAGCCGTCGGCTCAATGCTGGAATAACTGGCGCGAACCTCACGTTCACCGGATCGGCATGAATTGTACGTGCACTAGAGAATCTGATTACGAATGGTGAGTGTTTCTCGTTATTACTTGCCTCTCAGAGGAAGACTGACAGTGCGCAGTGACTATAATTATGAACCCCAGACCGATGGCACTTGTGCCCTTGTCCCTGGGCTTCCAAAACCGGACGCGATGGCTGTCTGTAAGAATGACCCTGATATGATTGAATTCTGGGAGCCTACTGGTTATCGGCGTATTCCCCAAACGACATGTGAGGGTGGCAGGAATCTAGACCATGTCGTTTCGAAACCCTGTCCCAACAAGGAGGAAGAGTATGAGAAGAAGCATGGTATCAGCGGGGTTGGACTATTCTTTGCGATAGTTACCCCCATCGCAGTCGCGGGTGCAGTCGGATATTACGCGTATACCAGGTGGGATGGCAAGTTCGGTCAGATTCGCCTTGGGGAAACTGCCGGCACCGCTCAAAGTCTAGTATCACGAGACTCTCTCCTCGTCACCGTACCAATCGCAATTATTGCAGGGGTGGTTGCTGTCGCAAGAGCTCTTCCGCTGCTTGCCGTGAGCTTGTGGCGGAGTGTGAGTGGACGCATAGGACCTGGCAGATCCAGAGGCTATTCCAGGCCATATGCATCCCGTGGTTCGTTCGCAGCTCGTCGAGGCGACTACACCAGTGTCGTCGATGACGAAGATGAGCTTCTTGGCGTTGAAGACGCCGATGAGGATGATGAGTCAGTGCATTGATCACTTTGTACCCCCCACGGCTCCCTACTTTTACGCATTCCCATTAAGTCTACGATTTCATGTTGAGGGTTTTACGAGGATAATCACATTCTGTATACTGCTACATGCCGCTTGCAATAACTGTCGGGTTATTGATCAGCTATTCTCTCTTCTTTGCTTTATTTTTTTCTCGTTTTTCGTGTTTTGGGCAGCGAGGCACAATTTGTTAGACAGGTAGAAAATGAGATAGCTTGATAACCATATTCTGTTTGGTTTGAATGTAACAACAGTGAATGACTAGCCCCTCAAAAGTTCTGAACTAGCACCTTGTAACTCTGGGAGTTATTGGAGGAAAACAAACGCGTCTGTTTGGTCATCGGCTTGTCGAGTGTGAGGAGTTTCGTTTCTTATTCGAGATTCCTAGCATAAGCTCGGTTTGTACATGTCTACCTCCCCCCTTTTAGAATCTATGTCAGGTAGGCACATAGCGTAGGGCGGCTTTCCTCTAAGCTGGTGGTCCCAGGAGAGAGATGCTTCCTCACAATGAGGTTGGCTATTGCGTTTCTTTACCGGGAAAATCACTGGGTCCAAAAGATCTGGGGAGGAGCTGCAAAGAACCATCAACTCCAGTTAGCGCCCCAAGTTCAATCTGAAGACAGAAAGTCGAAACGATAAAGAGAGCCTCGTACCTCGTTCACTGTCGTGACATCATGGTTTCCCTCTCCATCGTACATGTAGATCGGAAAAGAAGGGCCAGTGAACTCACTCATGCTGATCAAAGGATCCCAAACAAATTAGTCACGCCAAGGCCCAAATACTCATTGAAAAAGAAAGGCACTAGAGAAGAAGGGAAGAGCATTCGGAAGCAAGGCCGAAGATATCACATACAATTGTCTGCACATGCCGCACGGGGATGCTGCAGTCTTTGTATCCGTCGCGACGGCGACAGCTTTGAAATCCCGATGCCCGGCAACCTGTACACAAGATTTAGTGGCGGAGATTATGAGACGAAAATCATGAGCCGCTGGAAAAAAGTGCAACCAGATTTGGAATCGGGATCGCGCTTGCTGCTTACAACGGCCGTTCCAAACGCTACTCGTTCGGCACATGTGCCCACGGGATATGCGGCGTTTTCGACATTAGCACCCGAGATGTACTCCCCTGACTGGGTCAGGATGCATGCTCCCACGCGAAATTGGGAATAAGGGCCTGCGAGGGGCGTTAGCGACTGTGCTATTGCTTTGTGCAGCCCGTGGCAACTCACAGTACGCGGTGGCTTTGGCCGCAATAGCTTTCGACGATAGAGTCTGCAGCTCCTCTGCAGAAAGGACCGAGGCACCAGAAGCCATTCTTACTACTAAAGAACTAGTTGGTGTGAGGATAGAAGACAGAATAGAAAGATTCGAAAGGGTCGGGGTGGAGTTGGAAGGAGGGGCAGGCAGAGTCCCAAGACAGATTTCTTTCTTATCTATTTATGTATGTACAGCGATAATTCGCTAGCCCAAAACGTTTTCCCCGCATCGCAAAGGCGGCGGACTTTTATCTCAAGCCCCGACAGACAAGACCTCTACGGAAACGCAAATAATGCCGAGAACATGATTTCTTTCCCAAACACGTCTCAATCCAAGGAAGGAAATTCAATGAGGCAATGAAACAAATGCGAAATCTATATCTAAGCCAAAAACAATAGGTATCTCATAACAAACGAAATAAAAGAGAGAGCGCAAGAGGGTGAGGGTGAGGAATGTGGAAGATAGGGACAGGGTAAAAGGATATGTGCAAAAAACAAAAAATAAAAGGTCATCCGAAGTAGTTTCGTAAGCCTTCATATACGGTGAAGATGAATGCTGAGCTTGGTGCCGATCGTGCGCAAGTTATCCCGCAGCCTCGATACAAAGCTCGAATCCCTTGCTGGTTCCAGAGAGCCCTGGCAGCGCTCCAAAAGGTTTGTCGCTTCCCATTGACCGTGGAAAGGGTGATGTCTTCTGTTTGCATCCGAGATTTGATTGTGTCGGCAGGATAAAACAGAAAGTTGTAGCTGATCCCTGCCGCTGCGCCCGCGATCATTTGTTGGTATAGTGGAAGACGCGCCTCGTCCGTTTGGGATGATCCAACTTTCGAAGGTGGCACTGAGTATTTTCGGAATAAGGCAGATACCCCCTCGTAGCCGCCAAACCAGGCAGCGCCCCCGCCCGTTTCGCGAATGAGGGTTCCCATCTGACCGCGCCAGAACCCCATGATACCGTCTTGGCGGAATATAGACACAATCAGAGTGAGCGGTCTAGGCACTTGACCGCCGGTGCCCTCCAAAGGAACCTGCATCTTACATTTGATGAGTTCGACGGGTGTCAACGCAAGCGAGGTGATGGAGCCCGATGCAGCTCCACTAAACACCAAGGCGGAGAAAGGCAGCGGGTCCGTCGAGCTGTAGCAGGTTACCCTGAGTATATCTTGAATCATGCGATAGCTCCAAAAGAGGCAGCTGTTTTCTATAGCAGCACCCGCCATGGGGGCACTTATGCCCCGGTATAGTCCACGAAATCCATCGGCTTGGAACGATTGACGGAAACAATCCAGCGGGCCGTTGTATCGCAGGGGGAGATGATCCGGTTGTGATTGTAGTCGTACTTTGACGGTGTCGAAAGGGTACTCTATGACCTTGCCTGCCATGCCAGCGGCCTAGAAATTGTTTGTTAATTCGGGATCACCGGGGAACTTCCAAGGCTCCGCAAAGCAAGGTCCGTTGAGCTTACCGAACCAAACACCACATCCTTCAGAGCTTCAAGGCCCTGATTAGGGGGGAGGGTAGGGAGTTCCATCGACATGTCATTACTGATTGCTATCGCATGTTCAGTGGTCGCCATCGAGGCCGAGAGTGTCCGGGCTTTTGGGTTGGTCTGGGAGGAAGTGACAGGTATGTAGACAATCGTACCAAGACAAGGGAAACGAGGCGAGGAAAATGAAAGGAGAGAGAGGGAATTTTTGGAGTCTATCGGTAGAACATCGTATCGATCCTGTCTGCTAGCGGAGGAAAGGAAGTCTTTTATGGTCGGTTTCCCCTTGTGGAGGGGCGGTGTGCCGATGAGGGGTTTGCCTGGTTGTGCCCGATCCACGCACGGTGAACTCGATAATCAGGAAATAATAATTTAAGTGCGCATCGCTTGTAGGATTCCCAGTGGTCGAGGCCCGGGATAAGGGGGAGTGGTTAGCGGGTGGGTTTGCGACAATTCAGCAGAAGAAAGGGACCCGTCAGAATCAACGCTGGCAAATCCCTCATGCGCTGATGCCCGGAACGGGGGCGCCGGGTCACTACTTCTGCCGAGATCCGGTTATCTGATCGGTCTAAGATAACTTTTTCCGGAGAAAAAGAGGAAGAGTGAGTGACTTGAGTTGGAGGAAAAAAAAAAAAAAGACTGAGAGACTGAGAAAGCTTTTAATCTTCTTTCCCCCCAGTCTCATCCTTCAACCTCCCCCCCCTTTCGCTTTTCTTACGCCAACATGTCGTCCGCCGAACCCGTGAAAGGCATGCGGAAAAATGGTGAGAAATTAAAATAAAAATTTTCCCTTCCCCCCCACTTTAGTTGACAACGTTCCCTGCTGTCTTGATTCATTACTCCGAACGATTATCCCATTTTAGCTAATTTTTCACCTGTTTCGGACCCGCAGGAAAAAACTGGCATGACACCAAGAAGCCGTTTCGCCCTACTAGCGGCATGACCTCGTACGCGAAGAGGCTGGAGGCACGCAAGCATCAGGAGGCTGTCAAGGAGCATGAAAAAGAATTGAGAGAAGAAAAAGAGGCCGAAAGAAAGGTACCGACGCGCCTCTCATTATCAGCAAGGTGTTCGATTGTGCCGGTTTCGCTAATAATGCTCCGTAGGCACATATTCAACGGATCAGAGATCGTCGGGCTGCGAAGGAGGAGAAGGAGCGCTACGAAAAAATGGCACAGAAGATGCACCACAAGAGAGTCGAGCGACTGAAGCGGAGAGAAAAGCGCAACAAGCTTCTCAACTCTTAAATGCGCAAGACCCGTGTCCTTGCCATTTTCTTGCATTCTTCGCCTTCTTTCTTACTCCAACATCCCGTTGGTCCGTTGTCATGATTTTTTCAGATGACTCTCTCCCGACGAGAGAAAAACATACCCCTTCCGGCTTCTACGTTCAAACATACCTTTATTTGCTCTCTTGGGTTTAAAAAATGCGATCTTGGGGCAAGGACTCGACTATCGAGGCATGCAGTACAGTTTCTTCATCGGCGATCAAGGAGTTGGTTGGCTATGGTCTCTCTTTCTCTACGTTTCTTGCCATTTACGATGCATCATTTCTCCATCATTCTCTCACGGTTCTGATGTGTTTTATTGGGCAGTGTTGTCGCCTGCAGGGGGTGGTGTAAATTCCTATAGATTTGTAGGGACGTCCAGATGAGACTTATAGGTGTCTCTGTGTAGGTGCGCGTGTAAGGGGATACGCTAGGCATAGAGTATGTATATACATATTTATCCAGGCCACTGCGTGGATAGGCAGACTAAATTAGCTCAGGTGCCAGGGCCAGTCTTGGCGTTATTCCTCAACCTCTCAACCTCGGCCCCCCATCTGGATAACATCGAGATTCCCCTTCCCTCCTAGCCCTGGAAATCAAGAATTTACAATCATATACCTCTTCGCTGATTATGCGAAATACTCTAAAATGGAGCATTCAACACGGTCGTCGTTGCCTGCGGTCTTTTCCCCAGCCAAGCAATCAACGGCCCCTTTCCCTCCCAGCCACGGTTCTGCCACTGCTGGGAGCCAAAAACCTACCGTCGCCGGCGAACCGTTTGCAGTAAATAGCGGGGGTGATCATGCCCACAGACTGGAGCAACCTGCTTTGCCCCCCAATCATGAGGGCGAAGGCTTGGAGGAGCACCGTATTCGTGCCGACCACCATGCCGCGGCGGGGGACAAGTCCCCATTTCGTCATTTGGTCTTTGATCCCAGCAGTTTAGAGCGTACCAAATTGAGGACACGCCACAAGCACAAGCATAGCAAGTCGCGGGATGGCCGTCTGCCTCGAATCATGAACCCAATGAGTGCTTCATCTGCTGCAAGAGGCCTGCTGCCGGCATGGCCAAGCGGTAGGGAGAAAGAGAGCGACGTGGATGACGCCCTACTTCGGCCTATCACGCGGGAATCGACGCGATCAGGCTACGGACCTGAGTATCCTGCAGGCTTCGGCGTTGGTACTAGGAAAGGAAGCTTGTTTGATGATATCGACCAGAATAGTAAATTTGGTCCGGTGAGAGTGCGGGAGATACGTTCGATGGAAGATTTGGAGATGATAAACGAGAGAAGGACCCTTGGTGAAAAGTAAGTCGCATCAATTCCCGTGTGTACCTGAGCCATTCTAATCCGACTGTTGATAGATTCTTACGCTCTGCCCTGTCATTGATCGGAACCCTTGCAACAGACATCACTCGTCGACTAGACTATACCTACTACAACTTACTAGAGAAGATCGCGGCACTCACCTCTACGATCGCTTCGTTTCAAGAACTATTCGAATCTACTTCAGCACTCTTCGATGACTTCGAGAAGGAGACCAAGAACTTGGGCCAGGAAATCCAGAAACAGATATTGGAGTTTAAAGAGTTCCGACCTCAGGTACAAAAAGTCGAGGCTTTAGAACAACGTATGAAGGTGGGTCGGACAAGGGCCGACGCACTGAACGAAAGACTTGAAGTGATGAGAAACAGGATCGATTGCTGGGAAAAAAGGGAGGTGGAATGCCAAAGACGAATCAACCGAAGTCTTCGATTTTTTTGGATCGTGGTGATAACCTCGTGTGTCGCCGTGCTTGTTGCTCTGGTTGCCCAAAGCTGGAGCGCGGAGTCATCGGCGTCTGGAGGCCCAGGCGAGACGGCGATACCAGCCCTCAACTCATCGCGCCCTCTACATCATGGGAAGGAGGGCGGTCCTTCATGGTCCTTGTATCCGCCTGGGTTGAATGATCGATATTCAGATGTCCAGAATCGCCAGTCATCTCGGTCAGCCAATGCACCCACTTCTACAGTCGCAGCCGTGGGTGCGCAGCCGACCGATCGAGATCCTCTGAAAGTCCTGGAAGAACTCTGATTGGCATCGTTCACGGCTGTGCCGTGAGCTCCTTGGGACCCATCAACTTCAAGTCGGAAATAACCGAGTTTCTATCAATTTTATCTGTAACATATAGCGTCATGATACCCCGCGTGGAAGGAACATTGGACTGTTGCTTGCTCGTGCACCGACAGTTATTCCTAATTCATTATTTTTTGATCAGCTCCCCCCCTTCTTCTTTTTGTCCTCGATAAGCTCAATATTCGCTTCTGGAATTTCTTTGCCGTACACCTCCAACAACCAGTCTTTGACGTCGTCGCTCACATCACCCTGCACCGTGATCTCCTCGGTGCCGGCAGCGGATTTTGTCACTGAAGAGCCAGTCGCAAACTTCTTGCCGAGTTCCTTGGCAATCTTCTTGTTCTCTAGACCGTATACCTCTAGCCCGGTGATCACACTGACATGCTTGCGTTTGTTGCGCTCCACTCGTTTGATAAGAACTTTAGAGGCCGCTTTGCGCTCAGCGTCCCGGGCCTCTGCTAAAGCAGCCTTTGCCTCCTTTTTGGCAGCATCTTTGGCAGCACGTTCACGGACAGATACCGAAAGATTGGAAAGATTCGAACTAAGGGCCTCTGTACATTTTTGTTAGTCCCCTTAATATGCTCTTCAATCACCCCCCTTCGGCCATCAATATACCTTCGGAATATAATTGCTGGTAAATATCCGGGTGATTATCTTTCAGCCATTCCTCGCATCTTTTGGCGGTGCCGCCAAATTCACAATACTATGATTTGCCAGTCAGCCGAACATGCCCCCCCGCCTGCCTCCGCTTGTAGGATGCGTTATGCGCCGAAGAAAGTCAAGAGAGGCGATGGTCCCGCGATAAGGATTCATACCTCTGCAGGCAATGTGCAAACTGTTCACGAAAGATTTTAGTAAGGCCTCGAGATTCACAACGAGGGGTATTGTTCGTCGTGTCATGTAGGCTATCTAACGAGACTCACCACCGCAGTAAACAACATGCTTTGCCTGAGATTCGGCAGCATTTGGCTGTAGTACCTCGGCCATTGTGAGGTTCTCTTTTCGGCTTGCAAGATCTTCTAGGGGAAGCCCAAATGACGGACGAAAAAGCTCTGGTGGGCGCAACAGAAGCAGGTTAGGTCACCCGATAACGATATGCTGCGGGGCCGGAAGTGCAGTATTGCCGAGTCGCGATAACGGGATGGTCGTCACGTGACACGGCGCCTGTCTTGGTCGGCCACAGGTTGAATAGAGGCTTGACCGACGACACAAAGAGAGAGTGGGCTGGATTTTGTGGCAATCTCTCCCATGGCTCCAGCCCGTACCCCGACATCTTGTGAGTTTCCACTGACACGCAATCTCTAGGCAGATTGTACTCACCATGCGGTGATTTATAGCCAATGATGTCGGGAACTTATCTCGTGGAATCGGAGGGGCAAGTGGGCGGATTGGTCAATTCCAGGTTCGAGGGCTCTATTATTGGGATATGGAACCGCCGATGCGCCGGCTAAGTTCCTATTGATCGAATATGATCAGGTAACAACCTCAAAGTCAACCTGTTCTAGACCCCTCCCCATTGGCCTTGTGTCAGAGGAATGAGTGGAACGTCTCTTTGCATTAGACCATCTGTCAGGCATTTTACTACTGCTTGCTAGACAAAGATAGAAGCCGGGGTTCTAGGAGGCGAGCTCCCGGATTGCGTTCCTTGAATCCTTGCGCTCGACTCAAAACTACTAATCACCTCATCATAGTGTAGTACTACTGACAGTTGATGGTAGCCAATGAAGGAGCCCACGCTGCTATCAGTGACTGCGGGTCGGCGCAGGAGCACGGGCATCGGCAACAATCAATTTCCTCGTTGTCGTGCGCGTGGGGTCTCCAATAAACCCTGAGGCGACGGTCGTCCCGAGCACGGGCTCTGCATATGCTATGCCCTTTGACATACGCATGTTGTGCGCGTACTGTACCTATCGAGGGCACTGCGGAGCCATGGACTTTGCCGCACCGCTATTGCGGCTCATACGGACCGGACAAGGGGAGATGAGACGAATGGGCATATCTAGTGTCAAGACCAATCTCTCCATGGGGGCGAATTCAAAAGGACCTTTTTCCCTTCCGGAACATTTCGGGAGAGCTGAACAGGGGTTGGGATCGCATTACGGAATATTTTTACCTGTGAAGACATTGTGTAATGCCAGTCTTGAAAATGGGTGTTTTCTATTCTAACACTTCGACAACCGATAAGTGGCAGCAACCAAGCCCCCAAAATATACCGCAATGCAGAACTTTGACGGGATCTGCAAGCCATCCTGGAGAGGACCAAATCAGCAAAGATTGAAGGATCGGTTCCGCTTCTGCATCTCCTTGCTGAGCTGTCAACGAAGCCCTCCCCCCCTCCTCCATGGCAAGGGCCTTTAAACAGCATGATTGAGTTGTTTACCCGCTGTGAACGTAACCATTACATGGAGGGTGATTTCCAGCAGCACGTTCCTTCGACCTGAATTGCCACTTGCCACGTCTTTTTTGCTATCTTTTCCGAGACCCCGGCGTCTTTGCAGTAGGTCGTTAATATGCATTGTATGAGGAGATTGAGTCTCCGTAGGTTTGAAACAGGAAGCCCCCCTCCGCTCGTTTGTTACTTCTCATTTCGAAAAATTCGGGAGGTATTTGATTATGGCCAACGCCTTCTCGTAGGCCTTCTAGCCCCTTGGAAGCACGATATTCGGACCTCTAGACGCTCAGGCCTCAGACCCTTGGTCGCTGCTGCGGGAGCGGCGGCCGGGAGGTTTCACACGCATCAGCGTCTCACGTACCTTTTTGATTTCATAATTAGTATTTTGATTATTATTATTGGATGTATATTTCTGAGGCAGACAGTATAGCTATCTGACCAGGATGATAGCGTTCAAACCAGTCACTCAGTCGCTCAGTCATGATGACTGATGACTGAGCGACTGAGCATGACTGAGCGACTGAGTGACTGAGCGACTGAGCGAGAGTGAAGGACCTTGGAAGGGGAGGAAGGAGAGAAAGCAAGCAAAGGTCCAAGGCGGGCCTGGCCAATCCGACCGCACTAAAGGCTGTTATGCAGCACAACGTCCGTGCATGCACCGTAGCCCACCGTAGTCCATCGTAACCCCTCTCAACTCTCAAGGAAGATAAGGGCCCGGGGCATTATTCGACTGTTACTCCATCCGACCAGGGCTTAAGGTTTGATGACCGGGGGTTGATGATTGGCGCACCGAAACCCCGAGGATCTAGACTTCCGAGTGGAGAACGCGGCCATACAAAGAAAGTCGACGATGGAATCGTCGACGCCATCACTACGGAGGGGAAAAGAGGGGTGTGAAGGCTAATGATCACCATAATACGGATCCTAACGATCATAAGAGAGCAACATAAGCACAACATGCGACGAGCATCAAGCCGTCAAGCAAAGAGACTAAGAGTCCTTACGGATACGCCGTAAGAAGGGATGACGATCTCCAGGATCATCTAGGCGGTTCTAGAGCGGGACCAGCGTTCACGGAGGCAGCCACCTCGTTCTGGCCTCGCGGTGTCTGTCGCCGTTCCGGGAAGGAGTGAGGACTGACGGTACCTTAACTTCCTTAACTTCCTTAAATAATTGAAACGGTAGAGTTCCACCATCTGCGCCCGTGAAATCCAATCATCGCCCGGGAAGCGTCCCTGGTGGCGACCGACCGCCTTTTATGGCCCGAAGTAATTCATTCCATCATTGCGACTTTCTCCCCCCCTACCTTTATGTAACTACCTACTCCTAGTTAACTACTCCCTCACGACTCATTAGTGGCTCCATATCATCTCGTCCTCTTTATCTCCTACCTCCAGATGTCCATCTGCTGCCCCGGCTTCCTTCCTTCCTATCATAACTCGCCAACGCCGTGACGGGGAATGCCACCAAGGTGACCCGAGACCCGCCTTCTCGGCCAGAGGCATTGGCATATCTTTATCTTCTCGGTTGATGCATTGACATCCATCCCCCCGTCCTCCTTGATTGGCCTCATCCCTGCTTTTCCGCCGCTTGCCTTCCCCCGATCCATCATCGCAACGCATCCGCGACTTGCCCGGTGGATCCCTCTATCCTAACGCCTGCGTCGGACTGAGAGCCAAAGAATAATATCCACTTAGTCTCACGCTCGGACTACGGAGGACATTTCCCTACTACCGAGAGGAGCTTTCCGGAGAACTCTATCTCGATTATTTCCCGTTAGTCTCTTCGCCTCTGATCCGCTATATACCTATCCCTTTCTTCCCCGCCTACTTCTCTGGCCTCTAGTACTCAGTTCCCCATCGGTCGTCCCTCTTTTATAACCGCGTCATGATCAGTCTTTGCCTCCATCTTCTACCCTCTCGTTCGGCCTGATATTGCGCTCTCTTCTAACCCGACCCAGTCTGAGGCCGCTGAAAACCTTTCCCACCAAGGCTTTCTCCCTCCGATGATCTTGCAGCCCTCGTTATCATGGCTGCCGTGCTTTCCACCTCGCCAGAGGAGCATGCGCGCTTTTCGCCTGACCCTCTGCGGTGCCCCATCGCCCAAAGATACTTTCTAGATAGCCCCAATGTCCCTTCCGTCAAATCCCCCATGCAAGAATACCCCTCCAGGGACTGCCCAAGTCCGCTTCTCTCGTCCGCCCCGTCATCCATTCTATCCTCGCCGGATCTCACCCAATCAACCGCTCGTCCCTTCCCTTCCTCGCCTACAACGCTCAGTAGTCTATCACTTAATGTCAACGATGAACAAGATGACGATGTCGTGGTTCCTTCGTACGACGCAATTGATTGTGCTTCCAAAGACGAATGCTCCTCGGTGAGCTCGACACGCTCGTTGGCGGACATCCAGCGTTGGAGGCTACAGACCCCGGCGGCAGATGACCATTCGATTGAGGAAGAGCCTTCGAGGCACGTGGATTACCTTTCCCATGAATGGAAGGAGGAGGACATCTGGGCCTCCTGGCGTTATGTGGCTGGCCGCAGAAACGTATATGACAACGGCGTGAGGTTGGAGAATGCTTCTTGGAGAACTTGGGCGAAGATGAGATTGGAGCTGGGGACCGTGTCCCCTGAAACTCTTAACTGGTTAGTCCCCTTACCTTGATCGCCCGGGGCGAGTTCTGCGCCCCATACTGGATCAGCTGTCATTCTAACCCGTTGCTGTAGGCTGAAGGACTGCGATGTGACCTGGCTCTACGGTCCGTTGAAGACATTCTCGGGCGGCAAGAAGCCAACCACTTCGCCACCGCCAAGTTGCTTTGAAACGCCCACGTTCTATGTGGACAAAAAACCCATCTTGAAAAAGAGGACGGCCTCTGAGACCATCTTACAGCGCTCTTTGTCACAACACACGCTTTTACAGCATGCCGGGGCGATCCTGAAGGCACAGGAAGCGGCCCTGAGCCGCAACCGTCCTCCTGTGTACCATTACGCGACTGATGACTTATCCGTGGGCTCACCTGCGGACACCGTGACGAACACGTCGTCCGGGATTGGATCACCGAGTGAGAGGCGCCATATTCACTTCAACGACGAGGTCGTGCAGTGCATCGCCGTCGAGGCTAAGGGAGACGAAGACGATGGAGAATGGTCGACCCCAGCTGGAAGCGACTCGCTTGCGGATGAAGGGGTGGTTATGATGAAACAAATAATCCCGCAAGCCTCGGACGTCGAGAAGACCCGTCCGCGGACTAGCTCAAATGGGGACAACAAAACCATTGCCCCCCTGCCTTCTACCACTCTCAAATACCGTGGCGATACTCCCGAGCCCCCGGCGGGCTCCATAATTGATCGATGGACTGACTATCTCTCGACATCGTCATCGCAGTCCAGCTCCACCAGAACCCTTCAGTTCTCAGACCCGTCGGCGGACTTCTCCCTCGACGACGATGACTGTGGGGACAACGGCAATGACTTGTATCCTGCCTGGGAATCGAGCCAATATTCGTTTGATTCTGAACATCAAAGTCGTCCTTTGTTTGTGAACGCTGAAGACGAAGAAGAGCTGAGCAGACATAGCCGGCCATCCTTGTCTTCTGCTGACGACAGCGAGCAATCTAGTGCAGGTCTCATCGACAGGATTGTCGATACTGTCAACACGGCTCGTGATATCGCTCATGTCATATGGAATGTCGGATGGCGTCGATGATTCTGACTCGACCCGATTCCCTAGCCAAAACGTTCCTCTCTCTCCCTCTCCCTCTCCTTCCTCCTTCCTCTTCTTTACTTCTGAAAAAGGGCCAATGCATACATGAATATTGAACGAGTAAATCTATACACATGTTTGACGGTGGATTTTTTTTTCTTGTTATACAGCGCTTTGACTTCTTTGTGTTCCTTTCGCAACATACACGAGTCCATGACTTCTATCTTGATTTAAAAGGGTCGGAGTTACACGTTCATGGGAGTTGGGTTTGTTTTCTTTAGCGTGTTTATTCCTCGAATCTTAATTTTAGTATCCAGGACGGACCCCATCAGGGACTGACGATAATAATGCCCATGATACCATTCTTCAATATTTCCATTCAGTACTTGAGTAGAGCTTACGCAGAAACTCCTGCCCATGCGAAGTTTGTCAAAACGGTAGCAAGAATAAGGAGTATTTGGACACGCTAGCGAATGGGTGCTAGACGGAGAACGGCCTTGCGATCCGGAACCTCGACAAGGGCGGTTTATTCCCAAACTATAGCCCCTGCTCACCGAACCCGGTTCGTACACAATCTGGCAAAGCCCGAACATCTCGTGTATGATCTACACACCAGAGTTCGCAGATGCGGAAAGTCGACCATCTTACCGAGAGATATGCTCGAAGGCCCTTGGTGTCTCGTACCATCACATGCTGGAGGGTATATCGACCATGTGGCTCTTTGAACAAGCAATAATGGCTCGCAGCGGTAAGCAGATGGTACTGCTGTTGTACTCCACGAAGGCTGATGTTACCTTGTCCTACTCGCATGTAATATATGCGACTGAACCTGACTACCATACCAGAAGGAAAGAAAGAAGGTAGTACAAGCAGCATCGAAGCTGCGTACATGACACAGAGACGGCTTTTATTTTATTTATATATGTATATTTTTTTTACGAGTCTAATATTTAAATTACAATAAGGTATAGACCGACCAAACAGGCGGATTGGGACAGTTTTCACCAATCAACAAAACGCTGACGTACTCGGATAGCGAGCGACAACGCGATCCGGACCGATGAAAATTGTATGCGGCAGTGCGTCCGAAACGCCCGGTGTCTGTCTATACCTAGTTTCCCGGAGACGCGCCACCTGTATCACCGGCCGACAGGGTCATTTGAGGCATGGAACGACCGGGGTTTACTTACTATATAGGAAGAGGGATGGGTTCGCGCGGTCCAGGCTTTCTTGGAACAGTAGGACCTCGACCCTTGTTCCTAAGCAAAGTATATTGTGGAATGAAGTTGCCGAGTATGGCCCCATCAATAAAGCTAAACAAAAACAGGTTCTTGAGCATGTCAGCGTGATAAAGAAACCGGGGCTGCGGATTTGCTTATATGACATTGACGTATGCCACTGCGGATGTCGTAATATGGACCGGTGAATTAATTGGAAAGCTGGTCTTTCAGGTAAGCATTGCCTCTATTGTATATCATTTTTTGTTCCAGGGACCCGTGAAACAGCTTGGAGATGATTAGGATAAGTTTATCTATACTTCAATGAATCCTAGAGTACTTTGAAGCACTGACCAGTCTGAAAACTTCGCTGTATATTCCTCTACCAAGCTCTAACTGCCCAAAGATGAGCCTAAATTGGAGAAGAATAGCATGGTAATCAACTAAGACGCGTACATGACTGAAGATCAACGTTTTGTGAGGTTAGGATGCACGCTGGGAATGCATGGCAATAACCTTGGGGTATCATAAATATGAGTAGGAGGTTCCCATGTGGGCAACCCTTACTATTGTCTAGTATATCAAGAAATGCTGGGAAGAACCGGATATATATAAGTGGAAGTTTGGTATGACGCGCTTGATTCAAGAATTCGAGACTTCACCCCTCCATCGCATCTTCCGAGGAATCTTGAAACGTTTCCGGAAAGAACCCCGGAGGTGGCCAGATGTCGGCGATCGACGGGGGGTGAACCAAGGGCTGGGACCCGGCGAGTCGGTCTGGGTCATGGCAGAATGCGTGGAAAGTACTGTCATCTATGAATCCAAAATCCTTCAAGCCTGCCTCGCGACTGGTAGCCCACTCGGTGGTGTCAAGATACGCCAGGTCTTTGAAAATGGAGTCAATGTCTCTATTAGAAACGGAGTGCTCCGGCATGTCGGAGCTGTCGTGGCTCAGGCTGAGATTGTTCCCGGACGATCGAGAAGGGTCGTTGCTCATGTGTTTCGAGGGCATCATGGGGTTCGAAACGGATGAGTCGGGAGTGGGCGGATGGGGTGGGACAGGAGGTAGTAGTGCGTCTAGATCGGCCGCTGTGTCGGGCTTGTCTATGAGCGTCGGTGTGGTATTTGCCGGACGAGGTGCTTGGGTATGGGGTTGATCTTGGAAAGTCGCATCTAGCATGGATAGATCGGCATTTTCCATGACCGTGTCTTTTGGCGTTAGATACTGTGCATCCACAGGGATGGTGATTCCCAATATGGACGATGTGTTATCAGGCTCCGCTGTTGCCAGAAGGGCCCCTGGAGTCACGGAAGCGTCCCCGTTTGGATTTTGATGGTATGTGGCAGTCACGCTCATGGGGTCGCCGAAGGTATTGTGGCTAGAAAGACTGCCACCTCCCAAGGGCGTGCTTTCCAGATCTGGGACATGGAAGGGAGGTGACGCGGATTCTGGTTGACTTTTCGAGCGATACCAACGTTCGATAGTCGAAGTCAATGTGCCGTAAACGGGCCAGGATGGCTTGAGTTCCTTTATTCGTTGGAAAAGAGCTTCAGCCCATCGTCCGAAGGGGAACATGTCGGACTTGATTCTGTTGCGCAGGGTAAATGCCTGTTCTGCCATTGTCCTTATGGTAAACTCAAACACTGGCGGAAGACCACACGCCTGGAAGTTTTCCATATGTTGAGACAACATTGGCAAAGCTCTATACAGAATTTTCTTTGCGCCCTCGACGGCGGGACGTTGGGAACGGGGCAGCCCCAGCTCAAGGGGTGCGATGCGTAGGTAGAGCCAGAGTAGCGTAGCCACATAAGTTAGCCCTAAGTAGGTTTGGTGTGGAAGTAATGCAGAGTGTCGCTCAGGATATATACTTTCGGGCCCGATCAGTCGACACCCTAGCGGTAAGCGATCATCCCATTGCTCAAGTTCCATAACGAGCTGCTGTGCAAACATGTGTACGTTCGCTCCGGTCGCAGCATCACGGGCAATCTTATTCAATACGCTAGCCAGTTCCACTAGCCGATTGAAGCAGCTCAGGGCGAGCAGGGGGCCTCGTCGGGGAGAATTTGACCCTTGTTTCCCACCGGTAGGTGGCAAGACATCTGCCCAGGAATTCCACTCTTCCAAGCCGTCCTCTTCCAAGAGCCCTACCGAGGATATGTCGCGGGGATGCATACAGGGCCTTCGAGATATACGGAAAGACAGCAGCGAATCAAGGACAAAGCATCCAAGAAATACTGCTTTTCCCTGCCTCAGATCGTCAGATCGTCGGACATCAGTGCAAGCGCCCAAGCTCATTGAAATGGCCATTCGCACTGCCTGCCCGCTTAGCAACCAGGCTGCGGTCCATTCTTCGAGGCCGATGTTCACCATGGTTAATAGCAGCAGCGCTTGCACGTGGCCTATTTCATATTGATCTGTCTCGGATGGGATCAAAGCGCGAGAGATAGCATAATATTCCTTCGTCCGATTCAGTCTTTCCAGCGATCCATCATGCAAGTTCGTTTGAGACTGAGAGAGGGTGTAGCTAAGTACAGCCCAGAGTGCGGCATGATTACCGGATCCGGGAGTAGTGTTGGTAAGTGATAGAGGGCCGTTGACGTAAAGGTATGATGCTCGGAGAATATTATGTTTAGCGACGATAGGAAACCATGAATGGGTGACGGCAAAGTAAACGTCTAAAAGCTGAGAGGTCTGAGCCGGTAACTCGAGCGGATTTTTAGCGCCCGGGCCTAGCGAGGTAGACTGACTACTGGATGGATAAGAGAGACGAGCTCTCTTAGCCGGAGGGGATGAGGCGGAGGGCTCAATTACGCGCGGAGCACTCGTTGATAAAGAGGACGAGCTGCGCTCTATGCGAAACCCCCATGCGGTCTCCCCACTGGTCGAGACGTCGTCAATTTCCTCACGAGGGCGCTTTTCAGAACCACGCGACGGCGACGCATCAGGATTTGACAACATTTTTTCCAGGGCGCCATAGAGCCGGCTGGTTTTCCAAGAGTCGTGCATCGTTTCAGATGCTCCATCATTGGTCCATAGACTCATGAGTTTCTCTCGGCGACCAGCCGATTCGGCCGTGGAGCCTAAAAGAGCCAGCATGGTGTCTTCAAACCCATCGATATTGCAGATCGACAAGGCCCAGAGCTTCTCTAGTCCTCGCACGTATCCTTCCGGTAGTCCACGTTTCTTCGCATGCGGGTCGTATGAACAAGTCTGGCCTGAGGCCTGGCAGGCGGAGCAAGAGGGACGTATGCCATCACATTTGTCCTGAAACCATTGTGAGTGTTGGTGCCCGATATTTGGTGGATGGATAGGCAGAGTAGGAAATACGGAGCCAACATACCTTCTTGCTTCGACACCTATCACAAGCTCTAGAGACCCTCTTACGTCGAGGGGCCTTCAGATCCGAACCCTCGTCCATTGAGGGTCAATTACAACGGAACTGGCATGTCATGTATGGGGTAAGAGAAGAGCCTAAGGGCGAAGCGCAAGGCCGTAGTCGTTAGGCAGAGGGTGTGGGTAGAAGAAAAGAAAGCATGCGATCGAGAAGGCGAAAGAGACAAATTCAAACCCCCAGAAGGACGGCGCGACCGACGATAGCTGCCGTCAGAGTCATCCAGGGATCAAGAACATTTCTCGAGAACGAGACTAGCTAGACCCATTCCGAGGCAATGACGGACGGCTTCGAGGGAGGCCGTCGGGGCGAAAGTCGGGAAGTGGATGACGGACGTGTCCCGTGGTGGCCGGAGGTGAGTGGCATTACTCACCCACGGAGTGCTCCGAACTTCCCGTCCCCCACACAGCACCCCACGATTTTCTTCCGTGCGGGATTCAGCTTGCTCTGCAGAGACACGATATTTCCACCACAGCCGATAATCGGGGGATTGGCCTGGAGGGAGGTCATATTTTCGATGGTCTATGAGTTACTGAACAATAATAAAATTCAATCATATTGCATCATCGGGCCCAGCTGCCCGGCTAAGGTCTTTGCCGCACATCCACGGGCAGAAGGCGGTGGCGCGGGGCAAAAGCTGCAAGCATCGACGCGGCAAAGCAGCAGACCCGTTGCGACAAGCCGATGGATGCTGGACATGGTCTCGCCGGCCATGGATCTGCGGAATCTCCTGGGTCAGTCCCTTCCTGCTAGTCTCCTGCCATTGCAGTATGCTCGCTGCGAATGTCCTGTCTCCATGCTTGTGAGCAACGTGCGCTACCCGACTACCCTTAACTCTAGAGGGCCGTCACGGCACTAGAAGACCTCAGATTAACACCCCCCCCCCCCCCCCCCCTTACTTTTTCAATCAAGCTATGGGTCGAGCTATCATGGGTTTTTTGCCCGTAATTTGCCTCTGATAAGTTTATTCGACCCCGCCGTGACCTCTTCCGGATCACGGGCATACCTGTGTACCTTCGGGAATTGCTTCGCCTGCACCATGCAACACCCCGCGCCCCGTCGAAAGATCGACCCGAATGCGTCTTTGGTACTTGTTGGCATTCGGGGCTGTGGCAAGCGCTCACTGGGGTTTGTCGCTGCCACGGCCTTGAAGCGACGCTTCATCACCGAAGACCATTATTTCAAGCAGGTTACCGGGCTCACGCGACATGAATATCTCAAGCGGTATGGAAGCCAGGAGTTTCAACACCGGGATATAGAAGTCCTGAAAATGATGCTGGATAATCACCGTTTGCATTGTGTGATTGAATGTGGGCTGGCAAGCCTCACACGCCCTGTTCAGGAGCACCTCCGCCAATTCTCCGCCACCAACCCGGTGGTTTACTTGGTACGCGACATGGACCGTATACAACGCCTCCTCGGTCTGGAAGATCAGTCGGCGAAGTTGTTGTACGAGTCAGATCCTTTACACCGAACCTGCTCCAATTTCGAGTTCTATAATATTGAAGATCGGTCCAGCGTATCTTCCCAGGTCGAAGAAGAAACTCCGGACCGGCGATCCGTCGATTACTCGTTCAAACTCAAGGAGGCCAAGGAAGATTTTACTCGTTTTGTTCGATTTATCACGGGGACAGATTTGGGCCACTCTGGATATGATTCACCTTTTGTGCTTCTGGAAACACCCCCGGAACGTCGGTCCTTCACACACGCTATCTTCGTCCGTTCCTCTGAGCTCATAGATGGTGCCGTGGATTTGTCTGGGCTTGAATCTGGAGGAGATGCAATCGAGCTCTGCGTTGATCGATGGAGCTCGGGTATGGCGAGCACCGTCAGCAAACAAGTCTCGTTGCTTCGGAGGAGTGCTCGAGTTCCTATCATTTTCTCCATTGACATCTCGTCACCGGGGGTCGGTGCAGGTGATCTGTTAGTGGCACAGCAGCGCAACACGTATTTTGAGATTGTGGAGCACGGGTTACGACTCGGCGTGGAATACTTGGCCGTGGATTTAGATTCCGACCGTGCTTTACTCACAGATGCAATCAGCAGCAGAGGAACGACCAAAACAATAGGACAAACCATCTTCAACCCTTCGGCTCATGTGACGTGGGAACATGAGGACAACCTTTCTCGTTATCTTGAGGCCGAAAAACTAGGTTGTCAGCTTGTGCGATTTTTGCGCGTGGCCACAGAGCGCGAAGACAACGCAGCCGTTGCGAAATTCGCAACTAAGATTCACTCCTTGACCGGTGACCATCCTCCTACCATTGCATATAATATCGGCAGTCTGGGACGAACTTCCCAGGTGTTCAATTCCATCCTCACCTCGGTCACCCATCCAGCAATCAAGCGGTCTGTAGACCGTGGGACAGACCCGTTGATCACATCACGAGATGCGGTTCAGGCCTTGTTCCAAAGCTATGTGCTGGACCCCCTCAAGTTCTATATCCTCGGAGCCAGCGTATCCTACAGTCTTTCTCCAGTCATGTACAATGCGGCCTTCCGTCATTGTGGGATGAACCACATGTACAGCATCCCCGAGTCGGCCACTCTTGCCGCACTGGACCGTCTGGGCCGAGATCCTCATTTTGGAGGAGCTAGCGTCGTCCAGCCGTGGAGGGTGCAGGTTTCCCAAAAGCTCGCCGCGAAAAGTCGGCATGCCGAGGCGATCGGAGCGATCAATACGATCATGCCGTTGCGGGCGCGAGCCGATGGAACGATGTTTCCACTTCAGGAGCAGGCGAGTCGCCGCAACCAGGCCGGACCCGTCCTGGGTTGGTACGGAGAGAATACGGATTGGGTCGGCATCATGACATGCATCAACCGGAATTTGTCCCCACGCAATGCTATCAGTCCGCTTAAGACGACGGGCCTGGTGATTGGGGCGGGCGGTATGGGTCGCGCCGCCATCTACGCCATGCTCCGGCTTGGATGCCGTAAAATCTTCATATACAATCGAACTTTGTCGCGCGCAGAAAGCGTGGCCCGTCACTTCAATTCGTGGGCCGCATCACAAGTAGGCTCGACGGAGGTGGTACATGTGTTGAAGTCAGTCCAGGACGACTGGCCTCCCGGTGAATGTCCTCCGTGTTTGATTGCCTCTTGCGTGCCTGCGGATCCGGATACGGACGAGCCTCCGGCCGACTTTGAGATGCCGATGCAGTGGTTGGGAAGCCCGACCGGAGGAGTTGTATTGGAGGTGAGTGATCCCCGAAGAAGATGGCAATGTACCATGGCTAACCTTGGGTTATAGTTTGCATACAAACCTCTCGACACACCATTGCTGCGTCAGATGCGTCGTATTCGGAGCGAGACCGGTCGCCCGTGGGTTCTGGTTGATGGGCTCGATAATGTCTCGGAGCAAGCAATCGCGCAGTTTGAATTGTTGACCGGACGGAAAGCACCACGCCGCCTCATGACGTCCGAGGCACTTCGCAATTACGTTGGTGCAAATGGACGCTTTGATGAGAAGACGATACAAGCACGACTCGATGGCGTTCGTTGATGAATGAGTGAGGGCAGTGTAGTGTAATAGATAGACGCAGACATAGATCTTGTGGGGTCTAGTAGACACATGTATATATCAATATGAACGAATCAGCGGCCAAACACCGTCATACGGAATTAATGCGTAGGTACTTTGGAGATTCTAGTACAGAATCGAAGTAGCTGAAGTGGCTGTGGTGATCGATCACCGGCCAACATCCCCCGATCACGTGGCGGGATCTCACCTCGCAGGAGATCCGCAGGAGTGTCGACAAGTCCACCCCCTCCGAACGCGTGTTCGCATGTGGCTCCTACATATCTCCCATCCAGAAATGGATGCCGCTCCAGCATGAACCAACAATTCAAGATGGGAGCCAAGAACCACCCTCCTTTCCCTCGTCGGCGAGGCTCCAACCAATCCGAAGATGATTTCTTCGACATCCCCGACGAACCATTCTTTGCCATCATCAAACGGCAATTGAGACACTTCCGAACCTGGGTCTTTTTCGCGCTGCTCTTGATCTTCATCCTGTACCTTCGACGCGAAGGACCGCCGCCGCCGCCGCTACCGCACATTGATTACGACCGGGTTGACTGGACCCGCTACGCCTACAGCCAGTATGCGACTTCCAGCGCCTACCTCTGTAACGCCTTGATGGTTTTCGAAGCCTTGCACCGATATGGCAGCCGGGCTCAGAGGGTTTTATTCTACCCCGAAGACTGGCACGTGCTCGTCGAAAGCGACCGCGATCGGGACAGCCAACTGCTGAACTTGGCTCGGGACACCTACAATGTACAATTGGTACCGATCGATGTGCAAATGATCAAGGCCGGGGCAGGTATGTGCGATGACACGCTGAACAAAAGTTCCCTGTTCTGGCGCGGATTTGGGGGAAGGACAAGGCCGTGCGCTGACATCTCATCTTTTGAATCCGACAATAGGACCCGACGAGCCGTGGGATAAAAGCATTTCCAAACTGCTCGCCTTTGGCGAGACGGAATTCGACCGCGTGATCCACCTCGACTCCGACGTGAACCTTCTCCAGTCCATGGACGAGTTGTTCTTCCTCCCTCCGACCAAGGTGGCGATGCCGCGCGCGTATTGGCGACTCCCGGAAGCAAAGCAGCTCTCATCCCTGCTGATCGTGATCGAGCCCTCGTACCGGGAATTCTCAGCCCTGATGGACGCGGCCCAGCCCGCCATTCACGGACAGGTATATACGAACTTCACGGGGCCGGACCGATATGACATGGAACTTTTAAACGAGCGATACGGCGATTCGGCCCTGGTACTCCCGCACCGGCAGTACGGCTTGATCACCGGCGAGTTCCGCGCGGAGGATCACAGGAACTTTTTGGGGAGTGACTATGAGACCTGGGATCCGGACAAGGTGCTCGCCGAAGCCAAACTGGTGCACTTTTCTGACTGGCCCCTGCCGAAACCCTGGGTGATGTGGCCGCAGAAAGTGCTCGCGGAAACGCTGCCCAAGTGCCTTCACAACCCCGGCACGCCTAAGGAAAGTGGATGTCGCAATCGAGAGGTGTGGAGAAAGTTCTACGATGATTTCCGTCGGAGAAGAAGAGTATGTAACTGAATATGGCCTTACGTCTGTGTATTTTTGCACTAACACTTTACCAGGATATCTGCAGGCTTCTTAGCTATCCAGCTCCTGATGTAGGAGCCGATTCTGATTCCGATTCCCAGACTGATCAGGATCCCGTCCCGCAATGATCTAGATTTCGTTCACTTTATGGCGTATGGCGTGGTGTTCGGGGGAAATTTGTTCATGGTGACTGCATTCATTCTGTATCATAAGGCATTGTGGGTGGGTCAATGCACGCCATTATATACTCAATGGTCTCTGGACCATCTTTCGGGTTCGTTTTAGACGTTTGAAAACCGTCAAATGAATTTCTCAGACATGAAGACTGTGAAGTTGAACAGACGAATGATAGTCTCAACTTGGTATAACCGGGACATGCGTTGCCATATTTATGATGCGCACGAACGTAATAGGATCTAATAAAGACCACGAATATTATAGCACCAAGTCAGGTTAACACATGAACAAGAGAGCTCCGATCAAGTCCTACCAGAACGAGGAATGTATGACGTTAAGATCGTCAGTCTAGTCTTAGAAGGCATTGGGAAGTGTCAAGAAAGACACCGGGGATGAGTATCGGCCCCCGCCGGAATATTTAGTCAGTTTATAGCGAGTTCCTATGTCTGGAGGATTCTTAAGGCAATGGAGGGCATGTCGACGGTCTGCAAAAGCCTCAGACGAGATCCATAGGAACAAGCAAAACAAGGAGATTCCGATGCGTCGAAGATCTTCCTTTTTGCGTGGTTAAAGGAAGATTGAGTTCCTATTTGCCACCGGGGTCTATAGCTGAAGTAAACAAAAGAAAAAAATACTGCCCGTTGCGCCGTACCAACGCCCACAGGAGGACAATGCATACTTGGGGCTTGGGCATGCAGGTCAACCAGGTAAACATACAATCGAGGGGTAGATATAAGAAGGTAGGACGTCCATGAAACGAACTAACCGGAAGTAATTTCCTTCGTTTTGTTTATCAGCATTCAACAGCTTATTCTCCGACTTTTCTTTTGTCTCACCAGGCATCATGAGGCCGGACCGAGGATATGGCCTCATCGCAGCGGCGCTGCTCTCAATCTACACCTCGGCAACGAGTGCCACCTCAATAACGGACGAATTCACATTCAGTTGCGTTCCCTTAACAAGGCAGATGTCGGATCCCATAGTATCGCCCGGGGTGCCGTCGGCCCATACACACATCGTCGCGGGGGGAACCGCATTCCAGAGAAACATGACGATCGATACTGCAAAGAATGCCAACGAAACCACTTGCGGGGTGGAGATTGATAAGAGCAATTACTGGATCCCACAACTTTACCATCGCATGAGGAACGGATCATTTGAATTGATTGAATTCGAGGGAAACGTATGTTTGTTGAATCGGTTTGGTTTGGCGGCAGCCATTCATACCCCTTCGAGGGGGCTAACAACATCTCAGACCATCTATTATCTCAACCGAGTATGCAATCATTCTGCAAATGCAACGTCGTGCGACAGCAACCACACCTCATTGGCACCGCCTGCAGGGCTCCGTATGACGGCCGGTAACCCAATGCTCCGGTTAGTCGAAGTTGGTTGGGCGCATGGAAAATATAGGGCGCTAACAAGCACCGCAGGACCTACAATGATTCCGACTTGGCACAGCGCGCAGTTTCTCACATGTGTATGACTGAGAACGGAGGTTCAAACGAGACCAAACATCTCCCTCGTCAACCATGCGCCAAGTTAAGGTCTCAGGTGTTCCTGCCATCATGCTGGAACGGGAAGAACCTGGACAGCCCTGACCACAAAAGCCATGTAAGTCCAGTATGGCCTCGTGGAGTAAATGTTCGGAGCTGACATAACTGCATCAAGATGGCTTATCCGGCGATTGGAGAGTACAACAAGGGCATCTGTCCAAAATCTCACCCAGTGGCAATATATTCCATCTTCCTAGAATTCTTTTTCAACACGCAGCCGTTCCCCGATTTCGAAAACTGGGTATACGCAATGGGTGACCTGACGGGGTACGGGCTTCACGGAGATTTTGTCAACGGCTGGACCGACCAAGATGCCCTACAGAAAGCCGTATCAACATGTACGAGTGCGCGGGGCCTCAGTGATCCGGGTTGTTCGATCACCAAAACACAGAAACGGGCTTTAACGCCGCTGAAGCACATTCTGGATGTGCCGGAACCCAAGGACGAGTTGGGACAACATGGTCCTCTTCCCAAATTGCCTGGCAACAATCCGGTGACTGGCGCTCCCAACAGTACATTGATCTGATGGAGCCAAAAGTACAGACGACATATCCTTGTATATAGTTTTTTCGATATTGAATATAATGACCCGGTGCTTTCGGGGTGTTGGTTAATAGTTATTCAGTCTAGAGGTGTTTTGAGTATTCCCGTGCTAGGAGCTGTAGATCGACGGCAACGAAAGAATGTGTTGTGCGATAGACATCTTGCATATGGGTTACATGATGTCTTGAACTTGGTCGATGGACTTATTTCTTGTTTGCGTCTCAGCGTTTTGAGAAATGACTCGACGTTTGTTGGACTTCCAACAAAGCTCTTCCCAACCGAGGTTGTCGGTCCGGCCTAGGTTTCGACCCATAGAGCATGACGAGAGGTAAGACCAATTGATCAATACGCCTGGGTTCATGTGTACCCCATACCTTTCCTCCACCAATGCCAAACACCACGCTGCTGCATAGCATTCCCAAATTCCTTGACACTGTCAACCTCAGACAAGCGTATACCCGAAGCTCTCTTCCCCTCATGGGAACCACCATCCCAATGTCGGTTCTGTTTAGGATTGTTGTTCTCTTCGCTGCAGTTCTCATGCTGGATGACATCGGGCCGCACTACCAGCTGAAAGTCTTTATAGCGCAGATTCCGCACCGTGTTGACCCACGACTCGACGGCATCTTTCTCCCTGGCCTCGACGTACATGATTCCCGGGCAGCCGCCCGACCGCAGGAGCACGAAGCAGTTGTAGGTATCCGCGGCTCGTTTCAAGGCAGAGACCTTTTTGCGGGACGTGATGTGATGCGTGCGTATCAAGGCGTTGTGTAACATTGCTCCTAGTTCCGTTGGAGTTTCGGATGCTTCAATGTCAGGGGTAGTGATGCATTATTCTCCGTCTGGGGCCGGGATGCAGCGAACCAGGGATAATTGCTCTGCTTGAGGATGCGTTGACTGACTGTTGTTGGATTTGGCGGTGAATTCGACGGGCGGCGTTGGAGCATGGACTGTTTGCTCGGTTTGCATTTGACGTCATTATATGTAGGTATGTACGTATTTGTATGTATGCTTCGGAATTCAGGGGAAAGAAACTTGCTCTAGGCCAAAACTTTTGAATTATTGAGAAATGTCATTTTCATGAAGTGAACAAACTCTCTTTTTCTTCTATGGTGGAGATTAGGTAATGAGTCATCTAACACTGCCACATCCATGGAAGCGATATACATGTCATAAAACAGTGCCAGAAAGAAAAAGGACTGGATCGATAAAAATAGAAAACTGAGTCCAAAAGCAAGTGTCCGAGCCAGCATTTTTACTTAAGGAAATATTAATTGTGGGGTGGATCGGCCAGCAATGCCGATAAGAATCGAAGATCCAAAGATCTCCGCATTCGCTGCAAATCACGCTTTTGGCTCTATCGCTGCATTCTCGCTGCCGGAGGGTGTTTTTACCTCTTGTTGCGCAGAAGGCCCCTGCTCCTTTCTCCCCTGTAACTCCATCACCAAGTGCGCTGAAATATATGCCAATCCCATCACGCCCGCGATGACGGAATAGGCGATCATGGCGCTGCGCGGAGTGCTTGGACTACCGATGCCGGCCAAGCGAAAGCCCAGACCGCCATTGATGATCCCCAAAATGATCAATATGCGGCCCAGCCATCGGTGTGCGTACGCAAAGCTACTTTTCGTGCCCCTTTTGCGGAAGTGCATGTGTTGAAGCCAGCCCATGGCGGGCTGGAAAAGGATCAGAAAGGCCATGACGATGATGCCGAGAATATGGTGCACGTCCACATGGGACACCCCCCCGCGCACCCAGAGATGAAGACCGAGTCCCATACCGGCGATGGCGACGGCCAGCGTGAATGCCTGGAGAGGCGCGTGGACTTTCGCAACGGAGATAGGAATGGGGAGGGGGACGAGGATGGCGAAGGCGGGGAAAAGCAGAACGAAGGCAAAGGCCATGAGGAAGCCATGGGCGATCACCATAGCGCTGCCACCACCCGATCTTTTCAAGCCCTTGGCGTTACTAGATGGATCATATCCTATGAACGGATTGTCGGATTTGGACACAGCATGAGCCAGGTCAATCTCGGTCTCGCCGAAGTTGTCATGGATCCGTATTCTTTCGGAGACATTGGGCGAATTCAGGGGATCTCCCTCTTTGTAGGCCCAGATCCAGCTGCTCGTACTCAGGTCATCCTCAAACTTCATGCAGCTGTCGCAACGTACACGGGCCCTCATGGTACCGTTTTCGATCCCAGCTCCTTCCAGTAATGTGATCTGAGCCTCCGGGTCGGGTTCTGGCATTGAATGGCCTTTTCCCGACCGAGGCGACACAGTGACATTGCTTTCCGATGATGAATAAAGAACAAATATATTGGCGCCAGCCATCCCGGTCCCCTGACCGAGCCCAACCCATTGAAGGGTGTCGGGCGCTTGTATTTGAAAGAAAATGGGACCCGAGGGAGAGGACGCCGTGATACTGAAGTACGTTTCATTTTGGCCGTCGGGAGAGAATGTGACAATCTCGGCCAAGGCCAGCGGAACTGTGACCCAGGTCAATAAATGGATCTCCTTGACACATAGCTTTGCGTAGGAGGGGAAAAAAAGGGTTGGCTCTCTTTAAGTAGAACGAGGTCTGCAGGAGGGACGGAACGAGGAGCAACAAACTACATACCTAGCCCTAGAGTCACGGCTCTCACGACGAAGCTTCTGAGCCCCATGTTGATTGAACGTGAAAGCTGGGCTGCCGTGTCACTTCTGCGTGGGGACGGGATCAATCAGTTGTTAAAGGCTGTAAGCATCAAAGGCGGGGGGCGCCCTTTGTCCTTATAGCCATTCTTGCCAAGGGGGATTGGCAGCCACTTTATCATATTGATACATGGCACATACAGTACCTGAAGTCAGTCGACTTCTTGGCTGACCGACAAGCTTACGTATATATTGAATACTTGTCAACACACGGTATCTTGACAGACAAGCTAGAGGCACACGCCCAGCAATACACTTTCCGGCAGTTCAGCCAACCCAAGGAAAGCGATCGATCTTACGAGGTGTTGTCCAGTAAAGGTTCACCGGGTGAAATGAACCCACGGATCCCCTGCTCATTCAGCACCGTTAAGGAACAATAGTTATCAGCGGTGTAACAACAAGTTTTGGATGTGGCCGCTTCCATCCGGCGTTCGCATGCCAATAAATGCACCCCTTGCGGGACGCATCCCTTGCTTCGGACACCCTCGCCGTACAAGAATGCTCATTCCAGCGAGACACATAAGAGCCATTTCTAATCTCTCGGGCGCATCAGATTATTCAGAACCATTGCAATCAAATTGCTACCGTTCTGGATTCTCCACTCAGGGCGACACGCGGTCCAGCCGATGTGAAAGACAGAGCACCGTGGAAAGACATCCAAATCTCCCGTATCTAGAGCGTATGGTTGTGATTACTCCCCTTCGCCTTGCGTGAGCACGAGACAATGATGAGCGTCTAGTTACAGATGCACATGTTTTATTTCGCTGCAATCTGCCGCAGGCCTCGACGAAAGGCGCTTGATATGGCGAGTCGATAAAGGGGTTCATCTGCCTCAGATGACCGCAAAAGTCCTCGCACCTCGGCTATATTTGCGGATGGGGGTCTGAGAATTGACAGTACGTACTGATTGTAGGCTGCGTTAGAACTCGACAAGCTTCTCGAGTAGTTATTGGGAGCCTGGGGGGGGGAGGAATTGAAGCTTTGATTGAGCTGGGAGGTCGAGCAAACCTTGTGAAGAGTTCTAACTCCCCATCCAAGTGCCTTACTTCGGTAGAACCTTGAGCTAGTTCTCTAGGTTAGGGACGTCTAGACCTCTTTCGAGGACTGGAGATTATCTTTTTTGGTATTGACCCTTTTTTTTTTTTTGGTAGTAATCCATGAAATATGGAGAGAGCAGGAGAGAGCAGGAGAGAGCAGGAGAGAGCAGGAGAGAGCAGGAGAGAGCAGGAGAGAGCAGGAGAGAGAGAGAGAACCTAATGAGTATTTTCCGAATAGTATTCACTAATTTTGCGAATATGTGCCAGAAAAGCAGTGATGACGGGGAATAATTCCTATCATGCTTTTGTTCCGAATACTCATCACCACCCAGGGTAGCTTTCAATGCAGGGCCGTTGAGCCGGATTATTTATGCGGGTTGCTCATTGGTCAGACAGGCTAGCTTGGGACAACGAGGCTGTGGAGTAGGTATGAAAGGGGGAGCTGATTCAGTTCCTTTCCGTGGAATTCAGCGAGTGGTGCGGCAAGGAACGATCGGGAAGGGAAGAAATGAAAGAGCGGGCATGAGTGATCTGACATCACCTGGAAGCGTGCATGGGGAGAGGGGTTGAAGGTGGATAAGATGCAGTGCCCTTTGATGACAACGAAGACTGCGTCGGAGGGAGGTGTCACGAGTGCATAAAAGAGGAGTTGTCCTGAGCTGAATACGGAGTACTGGGTGCTCAGTCCTGAGCACCCAGTACTCCGTAGGGCAGAGGAAGTGAGGACTACTCCGTGGAGACTGCGCAGGACGAAATAAAACGGGGTCCGCGGAAACCGCGTTGGCCTCAGGCCTCGTGGGTCCCCGGCGATACCTTTCCCGCATCGGGTTTAGCCTGTCGTGGCGCCTGCGGCGTTAACCCGGACAATTGACTTGCACAGGAGTATCTACTCCGGTTCCTGCACTCGACAGTCTACGGTGTAGTCATTGCACATGGTATACTCCCGAGGACGGAAATGGGGAAAGGCCGTGAGTGGTCCCCGATGGGCGATAGCCAAACCGTCGGGTTATGGAGAGCAAGTTTCCTGCCTTGGTGCGCCATAGACCCCGATCTGAGACTGATCTTCCAGGTTCTCTGCATGTATGTACATCGGAGTAGATACGGACTACTCGGCAGGAACTTGCCCACCGGACGCCATCAGCTGACGGCGGGCTGCCGTGCTGACCGAGTATGAGATGAGACTCCGTAGATGCCATCTCTCTTCGAGACGCGAGATGCTCGTGCAGGGCACAAAAAGGCCGGAGGAAAAGTGGAGTCGATCCGCCTTGGCTGCCGAGTGTGGATTAGTTCTCTGAGTAATCCTTTTGATTCAGTGATTCATTCTCTGGCGAGCTGCCAGACACGGAAGTTATATCGCCCGCCCCAGTGCGATTCCTGGCCCGTCCGGTTTTTTTTCTGTTAGAGTGGCGGATTCCCTCCACTAGCACCACCAGGAGTCCTAGTCCATTGTTGCCTTTAGCCCACCACATGAAGCTTGGCTTCCTTTTTGGATCTATGGTTGTTCGATCTGTACTTCCGCCCGAGTCGGGTCCAGGCACGCATCCATGTATATAATGGGGTTGCCCCTCCCCCCCCCCCCCTCGGGGCCATCGTAGATTAGATTCCCAACAGCCTCAGCAGTCCACGAGCTTCGATCCCCTTATCTTTTCCACTGGGTGAAGGGACGTTTGGAACGGTCGTGTGAAATGCCGGCCCATCTTCATACCCACCTACATGGTGCTCCCTCCGTGACTTCCAACCCGGAAGTGGAGAGCCAGGCTGATGCTATCTCTTCGCCTCGAGTACATCTCTCGCACGAAGACGAAGATGCGATCGCGGACATTCATCGTACTCTGACGAATATCAGCAATCCTACCCCGCCCCAAGAGTATCCCGAGCCACATTCCTCGTTCGACAAATTTCTCGAAGCCGAACTCCAAGCAGGTCGCAAGAAGTCCAACCTTGGCGTCTGCTTCCAGTCCATCTCCACCTGGGGAGATGGCGACGACCATGCCAGTGTTAAGACTCTAGGAACGGCCCTCTGGCGCACGTTGACCTTCCAGGACGTGTATGAATGGACCGTCAAACCCTGGCTTTCCGCCAAAAAGCCCCACGAGGGGCGTGAATTAATCCGTGATTTCTCTGGCGTGGTGAGAAGTGGCGAGATCATGCTGTAAGTCTTTCAAAATCCAAGAAGATGCGAGCAAAGATTTTTGACTCTAATCCTCCGTAGTGTTCTGGGGAGACCGGGAGCCGGTTGCTCAACTTTTCTGCGCACGATCGCCGGTCATCATTCGTCTTTCCTCGGCATGACGGGCTCCATCGACTACTCGGGCCTGAGCCTCGAGGAAGTCAAGACGCATTATCGTGGCCAGGTGGCCTACGTGCCCGAGGACGACGTGCATTTCCCCACCCTCACGGTGCGACAGACCCTAGAGTTTGCGCTGCAGAGCAAGTCGCCCAAAAGGTATCAAGAACGAATTCCGAGATATCTTGAGATCTACGGACGAGTATTTGGCATGTCTCATACAATGAACACGCTTGTTGGGAACGAGTACATTCGTGGCGTGTCCGGTGGCGAGCGGAAACGAATTTCTATTATCGAGTCTCTGGCCACCGAATCGTCCGTTATGTGTTGGGATAACTCCACCAGAGGCTTGGATGCCTCGTCAGCTCTGGACTATGCACGCAGCCTGCGAATCATGACTGACACGTGCGGCAAGGCAACGCTGATGACGCTCTACCAGGCATCGGATGCCATCTATGAACTGGTAGACAAGGTGTTATTGCTGGACGAGGGTCGGATGATCTACCAGGGTCCGGCTCGCGATGCGAAAGCTTACTTTGAAGGATTGGGATATGAATGCGCCGAAATGCAGACGGTCTCGGACTTCTTAACTAGCATCACGGTTCCTGAGAGGCGGCGATTCAAACCGGGGTGGGAGCAGCGCACCCCGAAAGGACCCGTCGAATTGGAAGAGGCATTCAGGAAAAGCTCGGCGTACAAGAGAATCGAATACGACGTTGAAAACTACGAGGACCAACGATTCGGCGGCAAGAGTACCAGAGCGTCCCAGAATGGTTCGGAATGCGGAAGCGTGGAGGAGTTTAAAAAGGCTGTGCAGACTGATAAGTCTCGCTTCGTGTCGCCCAAGTCCCCGTACACCATTTCGTTGTTTCGGCAAGTGATTTTGTGCGCGAAACGTCAGATCTGGCAGATCAGGGGCCATATGTCGCCCTTGTATATCAAGCTGATCTCGGCGGTCGTCTATGGCCTACTGGTCGGGTCCATGTTCTATAACCAACCTCAAACCACTGATGGAATGTACTCTCGGGGCGGTGTGATCTTCTACTCCGCCATCCTTCTGGCGTGGCTCCAAATGTCTGAGCTGGAAGATGCTATGCAAGGTCGAGATATTCTCAGTCGCCAAAAGAAATTCGCCTTCGTCCGACCCAGCGCGGTATGCTTGGCCAGAGTTATCGCCGACTTCATGGTCGGGGCTGCTATAACGTTCCTATACCTCATTGTTGTATATTTTCTGTCAGGTCTCAAGGCTGAAGTGAGTTGCAATATCGAATCATCACGGAGTCTAGCCTTTGGAATAGCTAATAATTTGTTCATCAGGCCGGGTCCTTCTGGATTGACTTCCTCTTCATTTATCTTTGCACTATCTGCCTGACTGCCCAGTTCCGACTATTTGCTGCCGCCTCGTCAAACTTCGAGGTTGCGTTGCGCTACTGCGGTGTGTCTGTTCTGTTCTGCATTGTTTTCGGTGGATATGTTCTCTCAGTCGACAAGTTGATAGAAGACGTTCCTTGGGTTGGGTGGATAGCCGTGAGTGTCATACCTGTCTTGTAACAAACATGAAGCGCTAACGCCATATATTAGTATACAACCCCAGCACTCTATACTTACGAGGCTATGATGGTTGCAGAGTTTCACAACACCGAATTCAGCTGTGCGCCAGGATCAGTTGTGCCTTCTGGCCCGAATTATACGGATATCGCCTACCAGACCTGCGGCTATGCAGGAAGTCAAGTTGGCACCACCGTGGTGAATGGCGATGATTATCTAGCAGTCAAGTATGGATTCCACGTCAGTCATGTCTGGCGCAACTTTGGAATCCTATGCCTCTTTACCATTGTCTACATTGCCGGTACTTGCTGGCTGAGCGAGGTTATGGAGTGGGAGCCGGATAGTGCTGGACCGATTCAACACAAGAAGTCTCGGGGACAGTCTAAGTCGGACAGGAAGCATGCCGGAGACGAGGAAAGTAATGGCCTCCCGACAGGTCCGGAGGCCGCTGCGCCACGTACCATGATTGAGAAATCGGGTCAAACCCTCGCAGGAACCCAATCAACCTTCACTTGGGATAATCTGGAATTAAATGTCCGAATCGGAAAGGAGACCAGGAAACTGTTGAACAGGGTCCGTGGTTACTGCAAACCAGGGACACTGACTGCTCTTGTGGGAGCTTCCGGGGCGGGAAAGTCCACATGTATGTCCGATAATGCCTCACCATTGCGTGCGAGAAACTAACCGCTTGCTTTTAACACAGTGTTGACTGCTCTCACCCAGAGACCAAGCGCGGGCGAATTGACTGGCACAATGTATGTCGACGGACGGCCTATCGATCAAACGTTCAATCGTCGCATTGGATATTGTCAACAGATGGATATCCATGACGAAACGAGCACTATCCGGGAGGCGTTCGAGTTCTCTGCTCTTCTCCGTCAAAGTATTGCTGTGCCTGAGCAGGAGAAGCTGTCATATGTGAACACAGTCATTGAAACGCTTGACCTGGTGGACCTGCAAGACGCCATTATAGGCTCCTTGGACATCGAGAAGAAAAAGCGCGTTACCATTGGCGTGGAGCTATGCGCGAAACCCGAGCTTCTGCTCTTCTTGGATGAACCGACCAGTGGCCTTGATAGCCAGGGCGCTTCGAGTATCGTGGCTTTGTTGCGACGGTTAGCTGATCAGGGCCTGGCTATTCTATGCACTATCCATCAGGCAAATCAGGAGCAATTCGAGCAGTTTGATCGAGTTTTGGCACTCAGTCCTGGTGGAAGCACTTACTATTTTGGAGAAGTCGGGGAATCCGGACGTTCCATCTTCAAATATTTCGCTGATCATGGCCATCGACCGGAGAATGTCACTAACGCGGCAGATTTCCTCATTGAAGTTGTCGTTGGCGGTATGAAAAACGCTGCACATAGCGTCAATTGGCCCGACATGTGGAATCGGTCTGCTGAAGCAGAGGATGTCCAGAACGAGATACATGAAATCCGTCACAAAGGCGACAATGCGTCGCAGGCTACGCAGCGCAAGCTGTCTAGTCCATCGGTCTTCCGGCAGACGTCCCTCTTGACGCAACGGACACTGCGCCAATACTGGCGAAGCCCAGAGTACCCCTACTCTCGCCTATACGCCTCGTTCCTCCACGCTCTTATCAACGGCCTCACATACTTGCAGATTGGCAACAGCTCCACCGATCTGCAGTCGAAAGCTTTCTCGTGCTTCCTCGTGCTGATGCTTGTACCCGAGTTCATCAACGCCATCTCGATGCGGTTCATCATGAACCGTGATATCTGGGTAGCTCGCGAGGGCCCCAGCGGCATCTATGGATGGGTCTCATTTTGCACCTCCCAAATTATCTGCGAAATTCCTTACGCGGTCCTTAGTGCCGTGATCTTCTATGTTCTGTATTACTTTATTGTCGGGCTTCCCCTTGGTTTTGCGGCAGGCTATAGTTTCTTGATGTTCTTTCTGTTCTTCCTATTCGCCACGTCCTGGGGTCAGTGGATTGCAGCAATGAGGTGAGTCCTGCGATCTCCAAAGAAACATTCCTCGTGAAACCTCAACTGACAAAAAATACAGTGCCGATTCGTTGGTGGCGGCAACCCTGATGCCATTCTTTATCATCATGTGCGAGCTGTTCAACGGTATCTTGCAGCCGCATGCAAACATGCCCGCATTCTGGGCATACACGATGTACTACGTAACACCGTTCACATACTGGATCGGTGGCGTACTGACATCTGTTCTTCGCGGAATGCCTGTCATCTGCACTGAGAGCGAACTCACTATCTTTGAGAGTCCGTCTAATCTGACATGTGGCGAATATGCCGGGACATGGCTCGAAGAGAAAAGCGTGGGTTATTTATACAACCCCGACGATTCCGGCAAATGTGGTTATTGCGAGTACAGTTACGGAGACGACGTAAGTGTCCCTTTCGCAGATGTGAAAAGCAACCAAGTGTCACTAACAGACCGTGTAGTATCTTTCAGGAATCGGGTTGAATTCGTCCAAGATTTGGCCATTTTTCGGTATTTTCACGGCATTTGTGATTTCCAACTATCTCATGGTGTATTTGCTTGTTTATGTCAAGTCGGTGATGAAGCCTTTTTGGCGTTGAGGATAGAAAAAAGCATAGCGTTTGCGTTGATCTGTATATATTCATTGCAGGGTAAATATTTTGAAATCTCTAGCAGATTCTTTAATTGAATCGTCATGTTGTTTTGATATCGCTTTGCCGCCGAAGAAGACTAAAATTTGATATCACGTATGCTATCCAACAGAGCTTTGACCGGATCAAGAGGCTCTCCTCTATGAATGTGTTTTTCGGCTTTTCTCTAGAAGCAGGTAAAGAATGTCGACATGCCGTTACAGCATAACCAAGACAAAGAAAGATATGAGAGATCACTCCATAAATTTAGAGTCTTACCTCTATCCTGCCAAAACAAGGCTTTGATTACGACCGACCCAACCCCAGAAACTAAACGGCATCGGAATCGACGCCATCGACTGCGGCAACATGCTATATTCAATGAACCAGGGACAGGTCAGATTCGCCCAGGCCCACACGAACGACGCGTCTAGGACCAAGATCATGGCCCGAGAGACGCGGTTCCGGGGCAATAAACGAGGCAATAGCTCGCTTAAATAGATCTGCTGCAAGGCGATGCAGGTAGGCAGGACGAAGAAGAAGAACATCATCATACCGGCTGCGTGCGCGTTACGAGAGACGGCATAGGAACCGAGGGCGTGGATGATGCCGGAGAGGGTAAACGAGGTGTATAGCACCACGAGCTGTTTCAGATACGGAGGCGTGGATTTGGGGATGAGGGAGACAGACAGGGCGAGGAAGGGGCGCCGGCAGAGGTCATGCCAGAACTTGCCCCAGATATCTGGTCACCCGGCTGTTAGTTTGTAAGTGGCTAAGAGGGAGAGATGAATGGTAGGTTTACCTCGCAACCTGAACGTGAGCAGAGACTGCACTGGTCCAAACAACGACGGATACATCCATGGTTCTGCGGAAAGCTTGGGAGAGATGCTCCCGAAAACGCCAACACCAACCAGACCAAAGAAGGCATGAACCCCGTCAACAAAAGCGTATGAGGTGAGCCAGCAGACCGGACCGAAGAGGTATGTTCGGACCAGGATTTCAGTGGCTTCCGTGGATAGATGGGTCCCCCAGCCGGCAGATGCTGCGATCGCGAGAGTCTCACAAAGTCGCAGATAATTTCTCCCGAATGTCGTCTGGTACGCGTCCAAGATAAAGTAACCAAAAAGAATGCGCTGGAATTGCCTTTTGACGAAAGTTGCCAGAGGTTCCTCGGCGTCTTGGTCTACGACGCTGACGTCATCGAAGACCCTCTTGCTCTGATGGTAATCGCGCAGGGGTGGCAGATATCGGACGGGGCCATAACTCCAACCGATGGCCCGTGGATTGACGAGGAGATCGCAGATCCACAGAAAACGCTTTACGCCCAACGCGGTCGGAAAGGGTTTCCAGACATACTTGAGCGGAGAGGCCGACGCGGTGGCTCTGCCAAGACGCTTCAAGTGAGGCAGATCATAGACGAGCAGCAGTTCGATAGCGCGAATGACATAGGCCCCCGATAAGAAGGCATTGGTGTATTTGAAAAAGGTCGAGAAGAAGGGAGGCGGGGAGACGACGGCGTGGGTTGCACTGCATAGAATGGCGAGGGAGAAAATGCATCTGACGTAAGGAGCGGCCAGGGTTTTTTCCCGAAAGAACAACGCGATGGCCAGTAGCAGCACTGTCAACATGATCTATATATATCTAAAGCATCGCTGGGGGAGGAACGCGAAGAATGAAAGGCGGGAAAAGGGTGGCAAAGGAAACCAAGCGAAGGGAAGAATGAAGGCGCCGAGACCCCGATCCACTTCATGTGATGTGTGTGTTTACTATTGCAACTGTCCACCACTCCTTGCGTCGGCCACGTCTGCCCGTCATCTCTTTTCGACGACAGGTAAGATGCGCACTGGCCGTCGCATCGCCTCGATCCACATATAATGCACGGCTGACATGCGCTGCTGACCGGTCATTCAATGATCGTCTTCTGGATTCGATCTGGACTTCTGCTCCCTGGCCCCAGCATGGATCCAGCCATGGCCAGGGTCTTTAAAATAGGCCTGTCGCCATGATTTCCGGGGGCGATTTTCCATATCCACCGCCGCCCGGTTTGATCCTCGAAGGTCCTCAGTCCAGATACCAACATGGAGGCTCTCAATCTGACGGAACGCATAAGAAACTCGTCGATGAGCATTTTGTCCATTTCCGATGCTAAACCGCCGAGGTTACTGGGCTGGGGCCGTCGTTGCAAAGCATCCTGGAAGGTCGGCGTGCTGGCGGCAGGGTTCATGGGTCTACTGTGTCCGATGCTATCGCTACTGCCCTGGGCATCGATGGAACTATTCGACGCGTCTACTGTGCAGATGCTGAGGTTTCTGTTGGCCGAAGGGCCGTCCATCTTCATTTTTCACCTCTGTCAGGGGCTCGATGGCATGATTCTTGCTGGCTATCTGGGGTGGATAGCCTTCCAGTGTCTGCTCTACACGGGGCTCCCGGGACGCATATGCAAGGGACATACCACACCCGCGGGATATCTCCTCAGCTATCGATCCAATGGACTATTTGCCTTTGGCATCTCGATTCTTGTGGTCGTGGCGCTGTCTATCGGCGACGTCGTGGATCCAGCGATTATTGCCTCCAACTGGGGATCTCTTCTACTGCTGGGCAATATCTATGGGTTTGTTTTATGTATTCTGTTTTATGCCAAGGCCAGCTTATGGCCATCCCATCCAGAGGATAGGAAATATACAGGTACTGGAGTTGCTCCATAAATGCTTATTTAGTATTGACTCGAGTAGGATCGGTTTTTTACGACCTGTACATGGGGGTCGAACTGAATCCCCGGTTTGGAAAACTGTGGGATATGAAGCTCTTTCACATTGGCCGCACCGGGATGATCTCGTGGATTGTGATGTGAGTGTGCATGCGTGGGCTTGTATCTGGATTGACTGTGCTAACGGGGTGCAGTGATCTTTCCTTCACGGTATATCAGTACCGAATGCACGGTTACATCACATCTTCTATCATTGTGGTTGACATTCTTCATCTGCTGTACGTGGCAGACTTTTTCTTTCGCGAGGACAGGTAAATTGCCCCCTCGCTTGAAACAGCGACCAGTTGCTGATGCCAGCAAGGTACCTGCGCACCATTGACATAGAACATGATCATTTCGGTTTCTACTTTGCCTGGGGCTCATCGGCATTCTTGCCGGCGGTATATACCTTGCAGACACAATTTCTTGCGCGGAAACCCGTGCACCTACATCCGACCACGGCTGCTGCGATTCTTGCCGCCGGGATCGGCGGGTATTTGATCTATTGCTGTGCCAACGAGCAAAAGCACCTAACCCGCAAGACGCGAGGTAATTGTACGATTGCCGGGACAAGGCCGAAGGTCATGAAGTGCTTCTACCAGACTGCCAACGGGGTGGAACACGAGTCTCTTCTTCTCTGCTCCGGTATGCCTTCTCTGCTATTTTGACGAGTAGATTGATCTAACATCATCGGTGTAGGGTGGTGGGGATACGTTCGCCATGCCAATTACCTGGGAGATCTCATTCTGTCATACGCAATGTGTGCGCCTTGCGGGATAACTCACCTCCTCCCGTGGACGTATGCCATTTTCATGACCATTATCCTTGCCCATCGATGTCTGCGAGACGAGAAGCGATGTTTAGCCAAATACGGAGCCTCCTGGGAGAGCTACTGCAACCAGGTGCGATGGCGGATTATACCGGGGGTGTTCTGAGGGAACTCGTGTTCCTCGTATTCCTGGCTCGGTCTGGAATGCCAGATAGGGCATCCCCGAGATGTCCGAGGCTAGCCGGATGGAGTAAGTCCGGGCAGGATGACCTCACGGATGCTGAGGCGCATCCATTGGCGTAAACACCACACCAACTTGCGCTTTTCCTTCTGTGACGGGTCAAGGCAGTCATCAATTTCCACATCCTCCCCAACCCGATCAGATAAGCCTGGCAAGGCGGGCCCCTGACATGTTCGAAAAGCCGCACTTTCCACAACTCTCTTATGCATTGAAGCTTATATCGTCACCAAGGCATCCTCATTCCGACCCGATCGTCTTCAATGCGTGAGGGGCACCTTCGAACGATCGGTTATTCATGGACGACGAACACGATTTCCATCCCCATGCAATGGGCACAACGTCACCGAAAACCCCACCGAGACGACGACGACCGGCTCTGTCCTGCACCATCTGTCGACGCCGCAAGTTGAAATGCGACCGGTCCATGCCATGCGGGCAGTGCGTCAAATCGAAGACTCCGGAGCAGTGCGTATATTCGGGACCTCAGGTGACTGCGCAACCAGAGTCGCGACCCGTGGGAAACACACCCCCCGACCGCGTGCAGATGCCGGGAAGTCGCGCCAGTTCGGTGCACGGCGGACTCTACGTTTTTGACTCGAAACACCAATCCTCGGCGAACCGAGTCGCCAAGCCGAAAGGGTGGCCCGAGGAGATATACGAACTGCGCCACCGCGTGCAGATGCTGGAACATGCTTTATCGAGAACAGGTTCGGTTCACACGCCAGAGGGCTCGGGTCTGGATGGTCTGGGGGTACCGACGCTGCGGACGTCGTATGATGCACAGTACATAAGCGAAGATGTCAAGCACCTGCCACGGGGAGCCTGCTTTCGTGGCAAGAATGGGAAGACAAGATTCTGCGGGCGCTGCCATTGGGGCGTGACTCTTTCATACGTAAGTGACCAATGGTGGATATGCTTATATAATTCAGCATAGGCGATTAACTTCGAACTACAGTTCAAAGACATTGGCACCGTGTTGAGAGGTCGACGAGAAAAATTCAAATCGAAGGATTCGGACTACTCGCGGCTGAAGAAGCTGAGAGGGGAGGTGTGTTCTCGCGAACAACAGGATCACCAGCGTGTCTACCGCGAGAAGGCCTTTTCGATGGAAGAGATGATTCCCCACAAAAGAGTAGCGGATGAGCTTCTGAGCTTGTATCTGTCTACCTTTGAGACCACGTACCGCATCCTGCATGTTCCGACATTCCTCAAACAGTACGATGCTTACTGGGCCGGCACGGAACGGGTGGACATGGTTTTTCTGGCCAAGTTGCTGGCGCTTATGGCTGCCAGTAGCTGTTTCTTCGGGCCGACGACGAGATTGAACGAGACCGATACGTTGCATAGCTCGGCTTCGGCATGGATCATGTCTGTTCAGTCGTGGATTGCATCCTCCTTCGTGAGTTCGACTATCAATCTGGACATGTTGCAAATACAGTGTATCTTGATGATCGCGCGTCAAGCAGATGCAACCGACGGTGATCTTGTGTGGATTTCATCCGGGTCGTTAATGCGATCGGCGATGACTATGGGCTTGCATAGGAGCCCGTCGTATTTCGGCAAAATGACCCCATTCTGGGCGGAAATGCGCCGGCGGTTGTGGGCCACGATCCTCGAATTTGATCTGGAGTCGTCTTTGGATGGAGGAATGGCCCCTTCAATGGATCTAGATGAGTTTGACTGCGAACCGCCGTCGAACTACGACGACGCTGATCTGACGGAAGAGATGACTGAGGACGTTGCTCCCAAAGATCCGGGATTGCTCACGCGCAGCAGCTTTCAGGTCCTCCTGTCCCGATCGCTGGCGCTCCGCGTGCGGATAGCGAAGCAGATCAACAGACTGAAATTCGGGTTGTCATATGACGAGGCGTTGCGTCTGGGCGAGCAATTGGTTATGTATATGAACGAGGCCCTCGCGTTGTACCCGGACGGCGGATCGACGGCGCTCAGCCCTTCGGGCAACCTGCCATTCGCCCGGTCATTCTTGATTTTTCTCATGCGCAGGTTTGTGCTTATTCTTCATCGACCGTTTGCTCTGAGCGTTTCGGTTTCTCCTAAATTCTCTTTTTCGCGCAAGATCTGTCTCGAGTCGTCCCTGGAGATGCTTTCTCAGCTGGACCCGCCGCCGGTCAGTCTCCCCGAGGCACAGGCATGTCCTCATCTAGGACAGCTTGGGGGTGGAATGTTCCGCGACGAGTTCTTCCACGCTGCTCTCACTGTCAGCGTGGAAATTTGTTGGCAGACCGAGGAATTATCGCCTGGTCATGCGCCGTCCGGCCAATCCAGCTCGCTAAGCTCTCTAAATGAGCTGGTCCGGTCCCAGCAGAGTGTTTTGTTGCAAGCCGTCGAAAGCACCCTCGACACTTTCGGGAATCGGATTAATACGAGAGGGAAAGGCTGTAAGGCCTTCTTTTTCCTAAGCATGGTGCTCGCCTCCGTCAAAGCCAGAATGAGCGGAGAAGATCCTCAGTTGAGAGCCGAGCAGGTGGCCATGCGGGCCATTCGGGACTGCGAGCAAATCATCAGGGGAACATCCTGGGCTGATCTTCGGGCTCGTCAAGATGGTTCTGTCGGGGTAAGTGATTGTGTGTTTCGGTAGTGGTGGTTGATGCCTACTAATACGACTTAAGGTGCCTTCGCTGACTCCCGGGCTGGATTCCGCCTCGTCCGATATTCCGTTCGATTGGTCCTCCCTTGGTCCTGCTGGTCTAGCGGATCCTTCGGTAAGAGAGCTGTGGATCTTCAGAATACGTCTTGTCTAACAGAAGTTTAGCCTCTTGATTTTGCGAATATGTTTGACGGGGTTGATTATGGCTCACCGGACTTCTTGGAAAACGATTTCCTCAACTCTTTTTAAAAGTAATATCTTGGATGGCTTGGCGTTTGGTTCATATTCGGGGCATTCCGGCGTTGACTCCTATACCATCTCTGCTTCTCGGTGTTCTTGTCTTGTTCTACCATTGTTGTTGATAGGTTTGGAGGGCGGACGGGAGTGTGGTAATAGAATTTATCTTTATTTGGTTATCGATGGTTGCTCGAAGCCAGGGACATGTGCGCACATGTGCTACTGGTAAGGTGGCTAACGATGATATCACAGAGTGTCGATCCCTCGAACCCAATTTAAAGACCTTCCCCTTCCCATTCATCGTTTTACCCCTTTATCCGTTTTCTATACTACCCCAGAGACAACTCACGATACTCACAATGTCGTACGTTCCTCCTTGCAATCCCCAATTTACGCCAACTAACGGCAGACCAGGTCTACGTCTATTCTTAGCACGCTGGGTCTCCGCGCCGCTCCTGGCCAGCAGCAAGCGCCCAATCATGCGGCCGCCTACCTGATTGCGAACTTCCTATTCGCGTACGGCGTGCTCAGCACTCGACCGGCCAAGCGGATCCATCGAATTGACCACAACACGGCGCCGCGCGAGGACCTGACCAAGTACGGTGAGGCAGCGGTGAAATCGGGGAAGATCAGTCGCTCGACGCTGAACCGCCTCAAGCGTCAGGAAGCGGCGCATGCCAATTCTGTCGAGGGTTTTCCACTGCTTGTTGCGGGTAGTATGTCTTATCTTTTCTTTCCGATACTGTCATATTCACAGGAACGACTTTCTCCGTCGGGTTGGATGCTAACGGAGATACAATGATACAGTCCTCCTCGCCGTTCACGCTAACCTCCCGGCGGAGACCATCAACGGGATCGGAGCGTGGTACACACTCTCGCGCCTAGTGTATGCCATCAGTTATGTGTGGATCGAGTCGGAGACGTTGAGTTTCCTACGATCGTTGGCCTGGTGGTCGGGGAATATCAGCTGCCTCACGGCGTTGGTGCTGGCGGGGAAGAAGCTCTGAGCAGTGGGACAGATTAAATTGTGCTGGACCGAGGTTGGGAGGATTCAGGAAGCGAGCTCAAGTAGTTCGATAGAATTTTGCGGTTGTCTGGAAGAAGAAAGGAGTGCGAGGGGAATGTCGATCGCGAGAGAAAATGCCGAGGTTCGTTGGATGCCAGAGGCTCTCGTGTCCCCTACAGACCCAACTAGATAAACTGTGAGACGTCAATCTTCCACGTCCGAATCAATGCTACGGGACCTTTGATACTTATACCTTCCCCACACATCTGAATGTGGAAAATTGATTTTCCATCGAGGCATTCGATCTTCTTCCCCAATCCAATTTCTCCCCACACATCCTTGATTGGTGGAAGTATTAGCAACCTGCACGCACGGTGAAATTTCCTCCACAGAGCTTGATCACTACCCCAGGTCTTCGCCATCTCCGCATCATGGAGATATCAAGGATGATGCGATTCAAGCCCAAGTGGAGCTCTACCACGAATGCCGTGCCCTTGACAGCAGTTTTCTGGGATCCTACAGGCGGAGAAACTTGTTTGAAGTAGATTTTGCAGACCGCGTCGTGTCGTGCGATAGCAATGAAAGAAATGCCGGCCGGACAGGAGCAGGATAAACGAGGCCAGCCGGAGCAGCGCATTATAAATTTGTACCTCCCGACTCTCAAGCAAAGGAATCCAATCCAGCATCCCCTGAGCACAAGTTGATAGAGCACCTGCGCATTGAGCGAAAGGACCAATTGCACCATGAAATTCTTTCTCGCTGCGCTGTTTGCCAGCGTCGTCAGCAGTGCCGCGGTCAATGGCCTCATCCCCGGCGCCCACATCATTCCGGTCGGCGACCAGGCTGAGCTGAGACGCGTCGGGGCGCACCACCACAAGCACCGTGACCGTCGTACGGTGACGATTCGGTCGTCGCGCAACGATACGGATGATATCTCGTCGGATTTCCTATGGGGAATCAAGCGGGCGAATCGTGGTGGACGGCTGCTCCTGAAGAAGGGAGAGAAGTATGTGATTGGAAAGAAGCTAGACTTGACCTTCTTGGATAATATTGAGGTCCAATTGGATGGAGAGCTGAAGGTATGCGTTGATCGTATTGACTTATCTATCTACTTGATCGAAGTCTGACAGAAATTTATAGTTCACCGACGACGTGCCCTACTGGCAAGCGAACAACTTCTACTATGACTTCCAGAAATCCATCACCTTCTGGCGCTGGGGAGGTCAGGACATCAAGATATTTGGAAAGGGCGTGTTGAACGGCAATGGACAGCGATGGTATAATGAGTTCGCCGGCCAGGAGATCCTAGTAAGTACCCTGGAGGGGTGCCAATGGAGTCAGATGAGTCTAATGCATCCAGGATCCCAACAACGAGTACTACCGACCGATCCTCTTCCTCACCGAAAATGCGACTCGGGTCTCCGTCGAAGGCATCACGCAGCTCAACTCGCCATGTTGGACCAATTTCTTCATAAAGAGCAAGGATGTCTCGTTTGACAACGTGTATATCAATGCTTTCTCTACCAACGCTTCGGTATGGCCCTCTGTACAGTTTCCATGAGCTCGAGCTGTGTGTTCTAATGATATGAAACTAGGCACTACCCAAGAATAGCGATGGGTTTGACTCGTTAAATGTGGACGGTCTGAGTGTTACCAACACCAGGGTGAACGTCGGCGACGACTGCTTCTCGCCCAAGCCCAACACCACCAACATCTTCGTTCAGAATCTGTGGTGCAACGGCACGCACGGAGTTAGCATGGGCAGTATCGGACAATACCCTGGCGTGAAGGACATCATCGAGCATGCGTACATCGAGAACGTGACCTTGCTGAATGGACAGGTTAGTCTTTCCTGCCGCGCATGTGCTTCATCTTACAATCTCATACTGACGATACCAGAACGGCGCGCGTCTCAAGGCCTGGGCCGGCGAAAACGTCGGCTACGGTCGCATCAACAACATCACCTACAAGAACGTCCGCATCGAGAATACCGATAGCCCGCTTGTGCTCGATCAGTGCTACTTCAACATTGAGGCAGAGGAGTGTGCCGCATATCCGTCCCGGGTCAACGTGACCAACATTGTCTTCGACAACATTTACGGAACTTCGTCGGGCAAGAAGGGCGCCGTGGTGGCGGATCTCACCTGCTCGCCGAATTCAGTCTGCTCGGGAATCCGGCTGAATGATATCAACATCACCAGCCCGGCGGCCAGTTCGCCAGTGATTATTTGCGATGGAATCCAAGGTGACATTGGAGTGGAGTGCCAGTCGAGCAGCTCTTAGTTCAGACATTATCAAGCAAAGAATGTACAGCAAAGGAGTCCTTCTCCACCTTTACTCCGTCGCCTCGCAGTTTGACCCGTAGCACGATAGCATATCCAGCCCGATCAACCCAATCACATTCACCACCATTAAACGACATTCTCCAACGACCAATAATTCCCCTTCAAATAGCTGATGACAACACTCCTCTCTGAATCCGTGCATCTTGAGGACCCGGGGGCGCGTACCTTGCGCGCTCCCCTGCGCGCAGCCATCACAAGGACCTTGGGGGAAGCCCGGGCCTGCACCAATCATGGTCCCAATTATGAATAGTCGTCATGAGAGGAAACCTTGCGGACGAGACCTTGTATAGAAGTATAAAGGATCGAGCATGGATAGTTGCTCCCAAGGTTTTCATTTTTAGTATCTGTCTTCATCTCCTCTCTCTTTCTCTCACATACACACACCCTCTGAACTAGTCTTACCCGCACACGATGACCATCAATTCGGGCCCCGAAAAGATAGATTTCCCTGTTAATAGGGAAGCCCCTGGTGGGAAGAAAACGAGGCAGTTGCCTGTGACGCTGTTGTCGGGGTTTTTGGTAAGCCCCTTGTTCCCCTGTCCTAGTAGGTGGTGAGTGGATTGCATTGGAGAGAGAGACTGATGTGTCTTGGACAATAGGGAAGTGGAAAGACCACTTTATTGGAACACATTCTGCAATCGGACCATGGGTTCAAGATCGCGGTCATCGTGAATGATATGAGCAGGTATGTTGAACCGTCTTTCCTCCCATCCCAGCCGGCCATCTCATCATCTATGAGACCTTCTCATAACTCATGAACTTGGGAAACAGTTTGAACATCGACGCCACGCTCATCAAGAACCACCACGTCTCCCAAACAAAAGAGAACCTCATTCAGCTGCAGAACGGATGTATCTGCTGCACGCTGCGCGGGGATCTCCTCTCGGAGCTGGCGCAGCTGACGCGCCAGGACGACGTACAGTACGTGGTCATCGAGAGCACGGGCATCAGCGAGCCTATGCAAGTGGCCGAGACGTTCACGGCGGAGTTCAGTTCTGCAATGCTTGAAGCCGACGTGGCGGATGAAGAGGGTCGAAAGGTCTTGAATCAAATGTAACCTTCCCCTGTCCCTCCTATCCGACATCAGAACCATACCATCAAGAGTATAACTGCTAACACTGACCGTCCGAAAACAGAGTTGAACTGGGCGGTCTCCACACGCTCGCCAAGCTCGACACCACAGTCACGGTGATCGATGCATTCAACCTTCTCACAAACTTCGACACAGCCGAGTTCCTCTCCGACCGATACGGCGGGGACATCATACCGGAAGACGAGCGCACGATCTCCGACCTGATGGTCGACCAGATCGAGTTCGCCGACGTGATCATCACTAACAAGGTCGAGACGGTGGACCGAAAGACGCGGGAGCGTATCCGATCCTTGCTGCGGGTGCTCAATCCCGCCGCCAAGGTGCTGGAGACGAATTACTCGCGCGTCGACGTGAAAGAGATCCTGGACACCGGGCGGTTTGATTACCTCAAGGCGGCCTCGGGAGCGGGCTGGTTGCGCAGTCTGCACGAGATGACGAGAAGGGAGACGGCTAATGGCGAGAGGATGGCGCCGGTGCCGGAGACTGTCGAGTATGCTTTCATGCTTCCCCCCGCCCCTGCATTTTATAAGGTGGCATCTTCTAACGCGTATTAGATATGGGATCAACAATTTCGTATACACGGCGCGACGACCGTTCCATCCGCGTCGACTCTTCTCCCTCCTGCATGACAAGTTCATCCTCTTGCAGAGCTCCGGGGAAGAAGATGAAGATAAAGAAGAGGACGAGGACGAAAACGAAGCGGAGAGTGACGCCTCATCAGAAGCCTCGGACGATGAAATGGACGACTTCAACCAACAAGAACCCCAACTGATTCTGTCCAACAAACGGGCACACCCCGTCCTCGGGCCCATACTGCGCTCCAAAGGCTTCTACTGGATGGCCACGCGCCCCGATCAGTTCGGCGAATGGAGCCAGGCAGGTGGCATGTTGACCGTCGGGTGCGGCGGGCCCTGGTTCGCAGAGGTAGCGGACGAAGAGTGGCCGGAGGACGAGGACGTGCGGAAATCCATAGAGGCGGACTTCCAAGGTCGATGGGGAGATCGGCGACAAGAGATTGTGTTCATCGGGGAAGGAATCAATACTGAGGCCATTACCAAACTGTTGAACGACTGTTTGCTAGACGACGCAGACATGAAGAAGTGGGAGAAGGTCATGTCAAATGGAAAACTGTCTCATGGGGAGAGGCAGGAAAAGATGATGAAGATTTGGGAGGATGGATGGGAGGGATGGCCTGCGTTTGAGGACGAGGAAGACGAGGAGCCAGAACAGGAGAAAGTGACGGGGAAAGAGACGGCGCAGCGAGGCAAGCATCGCATCAGCGAGCATTTGGGACATGGAAACCACGGCCATAACCATAATCATCACGGGTCTTCGCACCCCAAGATGATCAAAGCATAAAAGCTCATATCAGGATAAGTCAAATTGGATCCATTAATACATCATCTAACAGGAAAGTCATTCAGGTATTACAAATTGATAGCAAGCCATAAAAGTCATGAAATCATTAAAAACCATCACCACCAATCCACTCTTTTCATTCTCAAATGCATACCCTCGACGGGCTTCGTAGTTACCGCGCCGGCGATATGAATCGTCTGCTTGGGATCCTGCATCTCGAACCGGAACCTACCCACAACGCCCGCCACCGCGCAGCGCAACTCCGCGCGAGCAAAGTCTTTGCCTATACACGCGCGCTGACCATGCAAGAAAGTGATCTGGGCGAAGTTGGTCGACGCGCCGCCCGTATGATTGACGGTACTGTTGCCGTTCTTGTCCGTATCGATCCAGCGATCGGGCCGGAACGTCTCACCGTCATCGCCCCAGAACTCCGGCGACCGGTTGGTGGCGTAAGGACAGAGGATGATGCGCGTGCCTTTGGGGACGTGTTTACCTGCCAAGGTAGTGTCGCGAATGGATTCGCGCAGCGTCACCGGTACCGTCGGATACAGGCGTAGAACTTCCTGGCAAACGCCGTTGAGCAGGGGCATGGATTCCAATTCTGACCAGGTGATGGGGTGGGACCCCGAGGGGATCTTTTCGCGGATTTCATCGCGCAGCCGATCTTGAATTTCCGGATTCAGGGTGAGCAGGTAGCAAGCCCAGGTGAAGGCGCTGGCGGTGGTTTCGTGCTGTGCATGATTTATTGAGTCAGTCAATTGGGCTTCCCATGAAGGGATAGTGTAAAGAACATACACCGGCCGCCAAGAATGTCAACATCTGATCGACCAGCTCGTCGTCCGTGAAGTCGCCACCAAGCATCATCGAGCCTAGGATATCGGCCTCAAGCTCCTTCGCCGTGGCGCCACTGGCCGTCATAGCGGCGCGCTTTTCATGCACGATGTCCTTGCAGAGATTGCGCAGAAACCCAGTTTCCTGAGCGACAACGCGATTCAGGCGCCAAGGAATACGGCGGGCGAACCACTGCGGCAGCACAAAATTGACGGCCAGAAAGGCCATTTTCTCCCGGGTGGGCTCCAAGATGGCCAGGAAGCTGTCAGCGACCTTGTTCTCGGGGTTCTGCAGGGAGCGAAAATCACGGCCCATGGCGGCGGGGCCGATAATGTCGAGGGTAAGACGGCTGTTTCAGATCAGCTGAGATTCCAGATCTCTTCATTTGGACGCAAGGGATGCTAGATCGAAGAAATGTACGTACCTGGCCCACACACTCATCTCGATCTTTCCTTCGCCACTGTCAGGATTGACCCCCTCCATCGGATTTAGTCGCATCTCGTTCTCCAGCTCGTCCATTAGCATGCCCGTCTTCTCCCACATCAGCGAGTACAGGGCGCGAATATTCTTGACGTGGAAGGACGGGGTCAGCGCCTTGCGTTGCTTCTTATGGGCACCGCCCTCGGATAAGATCAGACCGAAACCGATGATACGGGCCAGGAAGTCACGGGCGCGCCAGGGCTTCTCGAAGTCGTACGTGTGCGTGCTCATGATGTCCAGCAGGGCCTGATGGTTGGTGACCAACAAGTGACTCCTGTTAAGGACATCGCGAAAATGGATGAGACCTTCGTTAGGAATGGTTTTCATCCATTGCAGTGGCAGGCGACCGCGTGGGTCGTCAAAGATGATGCGGGCGTGATTGAAATTGCCCTATTTTTATTCGCATTAATGACTGTTACGTGTCAGATCTCAAGAAAAGAAATTGACTTACTCCCAAAGTAGGCAGGTGACGCAAAGGTGTCACAAAGAAAGGGTAGATGAGGACATTCCAGATCCCCAGGAGGACCATATTTAGGCCGAAGGAGGCTAGACAGAGGGTGCGAAAGGAAGCATCCAGAAGGACCGACCGCTGCAAAAGGTAGCCCTCGAGCAGAGAGAAGGCTAGGAGGAACAGCAACGAATCCATGATGGACAAATCGAGGGCGGATAGCTAAACCGAGAGAACGGAAATCCGGGGTAAAGAGAAGAGGAGAGGACCAAGTCTAATGGGCCTCCGGTCTCATTTATGAGACGGACCCCATTAAACCGGCCCGATTAAACGGATCCTATTTTGATGTTCTCATTAGTGGCAGGCCCCGCGGATCGACGGTGTTGACCTCGGCTGGGGATGAAGTGGAGTGAGAGAACAACGATGTAATCAGGATTCTTATGGTAGATGATTAGAAAATTCACCGACAATCCGCCAGAATGGGCTCGATAACATGTGCCTGGGATGCATGACGCAGGGATGTGCAAGGCGATCGATCGACAAGCGGGGCTCGTGCTGGACGAGAGAGAGAGAGAGGAAGAGAACATAAGAGAAGGGGAGGGGCAGGATGTCGAGAAAGGCAACGAGTGCGAGACTTCAGGCCGCAACCATGTGACCTGGCCAGCCCCTATTTCCTCCAGACATCCAGTTCATCATCCAGATTCCAGAGACCTGAATTTAGTCCACTCCAGTCTCCACCGTCCCCGCCGAATGATCCAAGTTCCAGCAGTACCTTCGCTCCTAGTGCCGATCGACACTCGCAACCCTTTCTATTTCGGGTAAAGTGGACTGCCAATACTTCACTCTGTCGCGAAGAGCTGCAAGACCGCCAGTGCTGGTGGATTAAACATGGGAGACTAGAATAAACGAAATGTCAGTCGCTCCACCGTGTCTATCATGAACTTCTTCAGGGTCTGGTCTCGCAAGCTCGGATACTTGCAGTCCTACCATGTGAGAACCTCGGCCACCAGCCGTGAATGAACTTCACTGGATCTTATATCTATCCGGGTAAACCCGTCCATACCTTCATTCCCGCCAAAGCAAGCTCATTCACCATGTCTCTTGATCAATCTCTCCAGTTTCTACGCCAGTGGGGTCAGACGGCTCTGTCGCATATGCCCCCCGAGGCGCAAAATGTTCTGCTGCACCCCGTCGTTCCCAAGGCGCTGGCCGTGTTAGTTGGGCTCGGGGTGGTGCGCCACACTAATCGCGCTTTGACACGATGGGCAGCGAATAACTGGCAGGGCGCTGGCCCCTGGCAGCCTGCGCGCGAGCTGGTTCTCATCACCGGGGGGTGTAGCGGCATCGGCAAGCAGGTCGTGGATGATTTGGCGCCGACGGGGGTGCGCATTGTGATCCTGGACATTCAGGAGCCTACCTCTAAATTACGTGAGTCGTTGCTTGTGACTTGCCGGAACAATAGCAAAACTAACAGACCTATCCAGCTGCCAATGCCACCTTCTACAAGGCCGACATCACATCCTCGGCTAGCATCGCTGCCGTCGCCGAGAAGATTCGTTCGGCGCACGGCGATCCCACGGTGCTGGTCAACAACGCCGGCGTGGGTACCGATGGCACTATTCTCGATGAGCCCGAAGCCAAGATTCGCCAGACCTTTGAGGTCAACACCATCTCGCACTTTCTCATGGTGCGCGAGTTTCTGCCTAGTATGGTAAAGCAGAACCACGGTCACGTCATTACCATCGCCAGCATGGCCAGTTTCGTCGCGCAGGGCGAGATTGTGGATTACTGCTGCTCTAAGGCCAGTGCGCTCGCCTTCCACGAGGGACTGGGCCAGGAGCTGCGGTTTTGGTACAAAGCGCCGAAGGTGCGCACTAGGTGAGTTACTTCCCTTATGGCCCTTATGGTGTAGGCCGAGAGAGAGACTGACGAACAAAACAGCGTGATTCATCCCCTCTGGGTGCGCACCCCTATGATCAAGCAATTGACCGACGCCGGCAACAAATTCCGTCAGCCCATCTTGACCCCCGAGATGGTGTCGGCCGCTGTGGTCAAGCAGATCTTAACGCAGAGCAGTGGTCAGGTAATCCTGCCCAACCATCTCATGCCTATTTCATTAGTGCGCGCCCTCCCCTCGTGGCTGCAAGACTTCGTCCGGAACACCGGGTCGAAGAACCTGAAGCAGGTACGCGAGTGGACGGCGGCGCAGGGATTGTAACTATGAGAATAATGTATATAGAAGCCATGAGTTTGATGATTCCTTGTATTGATTATAATATCTTTTGTTTTCATATGATGGTTAGAATTAATAGTATATAATAATCATATCGTGCTTAGTATGAATCCTCACTTGCAAAAGCATTGGACTTGAGTTCGTTATTATCATTATCTTAATCTCTATTTTATCTATGTCTGCGATTCCTATAGCCTCACAATCTTTGTGGATATAGCAGGCGGACAGTAAAGACTCCAATTAAGAAGAAAATACAAACCAAATATTCAAGAGATATATACAAATGTATTATACGTACACCTTATAGAACCTCCCTTAACCAGCTCTTCACGCTCTTCCCTTGCGCCGTCTCCGTCTGATCTCCCAAGTACAGATTATAAATGGGAGCTACGTGGCCCTCTCTCTCGCCGACGCAGAACTCCACTCGCTCAAATCCTTGCCGGAACTTATCCACAAACTCGCTAATGATCGGCAACAGGATCTCGCTGCCACCGGCACACACCAACACCCTCTCCACGGGGAATTCGGCATACCAGTCCGTCGGCGCTGTAGACAGATCCGTGTAGAAGTCCCTTTTGGCGGTGCCCAGATACGCACTGGCCCAGGGCCCCGCCACCGCGGGGGTAATCAGATCGCCGCGCGAATCGATCTCCTCGCCCGTGTAGTCGGTATTCATACTCACCCAGGGTGCGATCATAATGGCACCACCCAACTTGGCCTCAGCGGGCAGCGCTACCGGGGCAATTGCGGGATGCGTATGTGCCAGATGCGAGAGCACGCCACCGACGAGATTCCCGCCGGCGGAGTCCCCGCCTAGCAGGATCTGCGCGGGCGCGTAGCCCTGGTCCAGCACGTAGCGCACTGCTTCGACGGCCTGACGCAGCTGCGTGGGATACGTGGCCTTGGGTGCTAACGTGTAGGTGAGGCTGAAGACGGCCAGGCTTTTACCTGCGCGACGAGCGTCGGCGGTCAGGCGCGCGAAGAAGTGAAAGTAGCCGACGTTGGCGGGCAGGGCGAACCCGCCGCCATGGAACCACACCAGGACTTTGGTGTCACTGGAGGGAGGAGAGGACGCAGGGCGCGACCCAATCCAATGACCCAGGGCGTCATGCGGCAGGGTCACGGTCTCCGGGGCGATGCGCGAGCGGCGCACGTAGCGCTCGTAGATGCGGTTGGAGGGCGGCAGCACCGTCTGCATCTGTGCCACCGAGAGGCGGGCAGTCGCCTTGCGGAAGGCGGCGTAACCTACATGAAGCAGGAGGGTAGGTGGATGAGCGGACGAGCGCCAGAGACCGGAGATGATGGCCCAGGCGACGGTGAGAACGATGGAGAGCAGGGCGGGCACAAAGTCTAGCTTTTCCACGAGGGACAACATGTTGACGTTGAACACGGGGAACGAAGATGTGAGAGGGGGAAGTGACACATGTGCGACGGAGGATATATAGTATAGAGTACAGAGGCCATGGTACATGGTACATGGGACCGAGTATAGAGTACCGAGTAGTATACGGAGTACCTTAGAAGAAAGTTAGGGTTGCCGCGACATGTGAGCTCGCACTGGTTGCCGCATTGGGTAAGGATGGACGGGTGGAGCAGGCCTTCACCAGGGAAAGACTTGATGAAGATGGGCGATCGTCACCTCCGGTTCTTCGGTCGTCTCAATCTTCGGTCGGTATAATAATCTCCCCTTTTTCCTCGGTCTTTCCCCAGACTTCTCCTCGCCGCCTCGCGACCGTTTCTGTTTTGGGTAACCGAGGCATGTGTCTCGCTTCTGCACCTATTTTCATGCGTCCTGGCCTGGGTCTATCAACCCTTGTATAAAAATGCCTTCATCTCCTCGCAATCCTTGTTCGTCATTGTTGTCGCATTGTACATGTCTCACCATTCAAACCTTGCTTGATTGATCCATAAGAACCATGGAAGACTTTGACGTTATCATCGTTGGTGCTGGCATCTCCGGCATCAACGCCGCCTACCGGCTCCAGTCTCAATATCCCAACTTGCGATATGCCATCTTAGAAGCTCGCAGCAATCTCGGCGGTACCTGGGATCTCTTCCGCTACCCGGGTATCCGCTCCGACTCAGACCTGTTCACCTTCGGATTCGAGTGGCATCCCTGGGACCAAGGCTGTCCCATCGCCGACGGCCGGCTCATCGTGCAATACCTGCACAACGCTGCCGAGAAACACGGCATCGACAAGAAGATCCGCTACCAGCACCAGCTATTGGGGGCAGATTGGTCATCGGCCGACCAGAATTGGTCGCTGAGCGTCGACCACGACGGCCAGACGCACTCGCTGACGACGCGATTCCTGGTCTTCGGCACCGGCTACTACGACTACAACCGGCCGCTGGAGGTCGACATCCCCAACCTGGAGGCTTTCCAGGGACAGACCATTCACCCGCAGTTCTGGCCCGAGGACCTCGACTACGCCGACAAGAAGGTGGTCATCATCGGTAGCGGTGCCACCGCCATCACGCTCCTCCCCAAGATGGCCGAGAAGGCCGAGCATGTCACGATGCTGCAGCGCAGTCCCACCTACATCCTGTCGCTGCCCAACAAACGCCGCCCCTTGCTCAGCTACTTGCTGCCCACCACGTTTTTCCGCCGGCTGCAGCGTGTCAACTGGATGATCACCTCGCGCCTATTCTTCCTTTTCTGCCAAGCCCTCCCCGCCGTGGCCTGTTGGATTCTCCGCCGCAGAGTCTCCAGCCAGCTGCCTGCCCACATCCCCTTCGATCCGCACTTCCGCCCGCGCTATAACCCCTGGGACCAGCGACTCTGCGTGTCACCCGACGGCGACTTCTTCCAGAGCCTACACACCGGGCGCGCCGGCGTCAAGACCGACACCATCCGACAAGTCACGCCCACGGGCATCGAGCTGAACTCGGGCGAGACGCTGGACGCCGATATCATTGTCACGGCGACAGGACTGCGATTACAGATCGCCGGTGGGGCATCGCTGACCGTCGATGGCATCCCGCAGCACATCCCGGAGAAGCACCTGTGGCGCGGCATGATGCTGCAGGACGTACCAAACGCTTTGTGCATCATCGGCTACACCAACGCCTCGTGGACCCTGGGTGCCGACGCCACCGCGCACTTCCTGGTGCGGCTGGTGCGCGAGCTGGACGAGCGCGGCGCAAAGGCCGCTGTGCCACGACTCGACGGCGCGCAGCGCAAATCCCTTCAGCCGCGCCGCCTGCTCAATCTCAAATCGACGTACGTGACCAGCGCCGAGCGCGATCTACCCAAGACGGCGGATCGGGGCCCTTGGGTGCCGCGGGACAATTATCTGGACGACATCAAGTTCGCGAAGAAGGGGCGGATTGACGAGAGCATGGAGTTTACGGGGGAGGCGAAGAAGCTGTTGTAGTATGTACGTACTAATATGAGGATATAAGGAGGTGTTGATATTAGATCTGGCGTTGCTTTTTTCTTTTTCTTCTTTCATTTCCTGATGTGAATGATTTCCCCTTTCTTTTCATGAGACGATTGACATGAAATGGAGTACGTGTTATGTTAGCAGGGTATGATATGAATACAATATATGAAATGAATCCATCTCACGCCAGAGATCAATGTAACCCCGTATACCTATTAGCAATAAAGCCTCGGCACTTGAACTCCGCCATTCCTTCGCATTCCGCAACTTCCCCGCATTTCCACCAGACAGTCTAATTTAATTTAAAAATGCGCTAAGAATGACGGAGATGAGTTTCCATTACACATGGATTGGTTTCCCGTGGATGGCGGAACTCTATTTGATTTATTTATTTTCCCTTTTCCGGGGAAGCACAAAAAGGAGGGATCCGTGCGGGGGAAGAAGGGTCCAAAGGACTAAATTTAGTTGACCTGGATTTGGGCACAACATTTATTGGGTGGCTGGGAGGTGGCTGCTTTCACTCTTGACTTTCAGTTGTGCCTGCGGATGTTCATGGATATTTTGGATTTTCACCTAATATCGAGACGGTGTGGGCTAGACTCCTTTTCTAGACGAGTAAAAATAAATCGGAGACAGTGGCACAGCGAGAGAATTAGATAGGTATATAGAGCGTTCTGCTCACGACTCCGTATGTCCATTGATGGGTATTCAAACGTTTTTATTACATATTATCCAGCGTACGTGCGTAACCCGTCCCGATCCGTTCACATCGGATTCTTCGTCACATGGCAATTAGAACAAAAAGGAAATGTAAAAAAAGGAGATTACAGCGCCTCCTCGTCGCCCTTGACGCCCGATCCTTGGTACTGACTTTTCTTCAAGTTGTTCAGGCGATCCTCTTCGGCGTCCAGCTTGTAGTTGCTCAACCAGAAACCAACGCCGCCAACGAAGGCCAGGATGGCTACGACAGTGTAGTTCCATACTAGCAGGGGATCCACCGACAGACTGACAAGAGCCTGTCCGATGGCCGAGGAGATGGCGTTCATGAACAGCGCGACGGCCTGCACCAGCGAACGCATGTTGCGCGGGGCCTTGGTGAAGGCGTACTCGAGCGAGGTGACGGAGGCGAAGATCTCCGAGATACCGCCCAGCACGTAGGTCAGCGCCTGCACCCAGACGGAGATGGGCGAGTGCTTGTTCAGCTCGTCCAGGCAGTAGTTGGCCTCCTTGCCGCAGTCTCCCAGCTTGTAGATGTAGTGCTGCGTCACGGCGGCCGCGACCATGGACAGCGTGGCCATCATGAAACCGGCCGTGATACGCTTCAGGGGGGTGAACTTGATGCCCATGCGGCGCAGTCCCGGGTAGAAGACCTGGTCCATGATGGGGATGGCGATGATGAGCGACAGGGGGTTAAGGTTGTTGATGATGTCGTTGGGGACGCCGCCCAGTCGCATGGTGGCAGCCTGCGAGGTCAGATTGTTCAACATCTGGTTGTATGCCAGCCCTGTCGAAGCGTCAGTCAGCCTTCCATCCAGCCTGTAGGTTGTCAAGACCAAGAATACGTACAGTAAAGAGGGTACCACAAGAACACCGTGCAGGCCTTGAGACCACGGGCCACCTCGTCAACCCACTCGTCGTCGAAGACCATCCATGCGGGCTTGTTGGGGCCCAGCGCAGAGGGCTTGACGGGCTCCCAGAAGGGCGTAGGGTTCTTGATGAACCTATAAGGATTAAAATTAGCCTGCGCCTCCCCTATCACTGGGGGGGGGGAGATACTCACATGCGGGCAGGGTTCAGCGACCAACGACCCTTCATGGCCATCTTCCAGACGCGGAAGGCCTGCAGGTAAACGGAACCGGTCGGCTTGACGTGGTTGTATTTGTTGCGGCACAGGAAGAGCACCGCGGGGCAGCACATGAACATAATGGTAGGCAGGAAGTACGACAGCCAGAATCCGACGTATTTCTCGGCGTAGACCATGCTGACCTGACCCAGGATGGAGCCGATGTTGATCATCAGGTAGAAGTACAGGTAGATTCGCGATACGGTGGCGGCGGGGTCCACGATAACGCGCTCACCCGACTGCAATGTCTTGATGTAGGGTTGATCCTGGCGATATTGTTCGGCAATCAAGGTAGAGATGTTGGATCTATGCGGTCGAGTTAGTTCTGCCGTCCCATGGACTCTCCAGGGCTAATCCTTACTTGAAACCACCCGTTCCCACACCCATGATGATGAGACCGACGGCGAAACATCCAATGGCCCCGTTGGGGTTGGAGATGACTTGGGGAATGGAGGAGATGATAAGAATGGTGTGACCGAGTAAGGCGGCCGCAATCGACCACATGATGGTATTGAAACGTCCCAGGTGTTGATCGGCGACGTAGGCACCGACCAAAGGCATGACGTACGACCAGAAGGAGTTGACTGCATCCGTTAGAAACGGGTTTCTACTTGGCTCGCTCCGGAGAGGCGAGGGACTTACACAGAGTCAGACCGGTCGACGCCTGTTGACCCATCCCCAGAGCTCCGGGCACGCTGTGATCGTAACCGGCACCGGTGGTAGAACCTTCCGGCAGGGGACGCTGAATAAAGTTGACGACTGCAAAAGTGATTTCCATGGTTAGCGCAACTGTGATGGCCGGACAAAGAGTGGATGAGGGGACACGATTTGGGGCAGACGTACAAACCGCAGTGGTTCCATAGTAGGAGAAACGCTCGCAGAGTTCGACAAATGCCACGGTGTAAGCGGTCCAGGGAATGGGGCCCGCAACGCGACGCAGGTCTACCAGCTCGGCGTCGGTGGGCAGCTCGTGGTGCAGGTGAGCATCGTCGCCTCCGGTGAAGGAGCCGGTCACTTCCTTGGACGCGGGGACTTCTTGGATGCTGGGTGAGATGGCGAGCTCCTTATCGAGCGACTTCTTCTCGTGAGCTTCATGGGCGGCCACGTGGGATCGGGCGACCTCCATGACATCGGCGGGATCTGAGGCATTCATGGTGCCGCGGGGAGTAGACAGCGATCGGATCTACAGTAGACGGGGTGGAGTCGTCTAGAGAAATAAGAAAGGGAAGAAAAGAGGAGGCCGGGAGGAAGGACGACAGAAGAGGAAGGGATGAGACTTTAATAGCCCGTCGAGAATCGAACAGCGTCGGGGGGGAGAGGGGGGGGTGGGAGAGGCGCATCCAGGAAAAAGGGAAGAAGGTCGCCGCAGCTAGCAATCCGGGCTGGTTATCGCGTGCCACAACACCTACCCAATGGGGAGGCCCAATCAGCCGGTGGAAATTAATTTATCAACAATCGGAATTATCAAGAGTCAGGCAGCTTCCTATCGGCTGGTCTCCTCCGCTAAAGACTGACTAGCGGCCTTTTGTCTGGCGGCGGATTGCACCACCGTGGCCACCAACCAGGGGACGAAGAGTCTGAGACGATGGCCATGTAACCGTTGGTAGCCGTGCTTGTGCTTGTCTTTCTCCTCTTTTTCCTTTGCTTTTTCTTTTGGTGTTCGAATTTGTTGATTTATCTTTTTACCTTTCGGAAGGAGAACCAGAAGCGGGCTAATCGCTTCTTGGCGCATTTGGACAGGCGAGGAGTGGCACTCCGGAGGACTCTGGGCACGACTAGAAGTCTATGAAGTTTCGGGCCTAACCGACGCATGAGCAGTGAGCGATAAGCGGAAGAGACCAAGGCGGCATAGCGGGCCTTGGCGGGGGCTTGAGGGGCGTGGGGCAAGACGGGGGATTGGACGAGGGAGCAGTGGCGGAAATAAGCACGGGGCTTGGCACGGACCTTGGCTGGTAATCTGGAATGCAACCCTACCGCTTGGCTGATAGGAGGGGGGCCAATCACCGTCCCCTTGGCCATGTGGTTGAGGTCCCTTCCCCAGATAGACCCCCGTCCAAACCGGGCCCAGAGCTGGACGACCGGCGGGCCTCCATCGCGCCATCTCGCCGCCAGATCACTATCTACTCTGACGGTAAAAGAAAGAAAGATCCGACTCCACCCGCGCATATCAATCAGTCCCTGGATATAGCGCCTTATCGGGATCCAATCCCATGTCAGCCAGGTCCAGCCCGGTCGAAGGTACACGATGGACACGGTGTGTATGTTGGCCTTGCCACCCTGATAAGGACTGGTCGTCCCCATAGAGTTTCCTGGAGGAGGAGGGAGGAAGACAGGGAGCTGTCCAGGTTACCCCGTACACGGAGTGGATGAGGGCGCATTAGGTGCGCGCTATTACTAACAGGAACTGCTCTGATAGCTTGTCGCAGGGTCCAGGATCGGGCATTAAATTAAAATCACCACCCTAGACCCTTTCCAGACATGTCGGAGATATCTCGAGCGGTTCCATTCCTTCTGGCCCCTGTCAGGAGAATGACCTCTCGTACTACCTGACCTGGCTGACAGTCTGACTCTCAATAATAAACCTAATATCAGCATTCATTGACATTGACTATTGACTACTGTATCTACACCCCAACCGGGACTAGTCCTCACCCTCCCTATCGCAGACCCTGCAGCTCATTCGATTTTATCGCCGAACTCGCGGTTCTTCCGTGCGTTGCCTTCCAGCCCGAACATCACCTCCCCCATGCCCGGAATCTGCATGTCGAACGTGTCGCGCACCACCGCGTACTGGTAGTACCCGCATCGCGCGATCGGCTGCGTCTTGCGCACGTCCAGGATGCCGTCTGTCAGCACCTCGTCCTTGATATGGACCGCCACCACCCGCGCGATAATCACGTCTACCGTGCCCATAGGCGGATTACCGGGTAAGCGCACGGTGGAGTGGTAGCGACACTCGAACTTGACCGGGGACTCTTCCACCATGGGCGCCTGGACCAGTCGGGCTGCCTCCTTGTGCACCCCCGCCTGCCCGAACTCGTCGACTCCGTAGGGGAACTGCTGGGCCGAGATGTTGACCGCCTCGCGCAGATCCCAGGTGGCCAGGTTCCAGACGAACTCGCCCGTCGCCTCAGCGTTGACCACCGTATCCTTGCGGCTGCCGTCGGCCGTCTGGTTGGACGAGAACATCACGTACGGCGGGTCAAACGTGAGATTGTTGAATTGCGAGTACGGCGCCAGGTTGGCTTGGCCGTCCTTGCTTTGTGTCGAGATCCACCCAATCGGTCGCGGAATGACACATGCCTTAGAACGTGTAAGTCATTAGTTATCTGGTCCCTCCGTCGTATGCGACGTTCTGCTCCTTCTCCGTCTCTTACCTTGAAGGGATCCCGCGGCAGGTTGTGTTCGGTCACGCCGGGCTCGTAAAACATACTGGCAGCTGACGGGGTAGGGTGGCAATGTTTATGCTTTGTGCGTTACACTGCAATGATCGGTTCTGTACGACCTCGCTTCTCCTGGGGATTCATAGGTTAATAAATACTCGATGGTTGCACAGTACAAGAGACAAGCATCAAGTTGCCCCCTCTCCAGCTCCCGCTCAACTCCCGACAAAACGTCCCGAGTCCCACCAGTCCCACTCGTGGGGACCGAGCGCCCGAACCCTCCGAACTATACGGAGTACGCTTCTGCAAATGGTTCCAGGTTTCATAGGTAATACATCAATTGATCGGTATAGCCAATATCCTATAGGAGACACATAAGCGAAAACATTCCGGCTCAACTTTGCCGGCTAAATCACCACGAAAATAATCGAATCGAAAAAACCAACCGAACATGTCCGCCGCTCCAAGAATACAAACTACTATCCGCTCTATTCCGCCCCCATCGCAGAAACGACCAGAACCTGATACCCGCAGGCGCCGAGGTTGATCATATCCAAGATCCGTATATCATCCATATCTTGTCGATCGGAAACAGAAACATCCTCGCGCATCGTTATGCATACTTGGGGACGGAACCCTAAGTGCGCATCCAAAACCAGCTCAAACTGGATGCCCACTGGTTCCGCGTTAAATGCTTTGCAAAGCCGGATCATACAGTCACGAAGGGAAAACGACTTTTGCGACTCTCACGGCGGATTTCATGTACTCTACCTCCTCTGGCGTGGAGGGCTGAGTAGTCCCTTATGCCCGATGGTCGAGAGCGGACTGCCATCTCCAAGTGCTCTTCGAGGGAGAACTCTGTCGCTTTGAAAGACGTCGTGCTAAAGATATTTCGCTCCATCTTGTCCGTGTTCTTTTTTCTCGTGCCCAATCTACCCCTGATTCTGGACAAGGGGCTTAGGGCGGGGTTGCGGAATTGATTTTTCGATCCTCCAATGAATCGAAACGCCTCGAAGAAAAATTATACGGAATGGCACGTCTCTTGGATTTTTGGTCTTGATGAGTCTTGCTGTTGAAGAAAGAAGGGTAGGTGTCAGAAATAAAAGTGCTAAGCAAGTGGGAGGGAGATTTTAAATCAATTGTGGTCTTCCTACAAGCTGAGATAGTTTAGCATAGGGTGTATGCCATATGTCTGTTTGAACAAAGCAAAGATGCTCATGATTGCACCGTTTACTGAAGATCAATAAAGCCCAAAATGGTAGTTAAGCGACAATCCCTCAAACAGATTGGACGAATGAGAAGAGCAGAAAAACACCTCAAACCAGATTCTAATAATAAGCAGTGACTAATCTATAAATACATACCAATAGTCGTGAAGAGGCAATATCTGCCGTTTGTGCACGATCTGGACTCTTGAAAAGGTCGGATATACGGAGAAAAACCGAAACCGAGAAAAAAGGAGTTTCGCAAGAAATGTGAAGATTGCGATAAATGCAAAAAAACCATATCAAATATGGCTACCGGCAATAGTATGTTAACTTTCTTGTTTTTTTTCTATACTAATATGGGTGAGCTAATATCCAAATTTTAGTATCGCGTTGATACCAAGGGATTGTGTGACAAAAAGCCGAGTATACATACCAGCTTCTTTTACTTGAATATCGGACGCAGTAAACTCCCCGATATCACAAGTACGTTGCTTTTGTTGTTGCGTGCCTTTGGGTTGCCTAGTGTTGTATCTAATATGCTATTTCTTGATTTTTTTCTTATTGGAAGACTTATTTTCAAACGGCATTACCCAAACAATACCAGCTGTAAGCCGGCGCAGTTGCTGATTCCCTTGGTATCCCAATCTCTACAAAGGCCTCCAAAACGTCTAGTATTACACTGGGACCAGATCAAAAACTAATAGAAGGATGGTACGGTGGACCCTTAATGACGAGGGTGCAAGGAGTGGAATAGATCAGACAGTTGAGAAAGTCATGTATATAGCTTAAACCTCTTCTGTTTATTAATCAGCCATGATACGCCTACCTACCACCTTCCCTTTGTCTTAATAATCGAAAAACTTCATATTGACATGAGATCCGTGGCTATCGAGAATAAGAAGTCTCCAACATCTCCTTGCTTTATCTTTGGTCTCTCGATCGAATACATCTCGCAGCTATGCGTATCCGAGCTCATCATTCGTCCATCCGGAAGGTGAAGATGCAAAGAAACAAGGATGAAGAGAAGGATCGAAGTTTTGAAACCACGTGTCTTGAAGCTTTGAAGAGGCGCCTTGGTATATAAGACCCGGAGACAGTGAGATCCCATTCGCGCAGATACAAGCAATCGTAGTAATCCACTCGCGATTATCATCCTGAAGCCGTTGCTGTAAGCCATTCTGCTCAAATGATTGCTTAGAGAAGATTCTTTTCGCTTTACTAAGCACTCTGATTAAGAAGCCCTTTTCGTCTATATTATAGATATATTCCTGCTGTATACCGTATTCTTGCATTTTGCGGGTTAAAAACTCAAAGTACAATGCGTATTTCCATGCTGAATCGGCCCTTTTTCGAGATGAATCGATTCCTGTTGTATGGTCTTGATTTGGTTTTCTTTGATCCACAGCCAAAACACCGTTTTCCTTTGACGTTCATCATCCTACTAAAAACAAATTTTCTTCAATGCATGTTTGGGACATGACCTATTCTTGGACTTCAGCTAGCAAACAAAATACAACTCTTCATGCAAAGAATTTGTGACCAAATGGACCTCCTCGGATTGGACGAGCTCGGTGGTATTCACGTGATAGCATCCCTGTGAGGCCGGGGTGCTGATTGTAGATAATCAGTTCACCGATGGATTTCCAAGTCCTTTTGAAAATGAGTATTTGAACAAAGTTCATCTAATTGGAGTAGACCGAAAGATATATGAAGAAGATGTCTCTCTACGAACAATATTAGCAATAGAACATTGGGAAGTGTTCGGAATTGGCTCGATCGGGCAGTATATATAGTTCAAAGATTTGACCAAGATAATGAAATTGACAGAAGAGGAATATTAAGAAGATTCTCATAGCAGAAATCAGATAACTACGCTTATTGATTGTAGCTGAATTACAGGTCTTCAAGGAACTGCTAGTAGAGACCAGAGATATGCCATAAATGAAGACGCTTTCGATGCGAGGACAATGACGGATAGCGGCAAGCCAGCAGAACTGCCTCCCTTACGAGATGCTAACTCGGCCCGCCTTGAAAGACACTAGCCTTGTATTCAAGTGAGTTCAAACGTCCAGGGACCGACGACTGGACCGGGAACCCGAGAGTTCCCCGGTGTGGGTTTCCGATACCCCGAGCCCCCGAAGCTCCGAGTTTCAAAACATCATTGTATAGTCCGATCCAGAAACACGTAACATCCCAGTTTCCATTTCTGGTTCCGTCTGATCCGACCAACAAAGATGTCTCAATTATATAAGTTGAGTCTTTGGAAACCCCTGTCAAGTCGAACAACGGACTCAAGTTCATCGTTATCACGAAGATCAAACCGCAGTCATGTCTGAACAGCAACAACCTCATCTTTGCTTCCGATCTTTCGTCGACGCCCTCAAGGAAGACGACGACCTTGTCGAGATTGATACCCCTGTCGATCCGAATCTCGAGGCTGCAGCCATCACCCGACTCGTCTGCGAGACCAACGACAAGGCACCATTGTTCAACAATGTCATCGGCACGCAGAACGGCCTCTTCCGCATCCTGGGTGCCCCGGGTTCCCTGAGAAAGTCCTCCGCTGATCGTTACGGCCGTCTCGCTCGCCACCTTGCCCTGCCTCCGACCGCATCCATGCGTGAAATCCTTGACAAGATGCTGTCTGCCAGCAGCATGCCTCCCATCCAGCCGACGATCGTGACTACCGGGCCTTGCAAGGAGAACGTCCTTGAAGAGAGTCAAATTGACCTGACCAAGCTACCTGCTCCGCTCATTCATCAATCCGATGGTGGTAAATATATTCAGACCTACGGCATGCATATTGTCCAGTCGCCCGATGGAAAATGGACCAACTGGTCCATCGCTCGTGCCATGGTGTACGACGAGAAACATTTAACCGGCCTGGTGATCCCGCCTCAGCACATCTGGCAGATCTACGAGATGTGGAAGAAGAAAGGGCGAGACATCCCCTGGACTCTGGCTTTTGGTGTCCCGCCCGCGGCCATCATGGCATCCAGCATGCCCATTCCCGACGGCGTAACGGAGGCGGGATACGTGGGCGCCATGACCGGTTCTTCCCTGGAGCTGGTCAAGTGTGACACAAACGATCTGTACGTTCCGGCCACGTCGGAAATCGTCCTCGAGGGTACCTTGTCCATCACCGAAAGTGTTCCCGAGGGCCCATTCGGTGAAATGCACGGCTATGTGTTTCCTGGGGACGCGCATGTTTGTCCCAAATACAAGGTGAACCGCATCACCTATCGGAATAACCCAATCCTCCCTATGTCGTCCTGCGGTCGATTGGCCGATGAAACGGTATGTTTCCTAGACCGTACTCGAGCTGTAGGATAATAGCTAACTGGCACCAGCACACGATGATCGGATCCCTGGCCGCGGCTGAGATTCGCAAAATCTGCCAGCAGAACAACCTCCCCATCACCGATGCCTTCGCGCCCTTCGAATCTCAAGTGACTTGGGTTGCGCTGCGAGTCGACACAGCCAAGCTGCGCAGTCTGAAGCTCACTTCCCTCGAATTCCGCAAGAAGGTCGGAGACCTCGTTTTCAACCACAAGGCCGGATACACCATCCACCGACTCGTGTTGGTAGGCGACGACATCGATGTGTACGACGGCAAGGATGTGATGTGGGCATTCTCCACGCGCTGTCGCCCTGGAATGGACGAGACCTTGTACGAAGACGTCCGCGGCTTCCCGCTCGTGCCGTACATGTCGCATGGAAATGGCCCCAAGGCGCAGGGAGGCAAGGTGGTTTCTGATGCTCTGATGCCTACGGAGTATACCACCGGTCGGGACTGGGAGGCGGCCGACTTCAGGAGTTCCTACCCGGATGAGCTCAAGCAAAGGGTGCAGAACAGCTGGGAGAAGATGGGATTTAGCAAGCTGCAGTAGATAATATGCTTTGTTGGTTTAGATTGTTATATTAGGGGATATTTGTATAGATATGATAGAGTTATATAGAAGAACATGTTAATGATAAATATGAAAGACACTCACAGTTCATCTTAAGGTTTAAACAACTATCAGCTCGATTTCCAAACAAGCTTCCTGTCAGTGTTGCTAGAGTTGAATCAACACAGCAAGCCATGAAAAGTATTCCTGAGCATTCAGGCGACCATGACTGTCGCCACATGCCCCAAACAGAATGATCTGACTCAGCCCTGACTCAGCGACGCTCCGAAGAGCCGAGCGATGCAACCAAGCCTTCTGTCCAAGACACCAAGACACCCGTCGGAAAATGGCCGCCAATAATAATAATAATCATCATCTCAACCGACAGGAGATCGACCGAGTACTGGGGTTGAAACGCAAGCAGCAACGCGAGCAAAAGGCCTGCTATCCCTGTCGCCAACGGAAGGTGAAATGCGACAGCACACAGCCGTGCAAGACCTGTCGCAGACGCGGGCATCCGGAGATCTGCGCGTACGATGTAGAAGAATCCAACGCCCAAACGAATCATCCCGCGGAGGGACGCTTTAATTCTCCGCCTGACCTGAACACATGGGCGCCTGGAGATGCCGTGACACCGCAGTCGATCATGGCGTCGAGACCGCCGACACCCCGGCAGTCGAGCTCGCAAGTACGGCCTCCGGACCAGGCCGCGAGTGCCTCCTTGCAATCGTCGGATGGGCCGGAGAACGAGTATATCTATTCGGGAGATAACTCGGTCGTGTCAATCGTGCGCAATCGCACGCACGATGCCAGCGGGTCGATCGCCCACGAGGTTGGCTCGGTTCTTGGCTTGCAAAACACTTATGGCAGTTACCCGTTTATGGAACCCAAGACGCCGGAGGAACGGTGGCAAGAGCTTGTTCGGATCATTCCGCAGCGGACAGAGGTGTTGAAGTGCGTGGGAGCTCCCTCTGTCAGGTCCGTGGCTAACGCTGGGCAGGTTCTTCCATTTCTACCGTCTATCGGCTTACCCATTCAACCCTATCCTGGTGGACATTGAGCGGTTCGAGGTCGATCTTTGTACTTATCTCAATGCATATGCCTCAGGTGAATTCGGGGACAGTTCCCAGATATCGGACAAATGGGCCACAGATCGATCAATTGGGCATATCAGCTTGTTGCTTGCGACGTTGGCTGCGGGTGCTCATTATTCTGATTTAGAACATCCGCAGCGAACGGAAGTCTGCCATGATTTTGGTGAGTTGGCTTTCTAGCTGGGCGAAATGTGCCTCTAACAAGACGAGTTAGCCCGCCGATCATTCCAGGCTCTTCGTCTGGCCAACTTTCTCTTCCGACCGTCGATGGATATCATTCAGACCATGTTGATCGTGGGAAACACTCTACAAAATAATGGTCAGTCGGAAGCGGCATGGGCTCTGCTTGGGACTACGGTTCGATTGGCCCAGACGCTGGGTCTGCACACGGAGAGGAGCACCGCGCGACTGCCTGGATATATTCAATTGAAAGCCCGGAAGTTGTGGTAATTAGCGATTATGCGTTCACCGGGGTTCTCATCTGCATCAGCGGCTGACTGGTGTAGGTTCACCACTGTGTGGCAAGACAGCCTGCTCTGCCTATGCTACGATCGACCTCCGGTCGTATCGATTGCCGGCTGGACGCCGGACAACTCGATTTTCAACCGAATGGATCTATCTTTTACCGAAATCATGCACTACATGTGTCGAATAGCGCTGCAGATTACCACCAGCGAAGCTCGCGATGCGCAGGAAGTCACTCACGCACTTGAGATGCTGAACTCCCTGGATGGAGTCTTCCAGCGTGCCCAGCCGCACCTACGCAACCGCGGGGACTGCAGAACGTTACATCATAATCTGGAGCATCTGGCCTTGAAAATGCATCTCTCGCTTGCCAGTTCGGTCCTAAGCCGCCCGGCGCTCAAAAGCTCTCAAATTCGGGGGGAGCCGTCGTACGACATTTTACGAGCACGCGCGAAGACCAGTCTGATAGATGCTTCCAAAGCATTTCTCGAATTTCAAGCCTTGAGCATCGTGCCCCTGCGGAGCTGGTCGATGGTGCACACGGTGCTCAGCTCGACATTGTTGCTGTGCATCTGGGAAGAAACCCGGAACGACGCGGAATGCCGCGACCTGCAGCAACAGGTCATCGAAGTGTTCTCTGCCGCCGGGTCGGTGGGCAGCGTAGGCAACGCGGCCTCGCAGAACGGCCAGTGGCTGTCGGAACGGCACATCCGGGCCTTGATTACCCTGCGCAACGCGGTGGGGAACGCTCTGGATCAGAGCAAGGAACAAGGCCATCCCGGTGAAAATCCTCCATACTTGGAAGCGTTATTTCCAGAAAACCAGTCAGTCTCCACCGCTGTGTGGGTTGTTCTGCTGCTGACAAGTCTTGCCCATTACCATAGGTTTTATCCTGTGTTCCCCGAGGGATATGGAACTTTGGACCAGACGGGAGTATCACCGATCTCGTACCTGGACTCGATCATGAATGGTAAGGACCAGATCTCAAAATACCCAAAGTATTTTCACTGAGGGACTGGCAGTGCCTCTATTCGATTTTTCGCAGGAAAATGGCTTTCTGTAGTTGAAACGGGGCGGATGTCGCCGTCGGCGCCCTCGGGGGCTCGGATCCTCGGGACCTCGACAATGGAATTTGAAACATCAGAAATTGACAGGCCAAAGTGGGCGACACTCGCGCCACTCGGTTTTATAAATATAGTCTTCTCTCTGGACTGACCGGGTTCGAACAGATCATCAGCATCATCATCATCCCTTGACCATCACTTCTCACGTTGCGACGCAGCAGTCAGTCATCACTATTATCCACCGACAAACACGAACACATGCTTGATTCCATCTTCTCGGGCTCCTCAACGCCCTCCTCCACTCGGACCCCTCCTAGCCCGACCGAAATGGATGTGAGTCAGTCTCGTCCCGCCAATCCCCCGCCGGCCAGGCGCCGTCGCATTGTGGTTGCTATGACCGGAGCGACAGGGGCAGTTCTCGGCATCAAGGTTCTCGTTGCGCTACGGCGTCTGAACGTGGAAACCCATCTAGTCTTGAGTAAATGGGCCGAGGCAACGATCAAATACGAGACGGATTACCATCCGTCGAACGTGAAAGCGCTGGCAGACCATGTCCACAACATCAATGACATGGCGGCTCCGATTGCCAGCGGCTCCTATCGCACCGACGGAATGATTGTGGTGCCCTGCAGCATGAAGAGTTTGGCAGCCATTTACACGGGGTTCTGCGACGATTTGATCTCGCGTACGGCCGACGTCATGCTGAAGGAACGCCGACGCTTGGTACTGGTGGCGCGCGAGACGCCGTTGAGTGAGATTCATCTTCGGAATATGCTGGAGGTGACTCGGGCCGGTGCCATTATTTTTCCACCTGTGCCGGCCTTCTACATCAAGGCCGGCGGGCTGGAAGAGCTGGTTGATCAAAGCGTCGGACGCATGCTGGATCTTTTTGACTTGGACACGGGCGATTTCGAGCGGTGGAACGGGTGGGAGAAATGATTAGTGAACAGCGCCCGACGATTTTTTTTTTTTTGGCTTATACCCTAGACTCGACTTTCTGTATAATAGACATATTATCACGATAGACTTTCTTGGATTGCACCTCGCTCAGGGGACGAAGAGGGGAAAGAGGAAAGCGTGCCAGGCACCAGCCAGCATCGGGTGCGAACCGACCCCGACGAGAGTTGACGCTATTTGGCTGGGCAAACGAGGACGACCTGTGAAGTGAGGGAATTGAGTTGGACAACCGCCGATCGCATCCGAAGCCTGAGGAATTTCCCCGCGTTTGACCCCGCAGAATCGGCCGGTGGAGAGTGAGAAGTGGATGAAGGAAGTGGAATTGATTTCTCCTCCTGGCTTCTGGGGTGAATGCTGACGGGCTAAGGATCCTAGCTGTTCCCCGGCTGCAGAATGACGGCCAACCGTTGCATTCTCTGCCCCTGTCGCTCAACTCGGATGGGGCGGAGATGCCCTAATTCTCTCGAACAACTGCAAAGTCACCGTGCTGATTTAATTCCGACCTCGGTTCTTCACGTGTTGCGGTCTCTACTTGCAGTGTCTCTGCTATTCTTGGGTTCTCAGGGGACCCCTGTCTTGCTATCGGCTGACCTTGGGATCCTTGTCCACGAGGTAGGTCTCGCACAGCATCCGTGACTTGACATGCACCCGGCTGCCTAGAATCAGGGACATCCTCGTCTATTCTGGCCGACGAGCTGGAAATGATACGATTCAGAATGGTCACCAACCGAGGAGCCACATGGATGATCCTGATGAACGAGAAAGAGCAGAACGGCCATGGAAGCCAAGAAAGGGATGAACATGAGCAGGAACGCCAGTGAATGAACTAGTCAGTCCGCCATGTAGATATAGATCGACCTGGTTCCCCCCTCCAAATGAGGAGTTCTTTTTTTTTTTTTTAATTCACCGCGATCAGGTCTCCACCCGGCATCATGATCTTCATTTCTTCCTTCCTCCTGTCTTTGCTGGTTGTCTCCCCGGCCCTGGCCGCGCCTGCCAAGCGCGCCGCGCCCACCGTGACCATCGCACACCCCGAGGCTACCATCGTGGGAAGCTCGGGGTCTCGGGTTGAGAGCTTCAATGGTGTGCCGTTCGCGCAGCCGCCGACCGGGTCGCTGCGATTGAAGCCGCCCAAGCCGATAGAGTCCTCGCTAGGCACCGTCGAGGCGACAGGCATCGCCATGTCATGTCCGCAATTCTTCTTCTCGACGGACAACACCGAATTTCCTGGGTCGGTGGTGGGCATGCTCGCCAATATTCCCATCTTCCAGAAGGTGACCAACGCTGGTGAGGACTGCCTGTCCGTGAACATTCGCCGGCCGACCGGTACGACGGCAGACAGCAAGCTGCCCGTGTTGGTGTGGATATACGGCGGTGGGTTTGAACTAGGCTCGTCGTTCATGTATGACGGCGCGCCGCTGGTGCGCAGCTCCATAGATAAGGATATGCCAATCGTGTTTGTGGCCATCAGCTACCGCGTGGGCGGCTTCGGCTTCATGCCGGGCAAGGAGATCCTGGCCGACGGCGCGTCAAACCTGGGTCTGCTGGACCAGCGTGCCGCCCTGGAATGGGTGGCCGATAACATCGGCGAGTTTGGCGGCGATCCCGAGAAGGTAACTATCTGGGGCGAGTCCGCCGGCGCCATCTCCGTGTTCGACCAGATGCTGCTGTACGGCGGAGACATCGATTACAAGGGCAAGCCTTTGTTCCGCGGCGCCATCATGAACTCGGGCGGCGCCGTGCCGGCGGACCCGGTGGACAGCGCTAAGGGACAGGTAGTATATGATAAGGTAGTGGACTACGCCGGATGCGACTCGGCGGACGACACGCTGGAGTGTTTGCGTGGGCTGGAGTACACTGACTTCCTCAACGCGGCTAACTCGGTGCCGGGACTGTTGAGCTACCACTCAGTGGCGCTGTCGTATCTGCCTCGACCGGACGGCAAGGTGCTGACCGACAGTCCGGATGTACTGGGCAAGCAAGGGAAATATGCGAAGGTGCCGTTCATCATCGGTGACCAGGAGGACGAGGGCACGCTGTTCGCACTGTTCCAATCGAACATCACGACGACCGACGACCTGGAGAGCTACTTCAAGAAGTACTTCTTCCATGGCGCGTCGCAGGCGCAGTTGAAGGAACTCGTCAGCACCTACTCCAGCATCAGCACGGACGGTTCCCCGTTTCGCACGGGAATTTTCAACAACTGGTATCCGCAGTTCAAGCGCCTAGCCGCCATCCTGGGTGATCTGACATTCACGCTGACTCGCCGTGCGCTGCTCAAATTTACGCACGAAGCACATCCGGACGTGCCGAGTTGGTCCTACTTGTCGTCCTACGACTACGGCACGCCGGTCATGGGCACGTTCCATGGCAGCGACATCCTGCAGGTCTTCTACGGTATTCTGCCCAACTATGCGTCGCGGTCCATCCACACGTATTACTTCAGCTTCGTGTACGACCTGGACCCGAACTCGCGACGAGGCAACTTTATGGAGTGGCCGCAGTGGAGCGAGGACCAGCAGCTGATGAACTTCAAGGCAAATTCAGGAAACTTGCTGAAGGACGATTTCCGATCGGAGGCATACCAATTTATTTTAGATAATGTGGATTCTTTCCACATATAGGGACCTGGTGTCGGTCTAACTAGCCTTTTTGTCGGCTCGCTTAGGAGAAAGAGATGAAGAAAGATCACGCAGGCCAAGTTCTGCAGGTCAAGCGGGGATGATTGACAGGGGACGGCGATTCCCCGGGAATATTATAGATTGGTGGCTGCAGGCCGAGGCGACGATTGGCGTCGGAGTTGTACATACCTTAGTCTAGTCGAGTCTATATACCCTGCTATACAAGGGGCTGTCTTCAGGCGAGAGGCCCAGTGGCCTGATTCCTTCTTTGTCTATAAATTGATCACCCCCCGTGGTTCTTTTTGAGAGCATCTATCCTCCATCTCTCTTTCAATCTTTGCCCTCGTGTCTTTTCACCATGAGATCGCTAAGTTTACTACTGGCCTTCATTTCCCCCTCCTTCGCTGTTCCATCTCTCTACCCTCGTCAGTCCAGTCTCGACACATGGCTCGAGCAGGAGCAAGGAATCTCTCGCACCGCGATCTTGAATAATATCGGCGCCGACGGGGCCTGGGTGCCGGGTGCGCGCTCTGGTGTCGTGATTGCGAGTCCGAGCCGGAGTAATCCTGATTGTACGTTCTCTCTCTTCAGCTTTCGTTCCAACAATTATCTCTTGAAAGAATCTTCTTGTCCCTCCAAATTGCCTTCGGATGCCGAACTGCCTCCTAATACATTCTATAGACTTCTACACCTGGACTCGCGACTCTGGTCTGGTCCTCAAAACCCTGATCGACCTGTTCCGCGACGGTGACACGGCACTCCTGCCCACCATCGAGCAGTATGTCACCTCGCAGGCCCGCATCCAGGGCGTGTCGAACCCGTCCGGGGATTTAGCTAGCGGCGCGGGTCTCGGCGAGGCCAAGTTCAACGCCGACGAGAGCGCCTTCACTGGTGGATGGGGTCGGCCGCAGCGAGACGGGCCGGCGCTGAGGGCTACAGCGCTGGTGGGCTTTGGGGAGTGGCTAGTTGTACGTTTCCTTCCCCATCTCTCTGTGTGTTGGGTCTTTCTAAGGGAATGGGAATAACGGTGGTGCAGGCGGAATGACTGACTAGCTCTGCAGGACAACGGTTACACGGCCGTGGCAAAGGATATCGTCTGGCCGATTGTACGGAATGATTTGTCGTATGTGGCGCAGTATTGGAACCAGACCGGGTTTGGTGAGCTCCTCCTCCTCTTTTCTGCCCAGGATGAATGAACTAAAGAAGAGCAGACCTCTGGGAAGAAGTGCAGGGATCCTCCTTCTTTACCATCGCCGTGTCGCATCGCGCTCTCGTCGAAGGCAGTGCCTTCGCCAAAAGCGTCGGCGCGTCGTGCTCATACTGCGACTCGCAGGCTCCCCAGATCCGATGCTACCTGCAATCCTTCTGGTCGGGATCAGGCAAGTACATTCTCGCGAACTTCGGCGGCGGACGAACCGGCAAAGACGCCAACACGTTGCTGGGTAGCATTCACACCTTCGACCCGGCCGCGGCGTGCGACGACGTGACCTTCCAGCCGTGCTCGTCGCGCGCTCTGGCGAACCACAAGGCCGTGGTGGATTCGTTCCGGTCTATCTATGCCATCAACTCGGGTCGTAAGGCCAACGAGGCTGTCGCCGTGGGTCGCTACGCCGAAGACGTCTACTACGGGGGAAATCCGTGGTTCCTGACGACGCTGGCCGCGGCGGAGCAGCTGTACGATGCGCTCTATCAGTGGGATAAGTTAGGCCAGTTGAGCATCACCGACGTGTCGTTGCCGTTCTTTCAGGCGTTGGACAGTTCGGCCAGCGTGGGAAGTTATACATCTTCGAGCGCGACGTATACGAGCTTGGTTAATGCCGTCAAGACTTACGCGGACGGGTTCGTGAGTGTCGCGGTACGTTGCCTTGCCCTCACTACGTAGTATCGGATCAAGTCTAACCACGTCACAGCAAACCTATGCCGCTTCCAACGGGTCCATGGCCGAACAGATCACCCGAGCAGACGGCAAGCAGACGTCGGCACGCGATCTCACCTGGTCATACGCCGCTCTGCTAACGGCCAACCGTCGTCGCAGCGCCGTGGTGCCGCCATCCTGGGGCGAGACCGCGGCGACATCCCTGCCGACCAAGTGCACCGCCACCTCCGCAACGGGGACGTACTCCAGCGTCGCCGTCACCAGCTGGCCGGCTATCGGGGATACCCCGGGCACGTCGGTCCCCTGCACCTCGTCCACGGCGGTGGCCGTCACGTTCGAGGTGACGGCCACGACGGTCTATGGCCAGGACATCAAGGTGGTCGGCTCGATCGCAGAGCTGGGATCCTGGAGCCCGTCAAGTGCGATCGCATTGAGCGCGGACCGCTACACGAGCAGCAACCCGCTGTGGTACGGCACGGTCAACGTGCCGGTGCACAAAACGTTCGAGTACAAGTATATTCGCGTGCAGAATGGCGCGGTGACATGGGAGAGCGAGCCGAATCGCAGCCTTAGCGTGGCCGGTGGCTGCGGAGTCAGTGGGAAAACACAGAAGGATACATGGCGGTGATCGCTTCCTGTCATTCGTACGGAGGACTGCATTGCTTGAAGCCCTCTGCGTTCAGGTATCTCGGTTACGTTAGCGATTCCTGGTGATTCCTTAGCAGATGAGCTCATCTTAGAGTCGAGCACGTAATCGGGCCGCGGTGGAGCCTTTTTCTCCCTTCGTTTTCTCCAGTTCCTTAATCAATTAATTGCATGGACAGGTTTCAGGATTGAGTCGTAGAGGATGCCTCAAATTGTTGCTCAAGGTGTAACTTTTTGGAATAAATAATTTGGCAAATGGTCCAGCAACAAGAGATCAATAGTTTCATCCCGAGGAACCCCCGAACACAACTACACCCAGTATGAACACAGATGAATCCACTCCACCGGTGATCCCTACCCCGATGATCTGCTTATTGGACGATCGTGATGCAATATCCCACTAAAAAGAGAAGTTCCGACTTCTCCCCACTGAATCTGCACGATCGTCGGCAATAGCATCATCCGGTGGGCCCTCGTCGTAGCCGAGCCACCCCTTGCATTCGTCTGCGAGCATTCGAATGGGAAAACGTCCCTGCGATGGAGGCCCTCCAGAGCTCTGACTTCTTCTAACCGACTCAGGAACAGTTGCTATGGCATCATCCCGTCGACTTCACGCGCCATCTGTCAGTTAATCTATACATTGTGGTAGCTTGTACATATCTTCGACGACATATATAGAGACACCTCGTCCAGCTATACACCCCTCAACCAGATCCAGGCCAATTCCTGTCCATTTCTGCATCATGAAGATCACTGCATTGGCCGCACTCTCCGGCCTGGCCGTCTCACAAGCCACCTCCCAGCAAACCCTGGGGAAGGGCAAACCGCCCAACTTCCTCTTCGTGTTGACGGACGACCAGGATCTGCAGCTTAATTCGCCCGCCTACACGCCGAGTATTCTGCATCGCATCAAGGAGAAGGGCATTGACTTTACGAATCATTTCGTGACAACGGCGCTGTGCTGTCCGTCGCGCGTGAGTCTGTGGACGGGGCGACAGGCGCATAACACGAATGTCACGGACGTGAGTCCACCATGGGGTATGTATTCGAGCAATTGACATATTTTAAGCCATGTAGAGTCCCCCGACATGCAGAGCTAACGGTTCCGTAGGCGGATACCCGAAATTCGTCTCGCAAGGGTTCAACGACGAGTGGTTCCCCGTCTGGCTGCAACAGGCCGGCTATAACACCTTCTACACGGGCAAGCTGTTCAACGCGCACAGCGTCACCAGCTATAACGATCCCTTCGTCAAGGGCTTCAACGGCTCCGACTTCCTGCTCGATCCCTTCACCTACTCCTACTACAACTCGACCTACCAGCGGAACCACGAGCCGCCGCGCAGCTACGAGGGCCAGTACACGACGGACGTGATCACCGAGAAGGCGCTGGGGTTCCTGGATGACGCTCTGGAGGGCGATCGGCCGTTCTTCCTGACGGTGTCGCCCATCGCGCCGCACTCGAACATTGATAAGCTGGGGGCGTCCAGTCCGACGATCATGGGCGAGCCGGTTTCGGCGCCGCGACATGCGCATCTGTTTGCCGATGCGAAGGTGCCTCGCACGCCGAGCTTTAACCCTACTAACGTATGTCTCCCCGTCTTCAATGCTTTCGCTTTCTGGGGACTCACATGGATAACGAGAAATGCAGTACACCGGACCCAGCTGGCTGCGAAACCTCCCTCTCAAGAACCAGACCGTGATCGACTACGAAGACCATTATTACCGCCAGCGACTGCGATCGCTCCAGAGCGTCGACGAGCTCGTGGATCAGCTCCTTGACCGACTGGAAAAGAGCGACGAGATCGACAACACGTACATCATCTACTCGTCGGACAACGGCTTCCACATCGGCCAGCACCGTCTGCCGCCAGGCAAGACGACGGGATTTGAAGAGGACATCCGCGTGCCGTTCTATATCCGCGGACCGGGCATCCCGGAAGGCCAGACGGAGGACAGCGTGTCGACGCATATCGATCTGGTGCCGACCTTCTTCGAGTTGGCGGGGATTCCGTTGCGCAAGGACTTTGATGGCACGCCGATGCCTTTGAAGAAGACTGCGTCGGCTTCGGTGGCGCATGAGCATGTCACGGTGGAGTATTGGGGAAGGGGAGTCATTGAGGGTGACTATGCCACCATTGGTATGTTTTCCTTTGCTCTCTTGAACGATAGAGAGATGGATATTAGGAGTTCAAAGGTTAACAGCAAAACAGGCCCCGGCGGTTCAACCAACACGCCCAACAACACCTACAAGTCGGCTCGCATTATTGGGGAGGATTACAACCTCTACTACTCGGTCTGGTGTACCAACGAGCACGAACTCTACGATCTCTCGGTACGTGTTTCCCCCTCTTGCATGGCCATGTTTGATCAAGACCCGATATACTGACTTTAAGTAGACGGACCCTTACCAACTACACAACCTCTACACGACCAAGAATGGCACGTCCCTTCTCTCGCGCCCTCTCCCTGCCCTGATCAACCGACTCGACGCTCTCCTTCTCGTACTCAAGTCCTGCCAGGGCGCCACCTGCATCAAGCCGTGGGAGGTTCTGCATCCGGACGGAGCGGTGCAGAGTCTGCGTCAGGCGCTGGACGCCCGATACGATGCCTTCTACCGTCAGCAGCCGAAGGTGACATACGAGACGTGTCTGGACGGATATCTGGTTGGAAACGAAGGTGCTCAGGTGGGCTTGGAGTTTCGGGATGGGTTGAGCTGGGACGCGTGGGCTTGATCTATCTTACTGAACTTATAACTTACAGGGAATACCTGATGTATGTATATAGTCTGTGTGATTGAAATGAATAACGATCTGTCTCATCTGTCTCATGCCACATATTTCTCATAAGCCAGACCCCGAATCCTCTTCCTCGGGGCCATCTCAGCCTCAGCCAAGGCGGCCAAATACAATAATAAATGGAATAACAATTTCACCAACTCGCCGAATGGAACAAAAACCGCTCATTATCCCGATAGCAGCTAAAGGTCCGGTATCCGTTCGTGCCGCTCCCCGAGTAACTATACGCGGCGTGCGAACCCGCCGTGATGCTGGAGACGAAGGTCACGCCGGAGCCAAAGGCGCCGGACACGGAGCGACCTTCCTAGGTGACGAGGTTGCCGCTGTTGACGGACGCGTAGTTGCCGCTGGCCGGGCGCTCGCCGTTCTGCGACTTGTCGCCGTCTGCGTAGTAGAACATGCCGCTGCGGTTGTAGACGGAGCCGGTGGTGATGCAGTTGGAGAAGTAGACGGTTTCAACGCCGCGTTTGGAGAGGGTTTGGGTGTCTTCTGCGTTAGACACGGGGGCTGCGGCTGGGCGGCGGTGCTGGCGAGGGCCAGGGTGAGGAGGGAGGTGAGTTGCATCTTTGTTTGTTGTTGGGTTGTTTGGTATGAGAGAGGATGGATTGGATGAGTTGGATGGAGGAGATATAGATGGATGGATCCTGTTCTGGAGGTAATTGAGGGGATTTGGTCGGTCTATTTATACATTTGGCAAACGGCATCTATACTTCCTCATGGCGAGCGTCAATTCACCTTCTCACTCTCCCCAACGTAGGAGACATCGAACCAACGCTGCCGTCCTCTTCCATGATGCTGCCACTACAAGCCCAGACTCATCCGTGGCGACGAAAAATAAATGAACACGAAGCCATCGCCTTTACCGACTTCATCAACCTAACAATACTCTCGTCCATCCGGCGCAGGCGTCGAATACTTTCCAACGTCAGACAGAGTCTGGCCACTGCAGAGAAGGGAGGGGTACAGACATGCACACACTCTCCCCTATACAAACATGCACAGATACATACTGCCGCTTGAAAGAAACTCATCCATTCAAAATCCAGCAACCAAACCCGTTGACTAAACATTCGATGTTATCTAATGCACTCGAACCAGTCATCGACGAACCACACCCCGGCGCTGCGGATTCCCCTAGCCTCTTACGCTGATGCTGATTCCTAAATCCAGTGTTGTCTCATGCAGGGCACGCGGGGCTTAATATAAACGGTGATAGCTGGGGTGGATAAGCCGGAGGATGGATTAGGTTAATGGTGATCGAGGGGGTCGTCTAGGGAGAGAGGGTAATTTTTGTCGACGGGTCAATGTTTGCTGGAGTTGTTTGCAATGCTGTAGATTGCTGACGGTGAGGGTACATAGAAGAGTACATGCAGAATGTAAGGCCGCAGAGCGTTCGTATTCAACTTTGAGAGTAGATTGGGATGTTGACATGGACGGACATGGCCGGACAGATTGACCTCATGACGAGGGAGGAGAAATAAGGCCATCATATCTCATCTCATCTCGGGATTTGGTCTGGGAGAGCGGAGAAGACCGGTTGAGAGAAGAGTTGATATGAGAATGCCGAGTACTCATTCACAGCGAGAATACTGCTGAAGCCAGTCCTCGTCTTGAAGATCGAATTAGGGCTAGGTCCATGGGTGCCTGAAAAAAAGGGTTCCCGTCGAACGTAATCTCTTGTCTCCGCGGAGGAACAGTCCTATACGATAACCAAATACTTTCCCCCAAGGGCATTACGGCGAATTTCCATTCCTTACAGCCTTATTTCCAGTGCGCAAGGTTTCAACGGTCTGATAGACTTGAAGGTACAAACAATTCATGTCGAGCAGGAAGCGATAGGAAGGACGGCAAAAAGATCAGCCGAATCCTTCTCCCGGCGGCGATGGCCGTTGCGGTCTCTTTCACCGAAGTCGGTATTTAGTTAGATGAGTTGGGACAACTTCCCTTTGTAGTAGAAATACAAGAATCAGATCAACCAAGGACAAGGGGAAAAAAAAAGGCACCAACACCGACGAGGTTCATCGTGGATTGCAGTTGCCACTCCACCTTAGATTTCCCCCGCACTATTTGGATCGGACCCTCCCACTTGAACTGACTCAATCTTCCTCTCCTCTCCTCTCCTCTCAATATCAACATCAACATGTCGTACACTCCCTCAGAAGACGAACTCCGGCAAATCTACGTCGGCAAAGACATCACCGACGTCGCCAAGCCATGCGCCGTTCTCGACGCCGCCATCATCCGGCGAAACTGCGCGAAGATGATCCACGCCGTGAAGGCGCTGGACATCGGGTTCCGCGCGCACGTCAAGACGCATAAAGTACCTACACCGATTCCCCAATCTAGAGCTACGTATGAAACAGCAGACTAACCTCCCGTAGACTACACAAATCACCAAACTACAAATGGGCTCAACCGAAGAGACATTCGACGTGAACCTCGTCGTCTCAACGGTCAACGAGATCCACCACCTGGTGCCCCTCCTCAAGGAATTTCGCGCCAACGACCGCCGCGTGAACGTTCTGTACGGCATCCCGCTGGTTCCGTCGCAGGTTCCGCGTCTGGCGCGTCTCGCACAGGAGCTCGGTGAAGACACTATCACGCTGATGCTCGATCATCCGGACCAGATCGAATTCCTGCGTCAATTCCGCGCGCTGGCGGGATTCCCAGCCTGCGTCTTTGTCAAGGTCGATACGGGGTATCATCGCGCGGGACTTCCGCCGACGGGCCTGAACAAGGACGGTCTGTTGAAAAGACTGGCGCAGGCGGAGCGCGACGGCCACGCGCGCCTGCTGGGCGTGTATTCGCACAGCAGCCTCAGCTATGGTGGGAGTTCCCCCGAGGAGGCGATGGGGTATCTAGCGGCGGAGATTGAAGGGTGTCGGGACGCGGTGCGTCATCATGTGGAGCTGTTGCCGGAGAGGGAGTTGGTGATCAGCGTGGGTGCGACACCGCAGGCGGCTTCGGTGCGGAACCTCTTGCAAGGGCAGGGAGAGATGTCGGCGGAGGCGCAGGCCCTAGGAGAGCTGCTGCGAGAGCTGCTGCGCAATCCGTTGCCCGGCGCACGAGTGAAGGTTGAACTGCATGCGGGCAACTACGCGGTGCTGGACATGCAGCAGGTGGAAACGAACGCCGAGATCAGAGGGAGTCCCGAGGATGAGGTGGCACTGTCGGTGGTCGCGGAGGTCTGCAGCTTGTATAATAGCGGCGAGCGAGCACAGCCCGAGGCGCTCCTGGCGGCGGGGACGTTGGCTTTAGGCAGAGAGCCGTGTCATAGCTATCCCGGTTGGGGCGTGGTCGGGCAGTGGCGACGAGAGGCTGCGCAGTCTCGTCTGATCCTGGCGCGCATCAGCCAAGAACACTCAATCTTGTCGTGGGAGACGGAGGGAGACGGGATTTCGCACATCCCGCTAAAGGTAGGCCAGGCTGTGCGGGTTTATCCGAATCATTCGTGCGTGACGGGCGCCATGTATGGCTGGTATCTGGTTGTAGACTCGGATCTGGACGACAAGTCCAAGGTGGTAGACGTGTGGACGAGAGCGAGAGGATATAGCGCTCTACCAGCTTAGTTGAGACCGCCGTGTAAAGATATTCCAAATGCATAAGGCCAAGAAGCATCTGTTTGAGAAAGCCCGGTTGACCTTGAAACCGACCCAATGACCCACATCTTGTCTATCATGCCCAGCAAGGCTTTTATTGTAATCAGCACCAACATCAAGGTTAAGACCGGTGATCAACCCTGCTACTTACCGCTGAAACGGCATGAATTCTCCACCAGCCTCAGTTCCAAGGCTCAAACACGGACCCTGAAACGGAGGGTCGGGACAAGCCCACTAACGTCGAACTCAGCCTTGTGGACATGGGGGCCATTCCGGATCCTCTACACTGTATATTAACGGTCCAGGATCAGGACTGGATTCCGCCGAACTAGGCGTCGATGAAGCTCGAACCTCCTCGAGGATTTTGGGAAGCAAAAAAGAAGTTGAACCAGTATGATTGAGTAGTTAATAGATGAGATCTTTCCCCCGACAGAACAGCCTGTTGATGGTAACATTCCACCCAGATGGATGCATGGCAGTGGCAACGAGGCTGTGACTGCACATCCTGGGGCCGGATGCGACATGAAACACAGGAAACACGACCAATCCAGAGATCCAACTCTTGGGAGCAGAGTCGATTGGCTGTGGAATGTTTGTGCTGCCACAGGGAAAATTGAGAGTCAATCGATCTGTTCAGATCAGCCTCGTAGAATTGTCTCATAAACCCATACATATCTTTAATGACTGCGACCCTGAGTTTGTTGGACTTTTCTGTTAAGCTCACGTCTAGATCAACCTTTCATCTGCCTATTTCCTCCTTCTCTGGATAGAGAAAATCCGTTCACTCAAAATGCAAATTATCACGGTAGTCGTGCGAGTCTTCCAGGTAAGGCCTCCCACCTAACACCCAATCGCCTCCGAATCCAGCACATACTAACATAAATGAAATGCAAACAGCTCCTCTTCGCCATCATCGTCCTCGGACTCTCCGTGACCCTGGCAAAAGGCCAGTCCATCGGCTCTGCGCCCGCAATCACCGGGTACGCCGCGTTCACGGGCGGCCTGGGCATCGTGGCCTCGCTGGTCGGAGGCGCCGCGTTCTTCGTCTCGTCGCTCGACGGAATTATCTCATGGGCCATTGACGGACTAGCGAGTTTGGCTTTTCTGGCGGGTGGAATTGTACGTCTCTCCTCCCTGCTCCTGCTCCTCCTCCCGAATACCATAGACTAATAAGAACTGCAGGCCTACGCCGTCCTCCTCAAAGACGCCAACTGCTCCGACCCCACGACGACCTGGGACAACGAGATCCTCAGCGGCGGATGCGTTAAGGTAGACGGCGACAAGACGTGCTCTTTTGGCGGCGAGGACAAATTGAAGAGCCGGTGCACGTCAGCCAAGGCGGACGCGGCCTTCATGCTGATCGATTTTGTGGTATGTGCGGCAGTCATTGCCTGTTCGATATTCCTGGCTTCCCGGGGAAGAGGAGGTGGTTTTGGAAAGTCCAGTTATGTTTGACGGGTGTGAGTGGAGCGCCAGGAATTGGTAATAGAATTTGGATGTGTGTGGGTTTTAAATTTGCTTTGGACATTGGATGGAATGATACATGATACCTTTTAGTTGTGAGTCAGTTTGTTCGTTTTATTCTGAGAATATACGGTCAGCTAGAGAAATGCAAAAAGTTTAACTCCACCTATAGATAAGAGTGATTGATTTATTGAGTTCTTTCATCCTGAATTTTAATGCAGGAGGCTGTATGTCCGGAGAATGCTTGAGATGTTGGTAGAAACCGCATTGACATATACTTCAAGACTATTCTCACTTTCGGTCTCTAGCCTCTCCATGCATATATCACCGTCTCCCCAACCTCAACGAGCACGAGCGGTAGCACTGAGAAGTCTTCTTCGGATGGCATCTCCAGTAGACTACTATATCCATCAATAATTTCAAGATCTCTTCTTCAGTTTGCATGTCATCCCTTCTTCCGATTCCTTGCCTATCTCCGAATGCCGTGAAGAACTACCGAAGAGAGAGGATATCGAAGACGTGAGATTGGGCCAATGTGCATCCAGTGCGTATGATGAACAGGTAGTCGGCGTAAAGACTGTATCCTGCGCCCGCGCTGAAGGGTCTGGCGACTGGGTTCCAGGCGAGAACAGGCTGGGGGCGCGTTGCGACCGGTGGAAATAAGTCTGTTTGAGTAGACAGCCCCGCTTATCAGATAGTTCTTTTGGCACAGCTCAATGATCACTCTCTTAGTCCTATTGACTTGGTAGCTTCCCGGCTGAAAGTATTTCGAGTCGTAGATCGACCTTTGAAAGTGTCACAGGCAACCAGATCTTGTAGAGAAAGCGTACCGATGACGAAATCTCGATCGGATGGCGGTCCTGCGGAAAATGCAGAGCGATATGACGGTTATGACCTTCTTCGATCAACTGGATGGTTGGAGCATGCGAGATCTGATTTGGACGTAACATTGTATGCGTTTCTCTTGAGTGGGTTCGTAATGCTAGTCTAGCTCAAGTGTAGCACAGTCCTGGGTAGCTCGGGGCGAGATCGCTCGTGTCAAATATCCTGGTCGGTCGCGGATTCAAAGGGGACGGAGTTGACTGGTGTTACTGTCATTAGTTCGGTCGCAGTTAGTGTGAGAATCAGTCGATCAATGGTCACAACCGGGCTTCAGCCGGACAGATAGCCAAAATAGTCATATCCAGAAATATATCCAATTCTAAGTCTACTCTGATACTGTACAGGCGAGTAAACGCTAAACCGTTATCCGTTATGCCACATAAAACCAATACGACGCAATCACTCAAGCAGCCAAGACACTAAAAAATACAACTCGTCAGCACCGTCACCCGTCTGGAGAAAACGGGACAACTCACCCCTGAGCCCTCCCCTGCTGGCCAGCAGGACACACCCGACCGAGGAATTTGTCCACCTCCTCCTTGACCAGCGGCACCATGCGCGCGGCGGCAGCGGGCATGCGAAGACAGCGATCGTCGACGAGCTGGTTGTAGGAGACGAAGGGGCCCTTCATCTCGTTCATGCCGGTGCGCAGCACACAGTCATGGAACTCCTCAAAGTTATCCTCGCAGAGCGACTTTGTGGGCCACTGCTTCTTGATGCAGAAATCCCAGACCAGGTTGAATAATTTCTCGGGAACGTAGGAGTCGCGGAGTTCGAAGCCGACGCCCTTCAAGTGCAGGATGGCCCAGTTGAAGTTGTTGGATTCGGAGCGCTGCAGCATCTCGTAGGTGATTAGGTCATGATCGCACTGGCTGCAGACCTTCTCGACGAGGCTGCTGGCGATGGGAGCGATGATGTCCTGGGTCGCCTGCACGGGACGGGCGCATTTCTCGCCGAAAATAGCGTAGTCGGGCTGGTAGGCGGCGAGGATGGGGGAGACGCAAAGGAGGGGGAGGAGGAGGTATCGCGTGAGGGACGGCATGGTGGGGTATCGTCTGTATATATAAAATATATGATATGGAGGGAGGTCTAAAGAATGGAATCTGCGATATGAGGAATGAAGGGGAGGAAGGGAGGGACTCAGATGGACAGGAGAAAGAAAGATTGTCACTCCCGAAGGGGCCGTTTCAGGGGCGGGGCATGGCCTCAGGCAGCCAATCACGGGGCTGAATCTGAAACCTGACAATTCAGGGTTCAATCTCAGCCTTACCGGGTATATTTAGCAGCGACTTCCTCGTATTGCTTCACGTAGAGAGAACTTCTTGACTTAGCAGGTTTATCTTATCTGCTACCAGTATATTGGGATCACCACGTGTATTCTAGGCTGTGTTACTGGGCTCACCTTGCATTTCTGTGCGTTACCATATAGGCGGCGATTGAGACCTTTCATATCAGGCACCACACTCAGGCCGGAGATGTATAGGGCTTAGGATGTGCAAGATCTGAGCGTCTCTTAGAACTATGATTGCTCTAGGCCCACATTCCCCAGGCCAATGTCAAATGGGTTAAGTATCTGCTTTTTCTAGAGCCAACGCCAGGAAGAATAGGTAAATATATAATTCAAACATTAGGTTCTCATGCACATACATCGAGAGAACTAACCCTCTAACTCCCTCACCACCGGCCCCGAGTCCAATTCTCTCGGTCTACCACCGCCAAACTTTGGTCTCTCGTACCCATTCAACCCCGGACTTTGGTGATAGCCATGCAGTCCAACCTCCCCGGCCTGAATCTCCTTTGGCGAGCGCCTTCTCATCCGCACCCAGAACGCTAACATGCCTGTGGAAACGAGCAGCAACGGAATTCCGAGGCCCACGCCCAATCCAGCCCCTAAAGCGACAGTCGATTGATTGGAGGACGAGGCAGTCGTGGGGGAAGTGACATGAGGGTCGCTGGTCCTTGTGGAGTCGGTGTTCGATGGTGTCGACGATGTCGCTGTCGCTGTCGACTTGGACACTCCCGCGACAGAGAAATAGGCATCAACCCATGCATACCTGCCTAGATCCGCCTTGCAGACGTCCGCGGCCCAGCCTGGCTTCCCGCACGTAAAGACCTGGTTCGTGCTATTCGGGCAGGCGTAGAGGTTGGCCCACCCGTCAGGAATTTCTGTATGATTGCAGTATCGTCTGAAGTTTTCTCACTTCCAATATGGCTGTGATTTACAAGTAGAAGCAAAATGCGACTAGATACCATCATAGCAAGCCCTCGGACAATCAGCCTCGGGCCAAGACTTGTCGACACAGGCGCCCCGATAAGCGATGTTGTATTTGGCGCCGTAGCAGAGCTTACTGCTCAGGCAGGCTTCACCCTCCGCGCAGCAAATCTTCTTGTCTGGGCAGCGCACGTAGTTGGTGGGTGCCGGGTCACCGTTGGCCCAGTAGCAGGTTTCTGCTAGAGCATATCTGATGATCCACAGGAGTAAAGGCGGAAGAAGTGAGAGAGATGTCATCCAGATATCGAGGAATGCTGATAAAAGAGCGATAAGGATAGAGGAGGATGAAGAAAGGGGGCTCACCGCAGCGTGTCTCAGGGATTATATGGCGGGCATCGTGTATGTCAGACGAGGCAGCTAGATACATCTACTTGCTTCTAGTGATAGAGATGTATAGAGTACCACCATGGTCAAAGTGCAGGTCATACAAGCCTTGCGGTTTGGGTTCGAAAACTAAGTGCTGCTATATGCTATAGAACATATTCATGAGGGAAGAGCTGAGCTGCAGGAGGTGCCATTTTCTGACCCAGAACAGCCTTAGATAAGTATTTAATTAATGCCGGTGCAAGAGGACGCAAATGTACTTCATTAGGTAATATAATTTGCCCCTTTACGAACCTCCTGTTTGCATTCTCGCTACCGGCTCTCGTATTTATAATGAAGGCTTGATGGCGAAAGAGAGAGCTATTTGGCCCTTTTCACTGTATATCGGCCCCGGTCAATATTGATCACCGCATATTTGGAGTGTAGATAATCGGTCCATCCATTCGATTGAATTAGCTACCGTGCAGTCGTCGTGTTTGTGTCACCTTGAAGTGTCGGACTGACGAGGGTCTGGCCCCGTCCCATTACGAGTTCTGCAGAGTCATTGCAGGTACTTTGCAGAGTGCATTGTGGCTTAAGCTTACGGTGTGAGACACGCTGTCCCAATCATGGTCATCCGGTCTTTGAGTGGCTTTTGGGGCGCTCCCCGGTCATTTGTCGTAGAACTTTGCAGTTGAACATAAAAATAGTTAGGTGATAAAAAGGACGCGAAAAAAAAGGAACAAAGTTAGTCCAGTTAAGAAGCGACGAAATTTGGAGGTACGTGATAATAATCCTATATCGATGCCTGCGATGGAATAGACAACACTGTGACGTGTACCGTCAATTTAGTTTTATGTTTCAGATTGCCGAACATTCACTTAATAAGTCCTATCCCCCAAGACACTCTAGTTTAGGCTTGAGCTTAATGTCACTAGGCTAGCATCCAAGCCTGGGCATATAGAACTTCATCTTATAGCATGATCGCTTGGACAAGAAGAGACTCGGACTTTACCATTCTGAAACATAGCAACCAATGAAGTCATAGTTGGTTACTCAGAACCTTTCGTACCGGACATTTGAAGGATCATTGAATATGAGCGTCTGGTAAGAAATGGAACTGTGTCACACCGTCCCAGGTTGCGTAGGACAAACCCCCAAACGAAACTGTGTGCAATAGACGGAGTAACTGAACACACTTTGAAATTCCAATTGAAATCCCTGGCAATTTCCTTTTAATCCCGAAAAGCTGCGCCAAGGTCGCTTCGTTGCACATATCGTAAGTCATCTCGTCCACTTGGGATCAGCCCTCCACGGGCGTGAACTTCAACATCAATTTGCGTCCCACAGGCAAAGAAATAAAAGCAAGATCCTGCTCAATGCCCTCGTCGTCGACGATCTCCGTCGTATAATTCGTATACACCGCGGCCATCACCATTTTAATCTCTATATTATCCGGGTCAGCACATACCGATTCGATCGACCAGTCTAGAAAAAAACCAAGACTTACCCTGCAAAGCAAAATTACTTCCCAGACACATGCGCCCTCCGCTACCAAACGGCCAGAACAACCGTCGCATGTCGTGTATCTTTCCCTGTCCAGGCTCCAACCATCGCCGGGGCTGCCACTTCTCCGATTCCGGATACACCTCCTCAATGCGGTGCAGGCTGTACGAGGAGGAACTGATCCGGATCCCACCGGGGATGTTATTATATCCATCGAGAGACACTCCGTCCTTGGTATGGGGCGTCGCACGCGGTAAGGGAGCGGGGGTGGGAGAATGCACGCGGAGGGTCTCGCGAAGGATAGCATCCAGCAGCGGAAGAGAGTCGATGGAGGACGGGGTCGGGATCTCCAGAAGAGTGTCCGTCTTCTCAGAGGCGGCTGGGAATTTGAACTGCGGACTCAAGGTCAGCAGTTCCCGACGCAGCTCGGTCTGGAGATCCGGATGCTGCGACAGCTCCCACATCATATAGGTGAAAGAGATGCCGGTGGTCTCGTGACCGGCCACGAGATGGTCCAGCAGCTCGGAAGCGATGGCCAGCTCGCGCGGTCGATCATCGGGGTCCTTCTCGAGGCTGTCGCGCAGCTGGTCATAGACGACGGGGCTCGTGGCGACGGGGACGTCGTTCGGGCGCTCGTTCTTCTCCATCCGACGACACAGCGACAGACACCACGACTCGATGAACCCGTCGCAGCGATCGTCACGGCTCATCACCTTGAACTGCTCGTACTCGTCCAACCACTGCTGCCATTCGGGCAGCTGAAGAATATACGTCGTGGCGTTGCGGGTGCCGAACAAGAACGCCGAGGTGAAATCCATGCCGACAGCCTGAAACAAGGGCAGGACGTTGATGGTCTCTCTGTCGGTCGCGACGCGTCGTAAGATGGGTAAGAGACGCTGCGACAGCACGATACGCGAGATGTCGCGGAGATCGACGGAATCCTGGAGAAATGACTTGGAGAATATCTTGCTGAGCATGCGCTTCTGGCGGGCATGAGGCTCGTTGTGCACCATGCCCACCATGTTGTCGGTATGGAAATTGACGAACAGATCGTTGTACCATTGATGCTTTTCGTATGCGCCCGTGTAGATCGTGCGCAATCCGCTCAGGGAGTTGACGCTCAGCTCGTCGGGGCCGAGTCGCACCACCGAGCCATGCTTGCGATGGGCGTTGTAGATCGTGAGCACCTCTTTGCCTGCGTTGCGTCGGCGTTCAATCCAGGCGGAAGTGAGAGGCGAGGTGAAATGCGCGTTGGGGATCTTGGCCAAGGGCGAGAGGAAGTAGGGCTGGATTACATAGTGATAGAGCAGCAGGGCGAGCAGAATGACCGTCGCCAGGACGGTCGGAGAAGCCATCACGACAGGAATTTACTCTGGACTGAAGGTGGGATCGGTCCATTCCAATGGATTATCTATCATTTCTGTGTCACTGGCCGAGGGAAGATCGGGTCGGTAGAGCAAATCAGGGAGGAGCGGATTAGCCAGGGACTTCTCAGGACATTGCCTGCATTGGGATACATCGTTGTACTCCGTAAACCAGTAAAACACTAAAACAGGCAGAGAAAAGCAGGCAGACCAGCAGATTGCATGACCGTGACCCACCGTCGCTGAGGCCGCCAAGAGGTTTCAGCGCCCCGAAAAAACCAACGCGAACTAAAGGCGTAGCGCAGTGGAGATGCTGGAAGTCTGTTAGTCACTGCTGGATGCATGGATTCCCTTTGCATTAATATTCCAATCATCATGAAGTATTCGTGACGGTCATGGACGACAGGGGGGTGGTGGTCGGATTGCCACCCTGCCGATGTATGAAAGTTGTCAAGCAATTAGGGCTTGCCATGATCATGGATGCTTTGATTAATCCCACGTTGCCCAACGGTCCCTCCTGCAGCGTTAGTCCGCTTTCGTTTTTCTTCTGCAATTCTTCAGGACTCGAAAGTGAACCCCTATCGCTCCCAGTATTTATTTTGACTAGTAAACAAGGTCAAGCTGGAATTCTAGACTCCCTCCACTAAAGTAACCTCCACCTGCAGCGACTGACTCTCGCAACTCGCTTATTCCTCCGAAGTCTCCAACGACTAAACGGTGGCGTTAGGGACTTAGGAGCCTTTTCAATTCCATTCTGTAACGGGTCTTCGGACTGCTGGTCGTCCTGTTTTCAATCTTAATTTCTTAATTTAAGATCATCCGTCCTCGTTTCCTTCCTTTCGACCCCTTGCATTGATCTGATCTGATCTATCATTCATCATTGCCCCTCCCCTTCTCTCTCCCACCTTGTCTGATCGACAATCCTAGGTTGAACGGTCGCCATGTTCAACTTCGATACTATGACCAAAGGTGGCACGCAGGTGTCCACCTACGGCGATGAGCCCGTGTCTAAGAGCCATGTCCCCGCCAAATACAAAGGCACGGCGGCCGATCAGGCCGATATGAGTGCTCTGGGGAGAGAACAAGTCCTGCGTGTATGACAGCCTTGACAATCTACTCATTTTTGAGGCCGTAATGTTAGCTTGTGTTCCTGGATCGCCCCGCTAACTCCGTCCAGCGAAACTTTCGGTTTATCTCTATCGTCGGCTTTGGATGCACGTTAATTGCCACGTGGGAGGTGGTCCTGACGTATGTTCTTTGTTCCTGATTAAACCCTTTTCGGTCGCATGAAGCCATCACTAATGCCGCATAATATAGACTGCTGGAGCAGGGCCTGACGGATGGCGGTACGGCCGGTCTGATCTGGGGCTTCCTCATCGTCGCCTCCGGTTTCCTGCTGGTGTTCTTGAGTTTAGCCGAGATGGCCTCCATGTATGTTGTTGTCTCTATCTACTGGCTGGGATACCACGTTGATTGACCTGTCAGGGCCCCGACCTCCGGTGGTCAATACCACTGGGTTTCTGAATTCGCGCCGCCCAGCTGCCAGAAATTCCTGAGCTACATCACCGGTATGTTGCCCTGACTGCATCTCACCTGGAATGCTGCCACTGACCGTTCAGGCTGGCTCTGTGCAATGGGATGGCAGTGTGCCATCGTCTCCATTACTTTCTTGGCCGGAACCATCATTCAGGGTCTGATCGTGCTCAACAATGACGACTACGCCCTGGAGCGCTGGCACGGAACCCTGCTGGTTATTGCTATCACCCTGTTTTCGATCCTGTTTAACACCTTCCTCGCAAAGAAGCTCCCCTTCGTCGAGGTGATTATTCTTATTCTGCACGTCTGCGGATTGTTTGCCATCATCATCCCTCTCTGGGTTCTGGGGCCCCGTCGCAGCGCAAAGCAGGTCTTTACCGAGTTCAATGACGGTGGTGACTGGGGTAGCAATGGAGTTGCCACGCTGGTGGGATTCTCTACCACGATTACTTCGCTGATCGGATATGACTGCGCCGTGCACATGTGTAAGTCTTGTCTTACCCTGGGTCTCGAACTGATCGGAGACTAATCTGCGGCCAGCCGAGGAGATCAAGGACGCCTCCGAGACGCTCCCCAAGGCTATGATCACCTCCGTCTTGGTCAACGCCGCTTCCGGCTTCCTCATGTTGGTCACCGTCTGTTTCACGCTGGGTGACATCGACGAGATCCTGGCCTCGCCGACCGGGTTCCCCTTCATCCAGGTGTTCTACAATGCCACCGAGAGTCTGCCCGGCACCAACACCATGACCGCTATTCTCGTCCTCACCCTGACGGCCTCGTCCATCACCGAGGTTGCCACGGCATCCCGTCAACTGTGGTCCTTTGCTCGTGATCGAGGACTCCCCTTTTCTGGATTCTTCTCCTACGTAAGTTTGCCCACCTCCATCGTACCACTTTTGCGTGCTTCCATTATATCATCCTATTACGTAAATTCCCTCCTAACCAAAGCGCAGGTCACGCCGGGCTGGAACATCCCGTTCAACGCCGTTTTGGTCTCCTTCGTGGTGACCGCGCTGCTCTCGCTGATCAACATCGGCTCCACCGTGGCTCTACAGGCCATCATCACCCTGACCACCAGTTCGCTTATGTCCTCGTACGTGATCACCATTGGCTGTGTACTCTTGAAGCGGCTGCGGGGCCACCCCTTGCCTCCCCATCGCTGGACTCTCGGCCGGTTCGGCATGGCCGTTAACATTGGCGCCTTGTGCTTCCTCCTGCCGGTCTTTGTCTTCGCCTTCTTCCCCCTGACCTCAACGGTCGACAAGGAGACGATGAATTGGTGTGTCGTCATGTACTGTGGCGTGATCATCATCGCGGTCCTGTACTATATTTTCCGCGCCCGACACCACTACATTCCCCCGGTGGCGTTGGTGAAGCGTGAGGCGTAAAAAGCTGTTTGTTTTGTTTTTCTATCTTCGCCAGCCAGCCAGTGGGCTAGATAATTGACTAGAGTGCCTGGCTCATTGCAATTACGTTTGTGTATGGAGGTACCATCCAATAGTTTAATAATAGTTAATGTCAAACTCTTCCATGCCCATTCTACTTCCTAATAACCAGTAGTACTACGGAGTCCAGAATAATCAACTCCTTAGTAGCTACGGACAACGGAAAAGTAAAACCGGCGTACGGGAACCCTGAGAGTCTGTGACAAAGGGAAAAGGGAAAATGTAACCTACGAGGTAATAAAGTAAAACAAACCCCTGACAAGTGCACACCGTCCGAGAGGCTAAAACGGGCGTAAACCACGGTAGGCAATTCGAGCTAAGGCCCACGCTAACGGACGCAGACCTGAGATGGAAAAAGAAAATCCTCCGAATCCTGGCCCAAGCCAGGCGCATGAACCATGGAATCGCGAAAAAAGTTAATCTAGGGAATGGACATCACGAGCGTGAAGGAGGAATATCCAAAACGTAAAACGTGCATATCCGAAAGGATCCGGTGGAACAACCATTCTCTGACTACTCCGGCATCAATACTCACCATGCGGAATCTGTACTCCGGAGTCCGCTGTAAAAGCGAGAAGGGCCCTCCAGGTCAACAACGGACAAGTCCGAGACTCCATCCTGACCACCGAAACGAACAGGTTAAGGAGTCAAATCGAAAGGAGAGGACCCGTCGTACCGGCCGAAGTCCGACGATGCAGCCCGAGTATCATCCAGCATCCTACTCCGGTGTACTCCAAGGCTTTCCTAGCGCTTCCCCCCGTCAAGTGGGATGCAAGGATCGTCGGCGTCGGGGCGAGAACCAAGTGGATCTCCGATCGTATTGAGTTTTGCTGGTCGATAGGCGATGGTTAGTGGCCGGTTCCAGGGGTTCTCCGTCACACCCTTCGCAGGCTCCAGTCCACAGAGCCCAGCAGGCCAGCTAGAGTGGCACGAGGGACGGAACGCGCGGCACATCCGGACTTTAACCAATGGGTGGCACAAATAAGGTGGCTGCGTACCGTGGAAGAGCATGTCACCGCGATGATAGCATGTGGTGCGTGCGGCGGATCGTCTCTGCGCCGCTGGATGCCTCCATGCTCTGCCGTGTCTGAGAGGGAGAGCAGTGAGCATTGAGCATTGTTCAGCCTTGTATAGAGTCACGGACGCTCTACAATGCATATACCGAGCCCATCTGCCATGTTTTTCGGCTCCTGCAGGAAGGAATCCTCCATCCCAAGGATCTTCGCAAATTCCCTACTCCCTACGCGGTGCATCCCTTGCAGGCGCGGGTTAATATCGCGAGATGGCCCTAGGGAGCCGTAGTGTAGCACCGCCAGGCGGGCTAACCCTAAGGTTGCGGGCCCAAAGTGGAGCGTTACTCGTATGCAATTCTCCCTCGAGTTTAGCGGTTTAGCCTCGGTCGTCCGTCTAGATTAATTTGTATTAATCTTTAAAACTTTTATATTAATCCGGATTGAGATTCATCTTTCCTCTCTCGTTCTCGCTCAGCTGCCGTCTCAGCGTCTGTTCGGCGGATGGAGTCCTCCGTCCGGCCAGTCCCTGCACTCGGCCTCGTTATGTGGGACTATGTGGGACAGCTTCAAGGTCAGGTTCCACAATTATGTTATTATGATTTATGATGGAGGATATCTTGGTTGGTGGTCAGGGTTTTTTTGTATTTCTATTTGGCCCCAGTCGCCATCTCAAATCTCTTGGCCGTTATTTCACGGCCACGGTAGGAGACCAGGCATAGCAATTATTGGTCAAACTAAATGAAAATGAGTTTTCTCCTGAGAGAGGAATCGTCGCCTTCTCCGCTGCTCGGATGCGAAAGGCGAGATTCATCCGTCAAGGGAGTCTTCATACGGTGTACTCCGTATGGGCGGGATATTGATTAATTGAGATTCATCCTAGGATATCCCCCGTGGCCAGCAGAGGCTATTAGCAACGCATACCACGCGACAGCCTCGTAGATTAGTTCAGTCCCTGTGATTGCATCAACTCAGCTCTCTAACTAACCTTATTATCCAGTTTCAGCCCCAACCGTCCCCCCGAGACAGAACCAGTCTAGGTCCTGCTCCAGTTTGGACTCCTTGGATCTCGTTGGTTTTGGATCGTGTACCCATACTACGGAGTATCCAATATCCATAGTCCATAGTCCATGCTACCCATTTCCAGTCCCAGTCTGCCGGTCTGGATGTTGTTCCTGCGCGCGGTTTCTATGCATTCTCGATCTCCAGATCCATCCCAAGCCCACTAACCAAAGACACATGGTGGAAGGATCCATCTCTGTACCTCGTCGCACTCGCCACAGAAGCGCTACGGAGTAGACACACCCTGCTGTGTTACCTAGCGTTTGACGGCTCTCTTCGTTTCGTTTCCCTGGAGTGTCTTCCCCATGATCCTGGTATGACCACTCGATCCATAGATAGGTCGCATATTTCATCGCACCTTAATACTAGACTATATTACCTCCTTTCCCCCCTGTCGCTCGTTTCTTTCTTCCCCTTTTGCCTCTCTGCATGAACGCATGTGCTTGGCATCTTGCATCTCGCCGCAGCCTTCATCGCGCTATATGTGATCCCCATATCCATAGTGAGTGCGCAGCAGTAACAGCATCCTCCGCCAGAAATGGCCATCACCGTGCCGGAGGGACAGTCCGCGCCGTTCGAGACCATCGACAGTAAGCATCATGCGGGAATTATCATCATCACGACGGCCATCTGCATGGTGATTACCTTGGTGTGTTTGTTAATTCGCATGTATGTGCGGTTACTGCTAAGTCCGCCGTTGGCGTTTGACGATATTATTCTGTTGGGTGGGACGGTGAGTTCATCCTATCCATTTCCCTGTCTTGGCTTCTTATTTTCTTTTTCTCTCCAAGATCCATTGTGCATGCCCGTCTGTGCTTGACTGACAATCCACCTTGTGTTCAGGTCACCGCGATAGTGGAGTCGATTATCGTGTTTTATTCCGCCTCGATTGGGTTCGGGACGGCGATCACTTTGCTGGATGATCGGATGGTCTCGAGGATTCAAAATGTATGTCTTCCTTTTCCTTCTCTGCTTCTCATAGATCTACTTCCTCTCCAACATGAGTAAAAAGAAGTGCGAGAAATATTGACCCTAGCAGCACATCGCCGCCTCCGACGTCCTCTACCTCGTCACGCTCTTTCTCTCACGATGCTGCATTGTGGCCATCTACTCGCGCTTGACGCCGCGTCGCAGCCATAAGAATATCCTGTGGACAACCTTCGCCATCAGTGCGGCCAGCATCATCATCTCCATCTTTATCATCACAATAGACTGTTCCGTGAACAAGCCGTGGGCGACGCCGGGCGAGCACTGCATTAATTTGGTATGTTTCCTTTTTCTTTTCACTATCTCTAACTCGGGTGTATATGAAAGCATGGAAGGAATACTAACAAAGAACAGTTCCCTCGATGGCAGTTCATCACGGCCATCGACATCATCACCGAGGTGTTCCTCTTCCTGTTCTCCGTAGGTCTAGTCTACGGTCTTCAGATGCCCGTGAGGCATAAGGTCGTGATTATGATTTCGTTTGCGGCCAGGTTACCGTACGTCTTCCACCTTCACACCTCCCTTTCTCTCACATAGATCCTATCTAACAAATCTAAATAGACTAATCCCCCTGGAATCCCTCCGCCTCGCCGCCTTCCAACACAAATTCATCAACTCGCACAACCCCACCTTCGACTCGATCGCGCACTACGTCTGGACGCAAGTCGCAATGAACTACTCCCTCGTCGCCTGCACCGTCTTCTGCCTCCGTCCCTTCATGAACGCCGTCACGACGGCCTACGGCACGGCCGGCGACGAGAATCTCGAAGCGAGCTCCCGATCACGCAGCGCACCCTACGGCTCCGGCACGGGGTACGGATCGGGTCGACACGGGAAAAGCCATACCCAGAGCCAAGGCGGAGGAGGGGACTTTGCGCTGCAGAGTTTCGGCGCGTCCAGTGCCTCCGGCGCAAGGCATGGATATTCACATACGCAGCACGGGGTGTTCGTGCCGCGCGGCGCACCGGGCAGCGAAGGTGCCGAGACGTTGGTGACGACGTTTCCTGGGTCGTCTGGGGCGCCGTCCCAGGAGGATCGCGATGAGCGGGGGAGTGTAGGGAGCGACGGGAGTACGAGGATGATTATCAAGAAGGATGTTGAGTATACGGTGCAGACGGAACCGAGGAGGGACGGTGACCACTATTAGATGGTCATCCTGGACGTTGACGACCGGACTCACCGATAAATAATACGAGGTCCCTGTATAAAAAACAAAAAGTACCCTTTAGTTAATCTAATTAGATAAATATAAATAGATGCCATGTGTTATGTAGTAAGACAAACCAGTGGAGGTCAAATCAACGGGTTCAACCCGGACAGAATCGCATCCCAGTCCAACTCTGTATCCATGCCATTCCCAGGCCAAAACTCCTGCCACCGAGCCAGCTGATCCGGTAGGTCCAGCGTGTCCGTCTCTTCGTCCATCATCCCCATGGATCCCATAGCGACGCTCTCCCTCGTCGTGTCCGTGTCTCTTCCTACCCCTGTCCCTGTCCTCTCCTCACCACCACCCTGACTCACATCCGGCAACCTCAGATTATGCTCACGCATGACCCGCATGAAATACCCCAACAACCTCCTCGCCATCGGCGACTCAGTCTTCGCACGATCCAGAATCTGACACGCATCCGCCAACTCAGCCCTCCGGTGTTCCTCCGACCCGCCCATATCCCGACAGAAGCAAATATCCGCCAAGAGCGCAATAATCGCCATGCAGATGCACTGCAAAGTGCCCGAGTGGCGCTTCCGCATCAGCACGAATGGCAAATCTTCTGTCGCGAGAAGGCGCTCGGTGCGAAGGATGTGGCGCGCTGATTCGAGACACGCGTCGCGCGAGTAGGCGTAATTCGGGTCCAGCGAGGCGCGGGTCAGATAGGGGAGATGGAGACGGCAGCGCTGCGCGGGAACGATGGAGTTGAGGATGTAGCGTTGGGTGGCTTTTCCTGGGTCTTTGGTGTCTTTGGTCCTGGTCCTGGCTCTGCCCCTGGATCTGCTGGGGGTGATGTCTTCGTCAAGGCGGAAGAAGGGTGGCCATTGGGCGATGAAGCCGATGATGCTGCGGTCGAATTTGAGGACTTGGCTGTATTCGACGGTGCCGGAGGATGTTAACGGGGTGCTGTCGGTTAGTTCGCGGCATATCTCAGCGAGTTGGATGCGTTGGAGGTTGTAGGAGATGTTTGTGGAATGGTTCATGGGTCGCGGGGTGATGGTTGTCGAAGCGAGGCCGGGAAGTAGATCCTCGTCGTCGACGTTACGAGGTTTATTGACGGCCATGTGTCGGGGGTTGATAGTATATGTCCCCTTAAAAGGGCCAGTGTATTGTGAGAACATCCTGAACGACCAGATAAGCTTGTTTCTCGTGGCTTCGGACTAGCTATGGCTCAAGGAGAGGGGAAACATACCAGTCCGTAGACACAAGGTACCACCACACCCTCCGGCCGACTTCAGCCTCCAGGGGGTCCCTGGAGCATTCGTCGGTTGCATCAGCGTCATTCGGGATATCGATTCTGTGAAGCCCCAGCTCGCGCGCCATCGTGATAGCCGACGTGATGAGATCACGGTATCGAGCAGATGGGCCTTCCAGATGACAGACCACGAAGGAGGCAATGATAATGCCCTGGATCTCTTCCATCGATTGCGAGGATGCGCGACGCAAATAGTCCAACAGGTCTAAGGCGGACTTCACCCACAGCGCGGATTTCTCGGTCGCTTGTTTGCCATTCCGACAGAATGGGAGGTCCATGTCTTGCTCGGTCCACAAGTAGATCGAGCTGGCAATTATACCGTATAGCAGCACCACGTGGTGGGGTTTGGGTTGTTTCCGATTGTCGACGTCTTCATAGATACCGTCCACTAGAGCGCGCACGCTAGGGACGTGGATGACATGATGGATATAGGTGACGTCGCGGATGTTCTTGTCGAGCAGTCGTCTTGCCTCATCGCTACGCGGCAGGCAAAAGAATCCTTGGGAGCTTCCCATTGCATTGGACCATGAGGTGTCACGGCTCAAGTCGCCTGACATACTCCCTCTATGCTCGATGGGATATATCCTGAAAGTCACACCGTCGGGTTGGATCATTTCCTGCGCTTCTAGATCAACTGTCCATTCTTCACCGTAATACAACCAACCACTTACTGATCGGTCCTGGCTCATACACTCTTGTTCGAGGCGTTTCACCTCGGTACTAGCCTGGTGGAACTGAGGTACCGAATATGGAGCCTGAGTAACCACATCTATGACGGGGGGTGTTGGTGTTGGTATTTGTCCGTGACTCCGAAGAACAAGCTCCTCCAGCCTCCGTAGACGCTCCAGAACATCCTGATCCGTAACCGACTCATCGGTCGGAGGTTGCGAGTACAATTGACAGAAGATTCCGCGACTGGTGCAATTCCCACAGGGCAGTTGGCGATTACATTTCAGCTTTCGGGCGCGGCAGAATTGACAGGACACCGGTCGCTGGCGGGAGCTGCCGTTCTGGATCTTCCGCGGACCAAGAGCACGCACCATTGCTTTGTTGGGGACGAGATCTGCGGTAGGACAAATTCGTGATTGAATGTGACATATTTCCAAGGACGGGAGGCCGCGGAATGGGAGTCCGTGGAGGGAGGATTCGCGGATGACGAAGATGAGGCCAGACGTGGCTGATGTAAGGCCGCCGAGGTCCTCCGCGGATGTTCCGCGGAGGGTTCTATAGAAGCCAAAACACTTCTTATAAGACTTCTTTCACCCCGCGTGTGGTTCTCGTCTCTCGTTCATTTCTCATATTATTCTTCAGTCAATATGGACACCATCATCACTCAGGTCCACTCCCTGTCCCAGAACGCCGACCAGGCAGGTCGCAGGTCAATTCAGCATGCCCTTAGAAGACTTCTGCTGGAGCTTCAAGATCCAAAAGACATATTTTATCAGCTCCTCAACGGGGTACATCCTTGCTGGTCCCCACACCCACAAGTCCAACGACACTGACTTGATCTCTAGCCCGTCGTGCTGACTGTTGTCCGCCTGAGCATGGATCTCAAGCTCTTCGAAGCTCTCGCAAACAGCGATTCTCCTCGAACGGTGACCAGTCTTGCAGAGCAGCTCAAGGCCGGTCCAGACTTGCTCGGTCAGGGTCCTTCCATGCGGTGGACCGGGGGGGGGTTGGTATTTAAAAAATTATAAATAGCTAACGGTAATAACACCAATAGCCCGCATCCTTCGATATCTCGCGTCCCACAACCTAATCCAAGAGACCGGAGTTGAGGAATTCGCAGGGAATTTAACGACCCAGCTCTTAGCCAAAAAGGGAACCGATGCAATATTCAGCCACGGGTACGCTTCAATTATCCAACCTCTAGAATCCTAGCAGAGCGCTCACTCTCAACTAGATTCCATGTCGCAGGCCCGGTGTTGCAGGTTACTCCTACCTTCCTAACAGAAACCAAGTACCAAGACATCTCCGAGACGAATAAAACTCCGTTCCAAAAGGCCTTCAACACTGACCTCTCGGCATCCGAATGGCTGGCTGAGCATCCGGAGCAAACGCAGCACGTGCAGCAGGCAATGTTATCGACCCAGACGGGCGAATGGGTTCAGAACTTTGAATCTTTAGACAACACGGTCAATTCTTTCATCGAGTCACGACAGGCCTCGTCAGACAGGCCATTTTTTGTCGATATAGGCGGGAGCTACGGACACCAGACCATCCATCTCAGGGACAAACACCCTAGCCTAACTGGTTGTCTTGTTCTTCAAGACCAGAAACATGTAGTCGATCAGGTTCCTACACTCGAGGGGATCAAGGTGATGGCTCAGGACATCTTCACGCCTCAGGCCATTCAAGGTAGATCCACCCCTGCCGTCGTCGAAGCATCTCCATAGGCCACTACTAATATGCACTACAACCCAGACGCTCGATTCTATTACCTCAGTCGCGTACTGCATGACTTCCCAGATGAGTCCTGCGTCAAGATTCTCCAGAACATCATTCCCGCGATGACGAGCGAGTCTCGGATTCTCATCGACGAGACGGTTCTACCTGATACTAACGTTTCGTGGCAAGCGACCATGGGTGATCTGTATATGATGTTCATGGCGGGTGGGAAGGAGCGGTCGGAGAGGCAGTGGCGGGATTTGGCCGGTAGTGCAGGGCTCCAGGTCACTCATCTACACGTTTACGATTCCTCGCATCATCGGGCGGTGCTTGTTCTTGAGAAAGAGTGATTGTTAGTGAGCTGGTTTGAAAATATGTGGATCGCGTATTGGTATGTTCAGGGTCAGCGTGAATGACAAGTCAAGTGATGATCTCATCTAATCCACCTGCATATCGGCACTGAACGCAGAGAAGCAAACATTTAAGCACAGCTAATTACTGACTCTGCTCCCTCTCGATCCTCTGGTCCTCCTGCCGCAGAAACTTGACCGTAAACTCGACGGTGAACTGTCCGGCCGGAAGCCTCAAATGCTGCAAACGCTGCCAGAATCTAGACTGAAACGCCAAGGCGCAACGGAATAAGAACAAGATCAAGTGGTTGATACTGCAGACAGGCATCAGTGGATAAGTTCATTATGGGGGATCAAATCATGTAAGGCAAACACTCACCCCAAAGCGAACCCAAAGCCGAATGTCACGGAGATGAAGAGCTTAACCCACCGCGCAAGTTGACAGTCCTGGCTCTCAGGCGAACAATCATACCAGTCACGAGTCATGCCCATACAGGAGCCTAGAACGGCGTAAAATGCGATTACAAAATCGAAGACCAGATTCAGCCAAAGCCACAGGGCCCTGTGGCTTTGACGTAGACGAACTAGGTTCAAGAATGAGATGAGTGCGGTGGACAGGGCCTATGTTATGTCTAATATCAATATCTTGGTTTAAGTCTAACAGGGCGACAACACATACCATGATAGCGATGATCCTGATAGTCCCGCGCAGATCCCATGGGATGTAGTAACTCTCGCCGTCGTTCGTCTCATCCAGCACGTTGACGGTCAGACCGAATGCGACGACGAACACCGACAGAACGAGGGATACCCATGTCAACGTGGTTACGAACCGCAAAGAGTGATCAGCTGGGTTTGGGGCGGGCGGGTTGCGCGATTCATACTCGCCGATGGGCTCCGGGTCCACGGAGCGTAGAAGAGGGGTATTCTCTGAGGTATCAGTCATGTTGAACAGCGATGATGACGAGGTTGTGTTCACGGGCTGACTTGACTTGGTGGTACGTGGCGATGGCAAGGATCGTGCGATGAAACGGCCCCCGGCGCTAAGATAACCCTGGCTTAAGTAGTTTCCTAAGTATGTAGGTGCCTACTCTCAGGTAGCCATGTCCCTGGAATATACCGGCCATTACCACCAACAATAGCCACGGTTGGGAATATTCCAGCCATGAAAACCGGACCTTCTTCCCTATACTCCCTATAACCCTTCAGTCAATGTCAATCGTATCATCCCGCAGTTCTGATCGGCCAGAAATGCCAAGAGCCGGTCAGCGGGTCAGGGCCCAGTCAGGCCTAGCGTGACCTGGCTGTGACCAGGCGCTATTCCCGAAATGGCAGCTATCAGGGCGTGACTCTCGTTCTCGTTCTCCGCGTCTCCAAATCTTCCTCTCTCCCAGAACTGTAACACCACTTCTCACATCACAGGTGATGTGAATACAATATGGGGTCGGAAAGAGCGCCTGATGCTCCTCACGCTGGCCAGTCACCATTCCCTGACGTCGCCTCCGACATTGAACTCGACATCTTGCGACTAATGGACAACAGCATAGATCCGTCCGATTCCATGTCCTTTGACCTCGATTCCATCTTCCCGCAAGATGATGGGTCTTTTCCTACTACAGGGTCAGGTAAATACCATGATTGGTCGCAAACATCCCAATTTGCCCCGGCTAATGGGACATCAAAATCCGAGTCTCAAGAGGCCCCGAGCAAATCCTCAAGATTGCCTATGACCACAAGAAAAGTTCTTCGACGGTGGTTTGATAGGCATGCCGACCACCCGTATCCCAACATGCAAGAGAAGAAATTGCTAGCCAATGAGGCCGGCATGGAAATCCACCAGGTGTCTACCTGGTTCTCAAACGCTCGCAGACGCCGTAAGAGGGAGTCACCAGCCGGAAATGGCGCTCTCGTCTCCTCCGGTCTTGAAAGCCTGAATGAATCCCAGAAGACCACTCACGAGAAGAGTCCTGGCATGTTTCCGCTCGATCGATGGTGAAATTCCCCTCCAGAACTCGAGGGCCACTCCTTAGAGGCTATCGTGAACGCCGTGGCTCGCAGTACCACGAGTGAACTATCAGACCATAACCCAAGTCTTGGCTCACCAGGTTCGGGAATCCTCCCACATAGCTATTCCCTAGATACTATCGATGCCCGATCTCTTATGCCGTCGCAGGCGTCTGGATCCGCTTTATCCAGCAGTTCCGAATCATCTGCCCATAGTTTCGGGTCCAACCGTTCCCACGGGTCCCTTCAATCGTTTTTATTTGAATGAGCCGCCGCGACGACGGCACCGTCGATTGGCTAGAAACGCGCCCACCGGAGCCACCAATTTGAAACGTTCTGTAGAAAACAAGAGGCCCTTCCAATGTATATTTTGCACGGACACGTTTCGCACGAAGTATGACTGGACGCAGCATGAGAAAACATTACACTTGTCATTGGAAAAGTTCACCTGTTCCCCCTTCGGGCCGACTTACCGTAACCAGGGAAATGGGGATGAACGATGCGCTTATTGTGACGAGCCAGGCCCCTCCAGAAGCCACATTGAAGCCCATCGAGTCAGTATCTGTCAACAGAAGCCGGCGGCATTCAGGACGCTCTATCGCAAAGACCATCTAACTCAACACATGCGTATCGTGCACGAAATCAACAGCCTGACGCCATCTATGGAGGGCTGGAAATCGCAAGTTACACGAATCAATTCGCGATGTGGCTTTTGCGGTCAAACCTTCGTGGCTTGGGCTGAACGAAATGATCACCTTGCGCAGCATTTCCGGGCAGGGGCTGTGATGAAAGACTGGGGCGGATGTCGAGGTCTCGACCCGCCTGTAGCTCTGGCGGTAAAAAACGCTATGCCACCCTATCTGATTGGCATGGAATCGGCACGGATGGAGCCTTTCAGCGCTTCTCGCGTGGCGGATGGCCCGCCAGGGGAAACGGAAGCCAAACCGACGTCCTTTGAGCACCTCACGTCTCGGCTTACCTCGTTCGTGAATGAAATGTGCGCCAAACATACGGCCGTTACGGACGCAATGTTCCAAAAAGAGGCCCGCTACATAATGTACGACGATGACGACCCGTGGAATCAAACGCCAGCCGACAATCCCCAATGGGCTATTCCAGCTATAGAACCCGCGCCGCTACCTCCATCGCGAACGAAAGGCCGTCAGTCGTTGCTATTCAACGATTTATACCCATTGCTTTCCATCCACGTGTCATCGGCGAACTTGGTGAGGTAATTCCTCAGACTATCCGCGAATACCAACACAACGGTCTTTTCTTCCGAGTTGAATTCTGGGTGTAACTGTAGGAACTGAACCAAGCCTGCAAAGGCTGCGCCGGATGATCCCCCGCACAGGAGCCCCTCCTCGCGCACTAGTCTCCTTGCCAGCTGGAACGAATCCCTATCAGTCGTCTTGACCCAGAAGTCCGGGGCCCTTTGATCCAGCACGGCAGACACGAAGTCGTATCCAATCCCTTTCACCTTGTACTCACTCTTGCTCTCATTGAGCACGGCCGGCTGTGCAAGAATAGAGCCAAGCGGATCCACCCCAACGACATACACATGGGGCTTCTTCTACTTCAGTCCTCTAGCTAAACTAGTGACTGTGCCTCCCGTTCCTGCTCCCGCCAGTACAACGTCCACTTTGCCTTGCGTCTGATGCCAAATTTCCTGCGCCGTCCCGAGCTCGTGAGCAAGGGGATTCTCCGCGTTGTTGTATTGGTCTAAAATGTAAGAATTGGGAATATCTTGGTTGAAGCGTCGAGCGACGCTTAGGATCGAGTCTGGGGATTCGATCGGGACACCAGTGGGCGTCCGCACCACCTGGGTACCTAGGTCGTGGAGAATCTGTTCTTTTTCCAGCGACATCTTCTCCGATAGCGTGACGATACATCTGTACCCTTTGATCGCCGCCATGAGGGCTATAGCAATGCCCCCATTCAAGGTCAGCGTTCTCGTTTTTTAACTTCCAAAGAGTAGCATGGTAACGCAACACACGTATTCCCGCTAGACGCTTCAATCAGTGTGTCACCCGGTTTGATCAACCCGTCTCTCTCCGCCTGCTCTACCATACGCCTAGCAATTCGATCCTTGACCGACCCGCCCGCGTTTAAGTACTCGAGCTTTGCGCATACTTTTGCCTTTATACCCAATGAAGCTGGTAAGCGATTGAGGGTCACCAAGGGGGTAGCACCGATGTGCTCGGCGATGGACTCGCTGAGCGGCTGTCCTAGGTAGACGGTCATCGTTGGGATTGGTTAAGCTAAGAATGAAAATTGAGAAAGAATCACATGAATACGAGGGGGTTTTAGACTTCTTAAATCGACCGAGCCGGTCACCTTCTTTGCCCTCTCGACGTATACTAAAGGATACCTACAAGTCTCCGCCGATGCCCTGGACATTACCCGATCGAGAGTGGGTCCACATCTTCCCCGAAGCGGCAATGACAAGGGCGTCAGAGCAATCGAAGATTTCATCCTCGCGACCAATCATTCTACAGTTCAGTCACCGAGAGGCCCACTTTCGGCGATCGGTTTTCGCCCTCAATCGTCTTATAAAAGCGTTTCCCGCCTACTCTTCAGCACGCCGCAAGAGAAGCACATAAATTCCACGGCAAACAATAATGACGGACCCCACGCAGAACCCAACTGAGAAGACCCGACTCGTCCGGCACTTTGATGCGCAGTATTTCTTCTCTTTCCCTGCTTCCATTCGAGTGCGGTACAATTAACTTGCTATGCCCAGTGATGTCAAAGACTACACGAATGGTTGGTCAAAGCTCTGGGATTCGAATGACAGCAATCTCTGGGATCGATCAAAGCCCTCGCCCCCGCTGATCGATCTTATCGAGGAGCGCCGGGATGATTTTAAACCCATTGCGGAGGATGGAAGGAGAAAGAAGGCGTTGGTTCCGGTATGTCTGACCAGTTCTATGAATTATTAGGGGAGATGGTTGGATGTGTATAAAAAGGTGAGCTAATTTCCGAAAACAGGGATGTGGCAAAGGCTACGACGTTGTGATGCTCGCCTTGCATGGCTTCGACGTGTACGGCCTTGATGTCTCCGCGACAGGCGTTTCAACGGCCAAGGAATATGCAAGAAGAGAGCTAGCGAGTCCGCAGGGTTACAACTTTGGCTCTGTATCTCCTGTGACGAAGGATGATAAGATAGGCCAGGTGACTATTCTCCAAGGGGACTTTTTCAAGTCAGACTGGGATGATGGGATGAAGTTTGATTTGATATATGACTATACTGTAAGCTCTTGGTCGTATTTATTAGTTTGTCACTGATACTAATTGATGTAGTTCCTGTGTGCTCTTCACCCGAGCATGCGTGCTCAGTGGGCCTCTCGAATGGCTGAGCTGCTATCCGCCGAGGGTCACCTCGTGTGCCTCGAGTTTCCCCTCTGGAAGGACCCCAAGCTGCCTGGTCCGCCGTGGGGGTTGAATGGGGTGCATTGGAATCTTCTTGCCGAAGGAGGGGATGGTGTCGTTGAAGATAGTTTCAAGGTGGAACAGGGTAGTGAAAGGGGTTTGTTTATAAGGACGCTTTATATGAAGCCCGAGAGATCATATGAGCAGGGGAGAGGGATGGATATGCTGAGTATTTATGTGAAGAAGGAATGATTCACTAAGAGAAAAGGCTGTCACGTGTTCAAATAAAAACGGTATCTCCCTTTTACGTGCCTCGTAGCCCAAATTAGTGAGGGAATTGGTTGTGGGAGGTCCCCAGTAGCAACCTGCTACCGCAATCTCTCACCCTTCATTTTCCCCTCTCCTGCCCTCTTTCTTTACTATTTCACCATTCAGTACCCCAGCGTTTACACTATCAATGGGGCCCTTCAGACAGGAAGAATGCATCAGCAGGACAAATATGGATTCAAAGAAGAGAAAAGAAACCCATTTGCCCCCGCATTGGAGGCGGCGTCTGCATCCGACCTCTGAGAATCAAGAAATGGAAGGGCAGTCCCGTCTCACCCAAGGGTCTGCTAAAAAGCCCAAATCTGAACATGACTCAACTTCATACCGCTTAACAAAGTGCGTGACCTTGAAATATAACACCTCCAAAGCTATCAGCGCCGGGGTGGCGGGAGCGAAATCCGTGCACGACCCCCGCGAGAGCAGTTTGAGCAGCTCGAGCAACTTTCCGGGGCTAGTGAGTCCCTTCCTCTTCGTGCCAATAAAATACTGGATCGAGCTGGAAGAGCCGGATAAGCTCCTCAAGGTTTCCAATTCCCCGCGAGAAATGCCCACTTGGCAGATGCCAGCGACAGAGCATACTCGATGTGGCATGTCAAACTTGATGGGTGACCCTTTTTCTGACCAGAAAACCCACAGCGTCAGGAGTTCCTATATGCCTGTTTTCCTGGTAGCTCAAGTAACGTCACCTTATTATCGATACTTCACTTCTGCGGGACGAAGTACCAAGGAAGACTGGGTCCTATTGGATCGACTGTTCCTGGAGGAAAGTGCACGACTGGAAAGTGCCAGGGCTCTTCTCCAGAAGAACGCCAACGACATCGAGTCAGCACTTGCTAATTACACCGCCTCAATGAGTAAATGGCGTTCTGAAAAGCGTCATTGGGAGGTGCAAACCATTTACGATGAGATTGAAGCTGATAATATCATCATTTTTCGACACAGGATTACAAAGAAAGATCTCGAAGACCTTGACAAATGGCTTGAGGTTGAAGAGCGAAAAGAGAGTGAGGGGCAATATGACGCTTGGTACTGCGGAGTCCTGCGTCTAGGCCATGGCAATATTTTCCCCAATGCACACTTGTTGCGCTCCATTCCAATCAAGCAGATAGCTGACCAGCGCCTTGCAAACCTGCGGGTAGCCATAGGTTCTCTTGGAAAGCTAATAGATGAGTTCAAATCCAAGCCCACGACTTGCTCACCCTCTGGCCCATCACCAACTCCCAAGCCCCTCATCGACCTGCCTGATTACAGTTCCGAGGATGACGAAAGGATCGCACTTGATAAGCAACATGTTGCAAATCTCACCGTCTGGGCCTATGAACGCCATCTCCATTGGATCCCACGGGACTCGGAGGCGAAGAAGAAATACAAGTTCAAGACCGAAGACGACGTGTACAAGTTTTTCCAAATCAAGAAGCTGACCTGTGCTGACTCGATCGGCTCCGTCGGCAACAATGGCCTGTTTCGGGAGCATATTCAAATTCCCCAGGACCTGGCTCGATGTCCATGGGGTGTACCTTTTCATACACTAGATAAAACCATTTCTAACCCCGTTCATCGCATGGGGCTGTACTCTGAGGCCGGTCGAACTCTTCTGCGAGACATGGAAGTCGAATATTTTAAGTTTTACGATCCGTACACTCCTGAGAAAAGTTCACAGAACTGGCTTATTCCGGAAGATCTGGCAGACAGAATGTGTAGGTTTATTGATTGGGTTAACGAAGGGAAATCTGTGGATTGATGGTCAGTGATGGTGGTTCAGGCTCTATCATATCGGCTTTATTCTGTCTTTCTTTCCTTTTTTTTTTTTTTTTTCTTTTGTTATTAAGACTATTTGTCTCATATGGGATGGCTCACAGGTGGCCCCTTAACCATTCAAGGCAGTACTCCTGTTGATTGTGGGATAATACCTGTGGCTAGTGATCACATAATCGTCTTTTACTAGCAGGCTAAAAGGTTTGTCGATATACTGTTGACTTATACTACACAATTCAGTCAATTTGAGAATTATAGAAAGCCAGTGGATGCATTTAGGTGACCAAGTGGGCAGGCAGGTATTGAAGATGATGATCAGGTTATACGTAGTGAATTTTGCGGAGAGAATAAGGATAGCTATATATCCTCACATCAAGAGATTAATGGGTTGTCTCAGTAGGCAACACCCTTCACACCTTCTCAATTAATTGAATATCAGAAACTCATGAGCATAACATGTTTTCTTAACTCTCATCGAATCCATAACAAAAATACCCACTATGACATGCATCTGTACAAAAGTAGTACCTTCGCGAACCGCCATTCTCAAAGCAATTTCCGTTATATAGCCTTCTACAAAAGGCTCCTCTAATAACAGCGCCTGGCTAGCTCAATCGGTAGAGCGTGTGACTCTTAATCACAAGGCTGCGGGTTCGAGCCCCGCGTTGGGCTGTTCTTTTTGGACGTTTTCCTTTTCAACGTCCAAAATGTTGCCTTCGCATTTTTTTTTGTGCCTTTGTTCGTTCCTGTTGTAGAGTGAAATTTCTGTGGGTGGTTGCGGATCGTCGGAATTTGGTTCGACCCACTTGGCGCGCCACTGGTCGCTTGGCGTCATTAACGGTTCTGAGAACGAAGAAAGGAATGAATGAATATTGTTACAATTAATTAATTTAATCAAACTGAACTCACATTCACCTTCACCAAAACTCTGTTCATAAAAGAAAGAAGCATCGCATTAATTTTTACTAGATTTCCACTCCAAATCCAGGCAAAGGCCCCTAACATAGTTCATCCCTTTTCTAAGGTAGTCTAGGCTAGCACTAAAGATTGCTAGTCGACGGGATCTTCCTCTTGAACAGTACGAGCTCTCTTGGAGGGCCTCTCAGTACTTGCCTCGGGCTCATTAGGCAATATCTTGGGAATCGGGAGCCTATATACGCTCAGTTTCAGTGATTCTCTTGCATCCAGAATGAAATTCAGCTGACTCACTGAGGCGGTATCTTCAGGGATGGAGCTTTGTCGCTCAACAAATATAAAGCAGATTTGGCTACAGTCTCATCAGAATGCTGTTGTTCCCTTTCGAAAGTTGCTGGTATGATCTCCCCCAAAGACGGACAGTTCCTCTCGAATGCCGCGATGTCAGGTCGATTCGGACCCAGGTGGCTTAGTAGTACCGAGTTTCCATGACCGATAATTTGTAGGAGGTACTCCTTGCGAGGGTTTTCTGCTGGGGTCTCTGCAGTGTCCCTGTTTTCTTCCCAGTCCCTCGTTATGAAAGGGAGAGGTGACTGCTGGCATGTCGTTGACCTTTGGGGCTTCTATTGGAGAATGTTGGGCATCATTGGAATCATCGTTGTCTCCTGCCGATGTCGCATCAGCTATTGCACGGTCGGATTTCACATGTGTTCCGGATGAAGATGATTTTCCCATTGTTTTCAGTAGCGGACGGCATAGACATAACCGATGCCCCCGAGCTAAAGATGTTAATTAGTAAAATTAATGTATACATCAAATTCACACATAGAAGGGGAACACATACTGATGACAGAACCTCGCCAACCCGTCTCTAAGAAACCGCCCAACATCCTGCCCATGAATTAACTCACAGTGAGTGACCTCTTCTGCATGAAGCTTCAATATGCCATGTCGGAATCTCCGGCATTGATTCTGCTCAAGGCTCGACTGAATCGCACCGATCTCGCAAAAAATGCGCTCAACTAGCGAACAGTAGGATTTCAACTCGGAGGATATTGAACCAGCTTGGCGATTATTGATGTCGAACAGCGTGTTCCCGGGATTCTCGATGACTCTTGTCAACGTCAAAAACTGGCTATCTGCTGCCCTCTTTTCCGCGACTAGTGTCTGGATGAAATAAGATTGCTCTTTCAGGGCTCTCGATTCCACTCGACTATCTTCAGATCCGCACTCACGCACATCTTTCCAAAGACAAGGGTGAACTGACCTTCTTATTTGACCCGCATACTTAATAACATTCAGCAATAAAAGCATCGTCGTCTTCAACCGCTCCAAATTACTCCGCAGAACATTGATATCATTCTCCATAAACACGAAGCCAACCTTAGCCGCTGCTCAGTGCAACGGACCTCTCACTAAACCGTCCTTAAAGCGATCTAATGCCTAATCAATCTTCTTGAATATGGCATCACATTACATCGACAGCTGGGCGCCAAAATCTGCGAGTTGGAGGATGCTTGCGGCTACGCCTAGGGCACCGAGACCGGCTGCCATCTTCGCACCTGATTTGCCGTGCGATAGATAATATGACGAGAGCTGGAGGTCTGGATATTTTAGATCCATAGGGGGATAAGTACTGAGTAAAGTACCAGGAAGCGCCTGAATGTGTGTGGGTGCACAGCCTTGCGCGAGGCTGCGCCTTCAAGCCAGCCTTGTAACTGGCATTCTTCGTTCTGCAGGGGACTGCATAAGCCATGCAAGAGTGAGTGGCTTGGAGGAGAGCTATCTTGTGTCTTATTTGATGAAATGCTGAGTGCTTGCCGTATCTTCCCTGGATGCAGGTTGTTTGCTTCTTTCCGCCTGGGCCAAGTAATTATTGTGCCAGATTGACCAGTAAAACAACAGGGTATTTAAGATACCTCTCTTTTACAAAACCTAGAGCTTGAGATTTAAAACATATATCGAGATGAATATCTCTATAATTTAATATCTTTGTCCTTCTTTCTTACCGGAGGTACCCCATTCCAGTGACAAGCTCTGTCTTTGATTCACAGTCACAATGCGAATTGGAACCTTGGTCATGGAAGGAGGGTGGCTCAAGCATCATGGAATCGGGGTTGAACGACAAAGATGAATCTACCACCTCTATACTGGACATTGAAGATACTTTTAACATAACCAGCCCCTATAGATGCCTCTCGGGCGAGTGCCAAGGAATGGGCCCATGTGGGAGGCCGAGCGATGACGTGTGAATGCCAAGCTCCCCGACGCTAGCCCTAAATAGGCTGTCCGGGATCGGCGATGAGTAAAGCCCGATGATTAAATTCTTACTCATCCTCGTCCTGATCTGATCGTCCGTTCTCTTCTTTCTTCCTGAATTCCCCTCTATTCTTTGTCCTTGAGAGTTCAGAGTCGCTGTATCTCTGTCCTATAAAAAAACCAAGAAAATGTTTCGCAGCGGTGTTAAATCGGCAGCCTGCACTGCCCGGAGAGGCTTTGCCACCGCCTCGCCCGTGAGCGCGGCCCGGAATCACAGAGTCGTCGTGGTCGGCGGTGGTAGCGCCGGTCTGGCAATCAGTCACCAGCTGCTCCGATCCGGCAAGTTTTCCCAGGACGACATCGCCGTGGTTGACCCGGCCCAATGGCACCACTACCAGCCTGGCTGGACCCTCGTCGGTGGTGGCCTCAAGAACAAGGAGGACCTGCGCAGTCCCATGCACGGCTTGATCGACCCCAAGCTCAAGTTCTACAACGACGGCGTCGGCAACTTCTCCCCCGAAAACAACCAGGTCACTCTCGCCAACGGCGACCAGGTCAACTACGAGCAGCTGGTCGTTGCGCCCGGCATCAACATCAACTATGACAGCGTCAAGGGCCTGCCCGAGGCTCTTGCCAACCCCGACTCTCTCGTCTCGTCCATCTACGGCTACGACACCGTCGACAAGGTGTTCCCCTCCATTGAGAAGCTGCGCAAGGGTGCCGCCATCTTCACCCAGCCCGCCGGTGTGATCAAGTGCGCCGGTGCACCCCAGAAGATCCTCTGGTTGGCGCTGGACCACTGGAAGCGCGCCGGTCTGTACACCCCCGGCAACGTCTCGAGCTCCCCCATCCAGATCAGCTTCGCCACCGGTCTTCCGTCCATGTTCGCCGTGCCCAAGTACAGCGCCGCGCTGGAGGGTCTGCGCCAGGAACGCGGAGTCGAGGGACTGTTCCAGCACGACCTCGTGGAGATCGACGGTAACACCGCCACGTTCGCCCGCCCGGATGGTCAGGAATCCGTGAAGAAGCCGTTCGACCTGCTGCACGTGGTGCCCAAGATGGGCCCCCACGGCTTCGTCAAGAGCAGCCCCATCGCCAACGAGGCCGGCTACGTCGACGTCGACGCCGGCACGACGCGCCACGTCAAGTATGCCAACGTCTGGTCCGCCGGCGACGCATCCAGCCTTCCTACCTCTAAGACCGCCGCTGCCATCACCTCGGAGGCGCCGGTCCTGGTGCGCAACCTGCTGCAGTCGATCGAGGGCAAGGAGCTCGACGCGACGTACGACGGCTACGCATCGTGCCCGCTCACCACCGAGTACGGCAAGGTGCTCCTGGCCGAGTTCAAGTACGGCGGTCAGCCCAAGGAAACGTTCGCCAAGTTCGGTCTTGACCAGTCTGTTCCTCGTCGGTCGTTCTACTACCTTAAGAAGGACTTCTTCCCCTGGGTGTACATGAACCACATGGTGAAGGGAACCTGGGCCGGCCCGAAGGGATGGATCAACTAAGTGGATGGTGCAGGTGATATCCAATCTTGTAAATAATTGCGGGAGAACCAGCGACAGCGTGATCTCTGTTTCTTGACACGTGTATCTTTGCGATGTAGTATATGAAAAGCAATTCATTCTGAGGTCATCAGTCCATTATTTACTCGAGTTGAAGTGATGAGGATTTTGAACAGCGTGCTGTAGTTGACTGTAAGCCCTGTGAACAAGGAAAACATGTGATGTCATCAGTCCAGCCTGCAAACACAACAAAACATCTTCTCTCGAATGCCGTACACATTATCGTATTCCCATATTTAATTAAGAATATTAATATACACTCCCCACCAACCCAACTTTCCTCCATTAGGCCTTTCCATCAGATTTAAATCCCCAACAAAGCCCCCTTGACGTCCTTCCCCAACTGCGCCGCCCAGAGGGTGTTCTCATTGAGAATGAACAAGCGACCGTCGCGACCGAACGAGAAATTCGCCGCCCCATCCTTGATCAGGATCTTGCCCAGCAGAACACCGCCCGCGGACCAGACGTTAATGCCGTCGCCGCAGCCCGCGTACACGTTGCCGTTCGTGTCAACCTTGATGCCGTCGGGGACGCCGGTGTGGGCTATGGCGAACACGCGACGGTTCGCGAGGAAAGGCTCGTTGTGGGAGGTGGTCACGTCGTATGCGTAGCTTTTTTGGGTTGTGTTCGTTAGTATTGTGACCATTTTCAATGAGTTGTTAATCGGTCTATGGACAGAGCAAGGGAAGGGATGTGCATACATCGTGGACGGCTTAGTATCGTCGGTGCTACCGTTACCGATCGTGGCCGCCGTGTCGGTGATATACACGGTTTTCTCGTCCGCCGAGAAGGCGATACCATTGGGTTTTCCGAGGTCGTCGGCCACGACGCGCACGTCCCCTGTGGCCGGGTCGAAGCGATAGACCTGGTCGGGGAGTTGCGGCTTCGGCCTGATGCCCTGGATATAGGCGTAGGAGGGATCGGTGAACCAGAAGGAGCCGTCGGAGTGGACGACGACATCATTGGGGGAGTTGAATTGGCGGCCGTAGACGTCGCCGACGAGCAGGTGGGAGGTGTAGGGCGGGTCGATGGACATCTGGAACAGACCGCCGGTCTGGTTCATGGTGCCCTGGCCGCAGAAGAGGATGCCGTCGCCGTGGTTGACGCCACCATTGGCGAAGGGGACGGTGGAGTTCACGATCTCCGAGGTGACGGGGTGGGCGTCCACGGCGACCTTGGAGATTTTGATGGTGGATTGGTTGGTGGCCGGGTCGGTGAAGATGTTACTGGTCAGGAAGAGTTCGTCCTTGGAGGGGATGTAGACGCTGGCTTCGTGGGCGAAGGGGAAGTCATCGTTCTTCAGCAGGGCTTCGAGCTTGGGCGTCGGGCCGGTGATGTCCAGGAACCGCGAGTCGTAGACCTTGAAGGCCGCGGGAAGCTGCTGGGAGGCATTGTGAGCCTGGACAGCGTGGGAAAGAGTTCCGGCCATGTTGATGGGAGTTGAAGGTAAACGTTTGACTTTCTTTTCTCTTCTTTCTTTTTGTGTCACTAGTCGGGGGACCTTATTTATTTAGCCTTCTGCAGTCCGTCGTGAAAATGTCAAGAAATGGCACTAATGCAAAGTCTATTAGATGGCCATTGCCTTTTGCAGCCAAGGATCTCACGCTGGCGACCCACCGCTCCGACATATCTTTGCTGCTTTGGGCCGCCCAGTATCGCCGAGGTTTCGCCTGCTTCCGAGGAAGGTGGTTCGGAGATTTTAGTGTTCGAGAGTCTGTAGATTGTATAGAAATGGGAACTGTGTTGGATGGCCAGAACGGATCAATTGCATCGCATTGCACTGCGTGTCACTGAGAACGAGATCTATACATCGGGTATGACGTCATCGCATCTCTACCCGGAGAGGAAAGCAGACACCTCAGGCATTACTTTGAAGAAAGTCTGGACTGGCACGGGTCCAGTTACTGGGCGGGAGAAAAGGTATCTGAATCAATTCTGTATAAGGCTGTTAGTGACCATAACTAACATGGGATGATCTGTAGATCACCTACCCTGAATTATCTAGAACGGTGATGTGCCATTCTATTCTGGAAAGAGAAAAAAACAAAAGGAAAATTCAAGTTTTGCATATCAAGTGGGACATGCGTGCCCAGGTCATCTTATGTTCTGTCCTATGCTTATAGATATATTCTCGAGCAGAACCGTGGATCTGCAAAACCTGGACCGAGACATGAGCATCGGCATCCCAGCGCCCTGTCGACATCAGATTTAATCTAACAACATCCATGATCTAGAGTAACCTGTCAGACCTGTCAAGCCTGTCAGCCCTTCTGACGTACGCTGTGTACAGTACACTGTCAAGATGGTCCGATGCGATCGTCGTAACGCCCGCTACGTCATTTGGTCCCCCGCATAGATTAACTGCCAACCGGTTTGACATCACCGCGTTTTGTTGTTGTTTATACTCTTTTATTGCGGTCGCAAACCTGTATTTTCTCTTTCTTTCTCAAAATATCTTTCTTATTCCAGTCCCTCCCAGCCCCTCCTCGTTCCTCCTCATCTCTCCTCGCCTCTTCCTCCATATCGCAAATCCGTGATATTGTCATCGTCATGTCCCTCAACATGGCCACCAACCAACTCCCCAACCGACCCCCCAAACTGTCCTCCGCCACCGGCGGCGTGAAAAACACCGTCAAGGGAGGCACCGACGCAGTCGGCAAGACCACGCAAGGCGTCACTGACACAGCCGGAAAGACCACGCAAGGTGTCACTGACAATGTCCTCCCCGGCGGGTTCCCGGGCGACGAGAACGACATCAAGCAAGCCAAGGAGGAGAACCCGAACAACGGACCGATCCTGGGTCCCATCCGGCAGTGGATCGGCCAGTCCATCCCGCCGATGCTCGATCGCATGGAGTCCTGGCTGACCTGGCTCTTGTCGTGGGTGCTGCCGGATGCGCGCCAGGCGAAGCTGTACGAGGCGGCGGCCGAGCGACCGGCCAGTTCCACCTTCATCGTCTGCCAACTGATCTGCTGCGGCGTGCCGTTGCTAATCTTCTTCGCGGGTGTGTTTATTTTCGCGGCCGTGGCGATCCTGCTGTGGGCAGTGCTGTCGCTGTTGATTCTGGGACCGGTGCTCTTGGTCGCTAGCTTTATGGGATGCTCGCTGTGGGGATGGGGATGGTTATTCTACGGGTTGATCCGGTGGATCGATCAGACTTATCTGGGAGGCATTATTTCGCGTTTCTGGTTCTCGAAGATTCAGTCCGAAGGCGATGAAAAGGAGGGAGAGAAGGAGGGAGAGAAGGAAGGCGAAAAGAAGGAGTAATGGCGAGGTGGAATTGGTATTGTCTTGCTGGAAGGAGAGGACTTGAATTAAGGATAGGAATATCTGCATTTTTTATGCTTGAAGCGTTCGATGTTATCGCTTTAATTGTCATTCTGCAGGCCTGATCCGCGTTGACCGATTATGGATGTTTGGAATAGCCTGGGGCTTTATTTGATTCTTGTACAGAATTTGCTATGTGATGGATTGAGAGGATTTGTTCAAGGATCACTTTTTCTGTATCAATAGTATTTGTCTATTTCAATCTGTAACACTATTCAATTGATCGGATATGGCCAGTCCAAACAGATCCTCTGGCGATCTGGAGAATAAATCCAGCTCGGAAATGATCTGCACCGCTTCCCCCTGAATTCCATTGTCAACCAAAAACAAGAATGCGACCCAGCCTGCCCTGCTATCTCCTGTCGCCATGCTACCTTCCAAACCCTCCCTACCATGGCTTTTAACCAGCCTTCTCATTCCGCTCTGTCAGTCGGCACCCCATCCTTCGGGATGCCGACCAGCTGATGGCTCGTACTCGGCGTGGATGGCCGACAGCGTCATCACCCGTGGACAGGCCATCGCACCCGCTGGCAAGCCCGAAGCGTCGATTGCCTTGCAGATAGGGTTCTTTCAGACTGCGATCTTGCAGTTATTGGATCGCCATGACAGCTCTGTCCCTTCGTGTCAAACGACCCGCTGGGAGGAGTATCTCACGAACAGCACTGCGAGTATCGCACCACTTCTGGGGAATGCGTCGCAAGACACGCAGTTGTTCGCACTTGACAGGCTCTCAACCTTTCGGGGTCTTTTACACGAGTAGGAGATGCCTATCTACCACCTTGCTCCACGGTCGATATCGCTAACGAACTTAGCTATGAGAAGACAAACAACACAATCGACAAGAAAGCCATAGATTCCTTAAGACAGTCGATCGACCTCCAACCAACCAATGAATATGGTGAGCATCTCCAACCCACCGCGCCAAATACTACCCATTACAAGAAGCCAATACCCATGGATCCGTAGGAGGCCTATGGTACTTCACCTACCCTAACTGGAGCTACCTCGACGGCATGTACTCTCTCATCCCGTTCAACTGGCTCTACGCGATGCGATTCGACCCCCCCAGCACCGGTGCCATCGTCGACCAAAGCATCCGCGAACTCGATCTTCTCTGGCAGCACTGCTACCACAACAGCACCGGCCTTCTGGTCCACGGCTACGATGGGTCCAAGACAGCCGTGTGGGCTAGTTCTCTCACTGGCGCGAGTCCGATCGTCTGGGACCGCTCGTTAGCGTGGTATTTTATGACGCTTGTCGATATGCTTGAGCTACTTAAGTTGAAAGGAAGCCCCGGGGCTGCGGAACAGCGATATACGCGTTATCTGCGCGGTCGATTATCTGCCTTGGCGGATTCAGTTATGGCGGTCGCGGATACTAACTCGGGCTGCTGGTGGCAGGTCATGACTGCTCCGGGACAAGAGGGGAATTATATCGAGTCGAGTGGATCGGCTATGTTCACGTATGCCCTGTTGAAGGGCGTTCGGCTGGGGCTCCTTGACTCAGAACGTGTTTCCGGATCGAAGATTGTGGAGTTGGCAAGCAAGTGCTACGGATACATGGTCAACGAATTCGTGGTAGAGGAAGGCGATGGAACGCTTGGATATAATGGGACTGTCGCTGTCTGCAGCCTGAATTCTTCGGCAACATATGAGGTATGTTTTTGACTCTTTGACGTTCTGCGAAGAACGGAGAGACTAACAAAGTATTTAGTATTATGTGAATCAGCCGTTGTTATACAATAGCGTTCATGGCACTGCGGCGTTTGTTTTGGCGAGTCTGGAACATGAGATGTTGGCGAAGACTGCACAGTGAAGTGGCTTGGAGCTGGTATTGGTTCTCTATATTGAGGGTATTTTGGACTATCTTGGTCCACGATTATCTGGGGTTGTTGAAGCAAATGGTTTATCTGAATATTCTTATTCAACTTGCATTAATGCACGACAAAGGAGAAGTAAATGTGAAAACATTGTCGAGTCAGGTGATGCTGTTGCTCACCTGCCACTCCTTGGGGCACTTTCCTCCAACCTTCCATCTTCAAGCATCGTCGGCGGTACATCAAATCAATTTATTACCACCAAGAACCTTTATACACTGAACGTATCTCTCTTGGAAATATTGCATGGCATTCAATTCAATACCTAATCACAAAGCCGACAAATTTAAAGGCTTCTCATATTAGTTACCCTTATGTGATTGATTAACGATTCAATCATAGCAGGTCCCCAGCACCATCCACCACCAGAATCATATTAAACCCATAACCAGCAGTTTCCTGGGTGAGATGCTAGTTTGATATCAAAACCACCATTAGAACTCTCATCTTAATCCACGGACTTGGCTTTCGGTTTCCGGGACACAAGACCAGAAAGCGCCCGGCCGATCTTCGTGCCTCCACCCTGGAAAACAAGATAATAAATCCCGAAGAACAGACAAATGTTAAACGCGATGAAAGCCCACAAGTACCCAAAGTGATGCCACCGCTCAGAATACCGAATATTGAACCCTTCCAGGAACACGTCGGATACGGCATATTGACAGAATTCGCAGTTCTCGGTGGCTTTCGGGTTAGATAACGACGCCATAGAAGCGTTTATAAACGACCCGGCAAATTCCCCACAAGTCATGCCACTGGGCGGGTTGAAGAAGTTGATTTCCGTCTCTAAGCATTTGACGGGAATGCCGTGACTCATACTGCTCATCATCGACGCGACCGTATACGTGAATGGAGAGACATAGTAGGCAAAATGCCAGAACCCGACGAGGTCAGACAACGGTTGCACAACACCCGTGAAGGCGAAGATGAACGTGTAAAACAAGATGGTGACCATTGAGGCCGTTTCGGCATCGGGGGCGGCGATTGCGACCGCCTGTGAGAAGCTCGTATGGTAGAGTTGGAAGACCATGAATATCAGCCACATGAATGCACCTCTACCATCTGGGATAGTTCTCCACCAGCCGACAGGGAGATACCAGCAGGCAAAGCACACAGAGGCAATGACCAGATTGTACGGTATTTCGGTCACGATGCTGGCGGTGATGAAGGCAGTCCAGCTGTACATCCTCGAATGCTTCTCTCGGACCTCGTAGAGGTTCCGGTATTGAATAAGTCGCGGTTGAAGCTGAACGAGAATCACCAACGAGAGAAGGAGAAGCATGAAAACTGAGAAGATGGAATTCTTCAGGCCCGCAATAGAGGGGTCTTGTTTGAAGAAGGTGAATCCCAAGAAGAGACCCCCGATTGTGTTGATTGCCATCTTGCTGACAACGTAGACGGGGCTTCTCCAGTATTGCGAAAACAGACGTTGTTGCACAGCGAGATATTGCTCGATCCATGGCAAGGCATAATATGCTTGTGATGAATCGGATTCGTCATCATCAGACACGGTCGCGCTTTTGCCCTTCGTGTTGACAAGTGATTGGATTTCGTTCATGTTACGTAGCGTTTCAGGGCTGGCCTTCCACGTCTTTGCCCAGTCCTGCGATGAATGCGCGGCGGCGCCTGCGCCAACCACATCCAAAATGTACTCTGCAGGATTCGCACTCTCGGGACATGGATATCCGCCGTTTCGCTCAAAGTAGCTGAGCACGGTGCTTGAACTCTCGCCAACCTCGCCAAAGTAAGCGGTCTTCCCGCCTTTCACAAGTAAGAGAAGCCGGTCAAATTCCTCAAATAGCAATGATGACGGCTGATGTATCGTGCAAAGAATCGCCTGGCCAGCATTGGCTAGGCTACGAAGCAACTTGACGATGGACATAGCAGATCGAGAATCCAATCCAGAAGTGGGTTCATCAAGGAAGAGCAAGATACTGGGCCTAGCCACCAGCTCCAGCCCGATGGTGGTTCGTTTGCGCTGTTCGGCACTCAGTCCCTGTCCAGGGCTGCCGATAACAGCTCCTGCATATTCGTGCATCCCGAGGGCATCGATCACTTTTTCGACATAGTCATATTTTTCTTCCAGAGGAACATCTCGGGGCTGACGGAGCAACGCCGAGAAGCGGAATGCTTCCCTCACAGTCGCTTCTTCAAAGTGGACGTCTTGCTGTTGAACGTATCCCGTTCCTCGCTGGAAGGAATTACCGAGGCGACGACCGTTCACAAGCATATCGCCTGAAATTACACCTGTGGAAACCCTTTGTGCCAGAATATTGAGCAGAGTGGTCTTTCCAGCACCTGACTCTCCCATGAGAGCGGTCATTGCTCCGGGTTTGACATACCCCTGCACGTCAGCAAGAAGGCGACGACTTTCGCCTTTGACCTCGATGTCATATGTTACCCCTTGCCAGGTGAAGACGTTCTCGCTGGGCCGAAGGTTATGCATCAATGTATTTTCTTGAGTTGAAGGCAGGTGAACATCCCCCGATGAGTTCTCTAGATCCATGATGTAGTCGGGCGAATATGCTCGTCGCGTATCTCGCTTACTTTGGAAAAGAAGCTGGCTGCCCTTCAGTGCCGGCGGACTCTTGAATTCAGCGGCAGCAGCGTAAGTGATAAAGAAGAAAATGAAAAAGCCAATGCATATTCCTAGGTTTCTCCACAGGTGGGAATAGGAATATGCAAATGAGACTTCCACATAGGCGTCTCCTGAAACATACATCTCCCCAGGCAAGGCACCTACAGCGGCGCAAACCTGGTTCAGAATGCTGACGTCTTCAAATCCAGGACCTGATGGTACAAGGGTCGCACAAAGTGACTTGCGGTTGTGAAATTCCATGACCATGAGCGACTCGACAGCGTAATACATTGGATTGATATAACTGAGCCATTTGAACCAGGGATGCATCGAGGGTCGTGGAATGACATAGCCCGCGTATATGCCCAGAACCAGCAAGATGATCCCAGCGACTGCGAGGGCAATCTCTACCCTGTTGACGAGGGCGGCAATAGTCCGGAACAAGGCACTCAGGGTCACCGATGCCAAAAAGGTAAACAGCAAGAAGACAAAGAAGGCACCCGGCTCTCGCTTGAATCCAACCATGAAATAGACCACAACACTGAAGACAGCAACATTGATGAACTTGATTGGATACTGAGCTATCATGGAGGCGAGCGCGTCGATGGATGGATGATACATGGCGTAGGATTTATGTTTCGCCACTACCTGTCTCTGAGAAAACTGAGAGCTGATTTCAACAAAGTTGACCAGGATGTTGAATAGCACCGAGAAGAAGACACAGCCACCCTTGGAAAAAAATCCACTGGTGTCTTCGGGGATGTCATAGAACATGGACCCAATCAGGAGCGCGACAATCCCCATCGTGACAATGACTGAGAGAGTGTAAGCTTTGTCGGAGATGACTCTTTGACAGGACCGAAGGTATGTGGCGCAGAACTGCATGGCCCAATTGATCGTGTACGGTGACTTGCTTCGATTTAACGCCGCCTTCTCAGCATTTTGAATCTTTGTGAAAGACTGAATGCTTTCGGAGAAGCCATGCGGATACTCCTTCCCATGGTGTTGTTGTTCTGATAGAAGTCGCTTAGAATACTTGCTAGCTTTCCAGCATGAGACGAACTCCCCGGCAGCACGCGGGGCAGTATCCTCATATCCTTCGCGAATCTTTCTAGACTCCGGATCTGTCATGGAAAGAAGATACTCTGCTGTTGTCTGGCGTGGATGAAAGACAAATCCTAGTTCCTGGAAGTGCTCTTTGGCAGCAGCCAGGTCTCCGAAAAAGATCTGCTCACCCTCATAGAGGATGACCACCTTATCAAAGAGCTCGACCAACGAATTTCCCGGCTGATACAAAGCCGTAACCGCCACGGTGCGGGTGAGATTCGTAGCGGCGCGAAGAGCACTCACAAATTCCAAGGACGTGGAGGAGTCCAATCCGCGGGTAGGATTATCCCAGTAGGATACCGAGGGACAAGTTGCAAGCTGTTCTCGTCATTAGTCCTGAACTAATCACAAAGAGAATAAAATAGGACAGATACTTACCATTTCTGCAAGAGATACCCTTCTCCTCTCCCCCCCGGAAATACCTCGAATATAATCATTCCCCACGCGGGTTTGAAAAGTGTGTGTCAGGCCGAATGTCGCACCGAGGATGTTCCTCATGGTTTTGATATATTGCTGGCGAGAGATACCGCCGATCCGCTTTCGAGGAGTCTTGGTCTTGATGGCGAAGTCGAGCGTTTGGGCAACTGTGAGATGAGGAAAGTGGTTTTCATTTTCCTCGTTGAGCACGACCTTCCCGCGAAAGTCCTTCTTGATGACTTCTACCGGCACGCCACTATATGTGATATCTCCATAAACCTTAGACAAGCCCTCATGATGGCCTGAAAGGGCCCTCAACAAAGTCGAGCACCCACTCCCAGGCAGACCCAATACCAACAGCATCTCGCCTTCCTTCAGTAGCCCGTCAAAACCATCCAAGATGAGTCTGTCAGGGCTGCGACGAAAGACACCGCTGACGGCACGGAAGCAGTCCAAGAAGAAAGAAGACACCGTCGACTGGGCTCGTGTAGGCATGTCCTTCCCATAGACTTTGAGCTTGCTCCAGCGCACAGAAGACTTCAACAGATTCGGGGATGATCCTTCGTCCTTGGACCGCGCGACTGCTGCCTTCAGGGCCCGTTCAAGTTTCCATCCAGGCTCGGAAGGGTCAAATGGGTTTCCGTGGCCGTCGAATCCAGTCGAGCGTCGTGATAATGTTTGCATCACTTTATCCAGCTCTTCGGGGTGTTCCTTAACTGACTTTTCTAGCTCAGCGGCCTGAATTGTCTCGTTTTCGCCGTTCGTGTCCTCGCTGGAACTTTCGGTTTGAATTTTTTCGTCCATTTTGGCTATTGATCGTGAAAAAGCAGAAAAGAAAAGCGCTAAAACTGAAAAGTTTTTTTTTAAAAAAAAAAAAAAAAATATAAGAGAAGGAACAGACAGTTTATACTACTACTAGTCACCCGATCGGAAAGATGCTAGTTATGACTTATGCCACTGGAACGAAGAATATATTAGGTTGCATCATGTCCTGCGCCCCTTTTTATAAGCTGACCTGATGAGTATTTTGCATGCTGACGTCGAGACCAAGCTGATTTCCTAATTTACTCCTGCAACCACTATAATTCAGGCTTTTGGGCGAGACTGGAATGTGCAGCTCGATGAATCAAGGTGATCGGCCAATCAGTTGCCGACATGGGTGCCTTCGGTGCCGAAGCCTTCGGTTCCGTCATGGATCCGCTCAAATAACGCTGAGGCCGCCGCCGCCTTTCCTGCCTTTCACCTCGACATTTTTACCCCGTCTGCTGTTCCTCCGTCCTCGCAACTGATATCGGCCCCGAAGGAATATGATATCACATTCTTAGCCTGGGCATCATGAAGCATTACGCCATGGCTGACATGCCGGCCAGTAAAGTCTCTAAGACCTGCGATCTGTGCAAATCACGGAAAGTTCGCTGCATTAGTGAGAGGTTTCATTTCATTTGGGCGGATTATTATGAATATCGGGATTTTTTCTAACCAGGGACAATGGCGTGTATAGGGTCTGGGGAGGATGAACACGCCGCGTGCGACTATTGCATCGTAAGTCTTTAGTTCTTCTTCCAAAAGCCTATGGTGGTGACAAATCGTTTACATCGGGATATAGAATCGCAAGGCTCGATGCCACTACAGCTATATGAAGCCACCTCGAAAGCGCAAACAACAGATAGACGATGTTGAATGTCCGCCTGGAGATTTAGAAAGCTCTTCGCTGGTTAAACGGGTAGCTTTAACTTCTCCCGACCCAACTGTCATACAAGATTCTGTGTCCAATAAGGTTCGTTCTTTCGTCTGTGGCTCATCTTCATGGGAAGTTAAACCTTCAATAAGCATGTAACCGCGCACCTGCCAACTCTGTCGAGCTCTGCGCCAACGAGTTTATATGTGGATCATCTCTTAGCAAGTCGTCAAACACCAGCTCGTGGTCGGGATGAAGAGGTTACCAACAAAGTAGGTTAACCATGTCTTTTTCCTTACTCTATAATGAATCATGCTAACGTCAATTATCACGCAGTTGGCTGAGATATTCGGTTGGTGGTATACCGTACGATATACGTTCCTGACTAACTTTAGGCCCAGGCCCTAGCTCGAATATATCCTTTTTTTCCAAAGCTAGAGTCGACGCCCTAGGTGCCCGACTGGGGCATACCCGGCTGAGTCAACTTCTTGAAACTATCGGATCTGTTGCCAATTCGAGAACCAAAGGAGCCAATAAGGCTGCAAATCTACCGTTCCTGCGCCAGCAGAGCTTACCACCCTTGGAGTTATCCGAAGATGTCTCGACAGCATGTATACAAGGTAAAATCTATGCTAAAAAGTCTAGCACAGAGGACTGACGGTAACCGACAGCCTTCTTTACTCATGTGCATCCGGTGTACCCATTTCTTGATCAAACAGCATTTGAGCAACGGCTTTACGGACACCTTCTGTACCCGTCACTTGAGAATGATAGAGTTTGGTCCGGCTTATATTATGCCGTTTTGGCCCTTGGGTGCCAGTATAACGATGGAGGCGGTTTCGATCCTGGGAAAGGACAAGCATGGTCTTTTTTCGAGAGAGCAATGTCTTGCTTCTCCGATATTATCTTTACCAAGGGATCTCTGATGGCGGTTCAGGTATGTCTTATCTCGGATTGCGTGGTTGCTGAATATGTACTGATTTCTATCTCAAGGCTCTCACGGCAATGGTACGAGACTGCCTAGACCCCTGATGAAAGAGAAAGCTAACAGTCCCTAAAGGCAATATTTTCCACTAAATTGTCGGCATGGCAATTTGAGGCTTTGCTGATATCGGAAGGCGCACGGATGGCACAAAATATGGGTTATAATCGAAATAGGGGACTCAAAGACAACCTTTCTCATCGGGTATTTTGGGTCCTCTATTGCCTTGATAAGACGTCTTGCTTCGTCACGGGAAGAACATCCGTAAGTGCAACTCTGACCATCACGGATATGAGATTGATAATTTCTAGAACATCATGGATGCGGACATCGGGTGTCCAATCCCTTATGTTCCGGAATCCGTATTTGGCGACTATGACTGGTTTCTCACGCATGCGCGCTATGCCCGACTCGTTTCCCGGATTTACAGCACTATATTCTCTCTCAGTGCGGCGGGAAACTCTTCAAGTTATTATTTAGATCGCATCCAACATCTGCTTGAAGAGCTCGAGTCGTGGAAAGCTTCGATTCCTGAGTGCTATCGTCCCGGTGAACCTCTTAAGGCCAGGCTGATGCCCGGGCCTGTGGCAGTGTCGGTTGCCTTGCATGCACAATACTACTACTATAATGCCTTGATGACCCTATCACGGACGGCCCTCTACATTGGGGACGGCCCGAAAGAGATGGGGTTGCAACTACGCATGAAAAGATTGTTTATTGATACTGCTTGTTCCATTTTGGAACTGACCAAATATATTGAGGTCGCATCATACACGTCGCTGTGGTGAGTGGATCTCGATGCGCCTCCGCTTGCCAAATGCTAAATGTTCAGGGTACTCGCCATCATGCCACTTTCAGCGCTATTCATCCTTTTTGACCAAGCTGTTCACAACCCACTGCTCCCGCAGACCACCTCCTATTTATCTCTTTTGGATATTGGCATCGGGCATTTCAGCCGGCTGGATTATGCGAGTCAAGGAACCGTTCCGGGCTCCCTTTTGGCCGAGTTCGCTCACATTGCGCGTCAATATATCCGCGATTCACAAATTAAAGAGCATGGACGTGACCGACACCAGGTAATACAAGCGGCACAGAGACGAGATAGTCAAGACACGTCCTCCTATAGCTACCGGGGCTTTGATGGGACGAAACCTCCTGGTGTCCCGGATTCAATGGCGCAAAACACAGAGCCGCGGGTTGATGCAGGGGGACTGCAGACATCCATCAGCAGCGCCTTACTGTCTTCTCGGCCCCTTGCGACCCCGGCGGGCTCCTTTGACCATGTCTCTAGCTTAGCAGCGCAACAGTATAGCCATCAAATAACACATGAAAGTCAGACCAAAAATTCAACAACACAAGCCAGCCACTTGATGCATACGGAGAAGCCGACGATTGGCAACAATGGTTTCATGGGAACCCCGTATGAAGCCTCGGCATCGACAATGGAGGATATTTCTGGAGCGATCGCCTCGGAGGAATTCCAGCTGCTCGGGATCGACGTCATGGATCTTTTTGACACGATGAATTTCCCTGTGGGCACCCCTTGATTCGGACTGACTCGGCCCAGCCTAGCTGCAGGAACGTGCATTCAGTGTCTTCAGTATGATTCGTGCGTCATTGTTTACATACTTCAACTCTAAAATAATTCTAACTATTTTTTGGTTGCTAGAAGCATTACTAATGGAATTTGAAATCTCACCATACCATCCAACGCACTCTCCATCGCGTCCCAAAGTCTTTTCGTATCGACTTCTGGAACCCCCGGCACCCAGGTGACCATGTACCCTTTAAACCAGTCGATGCCTTGCGAATCGGACCAGTCTTCATCATCCTCCACCCATATAATTACTTCTGCCTCACCCACCCTCTCATCCATCTTAAACGCCTGTAAACTGCCCGGGGTATTAACATACACCCTCTGCACACGCTCCCACTCATTCGCGGGAAATTCCACACCCTCATACGCTATATTAGCAGCCCTAACCGCCCGATCCTTCAGCCCCCCGACGCAAATCGTTCCCATCAATCAATCAATCAATCAATCAAAATTCTATTAACCTGATGAAGCCTATCTATTGAAACGACAGGCTATGCAGGC